CTGGACGGAGTGGGAGACCAATGAAAGAGATACCATGATAGAGGGATACATCATGGGGATAGGAAGAAACTTGGTGCTAGGGAAGTTTCCAGGAATCCCCAAGGATGACCCCAGCTTAGACTACTAGCAATAGTGGAGAGGGTGCCTGAACTGACCTACCCCAGTAATCAGATTGGTGAATACCCTAACTGTCATCATAGAGCCTTCATCCAGTAACTGATGGAAGCAGATACAGAGATCCACAGCCAAGCACCAGGCCGAGCTCCAGGAGTCCAGTCGAAGAGAGAGAAGAGGGATTCTATAAGCAAGGGGCATCAAGATCATGATAGGGAAACCCACAGAGACAACTGAACCAAGCTAGTGGGAACTCATGAACTTTAGACCAACAGCTGTGGAGCCTTGATGGGACTGGACTAGTCAGTCTATCTGCATAAGTGAGACAGTTGTGTAGCTTGATCTACTGAAGGGGCCCCTGGCAGTAGGATCAGAATCCATCCTTGGTGCATGAGCTGGCTTTCTGGAGCCCACTACCTATGGTGAAACACCTTGCACAGCCTTGAGGCAGGGGGAGGGGCTTGGACCTGCCTCAGCTGAGTGTGCCAGGCTCTGCTGACTCCCCATGGGAGGCCTTACCTTCTTGTAGGAGGGAATGGGGGGTGTTGCAGGGGAAGTCTGGGGAAGCGGGAGGAGGGAAGAGAGGGGGATCTGTGGTCAGTATGTAAAATGAATAAAAACTATTTCTTAATAAAAAAATTCCAAAAAAGGGAAATTGATTAAATATCCAGGATAATATTGTGTAGCAATTAAAGTAATTTAGTAGAAGAGCTTATAAATGCTTGGAAGTATTGACGCCATATTATTAATTTCAGAGGTGGTTATAAATGAGATATACAGCATCATTTCATTTTTTAAAAATGTGATGAATACATATATGCATATGGAAAGCTTATGTGATTAGTGCTCATCTCTGATGAGACCATAGGTTTTTAAAACATCTTTTGGAACTACTGAGATGGCTCAGCAGGTGTAAAGATGCTTGCCCCATGTCCTGAGTTTGATCCCCGGCGCCCACATGAAAGTGGAAGGTGAGAACTGACTCCGTAGGCCATCCTCTGACCCCCATACAGACACAGACATACACACACAGACACAATAATAGCAAAAAATTAAAACAGTATTTTTCTAAGCTTACAAGTGTATGTGATTTTTTAGTATAGTAAAGGAGAAATATTAGAAAGCTTTAGACCTGGAGGCAGTCTCTACCAGATGATAATTTTTTGAGGACTCCATACCTGGCTCTGCTCTCCCAGCAGTCAGAGACTGTGAAAGGATCGCTCCCCCCAGCCTCACAGGGCCTTGGATTGCTTCCACTTTTTCATTACTGAAGATAATGCTAGAATTATGATCATTATATTGAAGGCCCCTTTTTTTCGTATTCTCAATTATTTTCTCTGCGGTTTCCCAGAAGCGATATCACTGCGTCAGTAGGTATGAATATTTTTGTCACTCACAATATGTGCTTCCAAATTGCTGCTCAGTGGGGCTGTACCAAAACTCACTACCAGAAAGATCTCGCCAGCACTGGGGTTTGTGATTGTATTTAGTGTGCGCTAATTTTACAGGCAAAGAACAGCACCTCATTCTATTACTTCAGATTTCCAGCCAGGCCGAACAATCCTCCTCAGAGATCATTTATTTACTGTATTTTTACTCATGGATTTTGCCATTTATCTGTTGGCATTTTCATCTTGTGCAAATTCTGTGAAAAAATAAGTTTTTTGTTACATTGTCCTGTCCTGGCTGAGGGCATTTTCCCTGGCTCTTGTTTCCCTTCTGAGTTGAGTATTTTGTTTTGTTTTGTGTTGTTGTTGTTTTTTATTTCTGCACTCAAAGCTTTGAATGGTTATATAGTCAAACCTGTCATGTCTGTGGTTTTCTTTCATGGCCTCCAAGTTTAGAGCATTACTCTCCTACCCCTCAAGCAGCAGGCTGATGAAGGCTTGATTCTGTTTGCACCCCGGTCTGGTTTTTTTAAGTTGGTCTTTCTCGTAGCTGCCTTTTAACTCATCGGGGGCTCAGCACACTTTCCCACTTACCGTAGCTGGATAATCTTCTCTGTTTGCTGATCCTGCTGCCATCGGCTCACTGCTCAGGCGGTAGGGCCCGATTCTCATGGCTCCTTCTGCTCTGTTCTGTACCAGCTGGCAACACGGAGTTTTGTTTTGTTTGTTTAGTTTTTTGTTGTTGCTGTTTTGGGGGGTTGTTTTTGTGGTTTTGAGATAAGGTCTTACATTACACTCCAGGCTGACTTAGAACTCATTGTGTAGCCAAGGCTGGTTGGCTTAGAATTCTCAGTAATCCTTCTGCCTCAGGCTCTCAAGTGCTTAGATTATAGGCAGGAAACGCCATGCTCAACTTATAGTGTATTTTAAATGAGGACTTCTTCGAAATGTATCTGATAGGGCTTCTCTTGTTTATAAATATGCATTTTAAAGATTTATTTATTTTTTAAGACTTATTTACTTATTATATATAGTGTTCTGTCTGCATGTACGCCTGCACACCAGAAGAGGACACCAGATCCCATTATAGATGGTTGTGAGCCACCATGTGGTTGCTGGGAATTGAACTCAGGACCTCTGGAAGAGCAGTCAGTGCTCTTAACCTCTGAGCCATCTCTCCAGCCGCTATTTATTTTTATTTTATGTGTATGAGTGTTTTGCCCGAGTGGATGTATGAGCACCATCTTCATGCAGTACCTGCACAGGCCAGAAGGGGGCATCAGAACCCCCCGAAACTGATAATAGAAATGGTTGTGAGCTGCCTTGTGAGTGCTGGGAACCAAACCCCTGCCCTCTACAAGATCAACAAGTGCTCTCAACAGCTAACCCATCTCTCCAGTCCCATTCTCCTCTCTCACTACTTTAAAGCTTTTTTTTTTCTTTTTTTCCCTGAAATTTCCTTTTTCATTTGTGTCTGCTTGAATGTAAGCAAAATCCTTTATAAACTTGGAGTTCCTTTGTGGAGTGGGGCCAAGTCTTTGACATGATTGTTTCCTTTCTCAGTAAGCAGAAGCGCATCCATTCAAGAATAAACACATGTGCCTGGGACTGGCACGGGGTGGGGAGTGGAGAGGGCGGCGCAGTTTGCCAGAAGGAGAAGCAGGGCCCCTCCGCATCAGGGTTCCCCAAGGAGGCGGTAGTATTCTCCATTCCCAGGGAGTCTCATCTGTTTTAAGCAGCAGATAAAGTGATTTTCTTCTGACAGCTCTGGAGTGGTCAAGTCTGAAGCCCCCATGTCTGTAGCTTGCTTAGTAGGCCTGCAGGGGAACTCGGGCTGGAACAGGAAGGATGCCCTTTTCTGCTCACTCGGGGGCCTTCAGGGGAACGCAGGCTGGAACAGAAAGGATGCCCTTTTCTGCTCACACGGGCGCTCTGGGCTTGCCAGCACCCACTCTCTGTCAGGGTTCTGCTCAGAGGGCTGCAGCCTGCTGGCTTTTCTTGTCTCAGGGTTGCCCTTTTACCCCCGATTTATAATGCCGGCATCCTCTGTCAAGCCCTTCTCCGCACTAACAATATATTAAGTGACTCAGTCCCTTGCCAGTCAGTGGCGGTGAGCCAGCAACTGATAGGGTTTTCCTGTGACTTTAGGATTTTTAGAAAGATTCTTTAAATGTCCCCTTTAAATTACGTGTATATGCTTATCTGGGTGTGGATTTGTGCACTGAGTACAGCGCACAGAGACCCCAGAAGAGGGTGTGGGGTCCCCTGGAGCTGGAGTTACGGGTGGGTGTGAGCCGCCTGACATGGGTGCTGGGAACCAAACTCGGGTCCTCCACAAGTGCAGTTCGTGCTCTTAACTGCTGAGCCACCTCTCCAGCCCTGACTTTAGGACTTTTGAATTATGGAAATATTAAAACATTTTTAAAAAATAGAGAACAGAGCAACAAACAGTGCGCGTATCACCTAGATTCCAGTGTTCATTGTATTGGTTCCTTTCCTTATTGCTGTGATAAAAGCAACCCAAAGGAGGGTTTGTTTGGGCTCACGCTTTCAGGGTGGGGCGGACAGGAAGTGGCTGCCTGGTCCGGGTGCATCTGCAGACAGGAAGCAGAGAGCTGAATGCTGGTCCTCAGCACCTGCCCGCTTCATGTATTCTGAGATCCCAGCATATAGGATGGTATCTACATTCAGGGTGTGTCTTCCCGCCTCAGGTAAACCTCTCGGGAAACACTCTCGCAGACGTACAAAGAGGTGTGTCTCCTAGGTGGTTGCAAATCGAGTCGAGCTGACACTGATGGTTAACCATCACATCAGCACTTTGTCACGTTTCCTCATTCTTGCTGAAGCATTTAAAAGCAAATTATGTGATAATTAAAGATCTAATCATAGGCTATTTATTGCATTTTTCTATTTTTGTACCTAAAACTACCCCCCCCCCCCAATATTTTAGGCGTTTGTTTTGTGGTTGCTGCTGCTGTTGCTTGTTGGGGTCTAATTGTTCATATCAGGCTGCCCTAGACTTCTTTATATGGCATGAGCTGGCTTTGAACTTTCAATTCGGTCACCTCAGCCTCCCAAGTTCTGGAGTGCCAAGTATGCATGCTCCACCAAACCCAGCCTCGTTTTCCTTTCTCATGGCGTTAACTTCCAAGTTCTTGAATCCCTTTAATGGAGTTTGTGGATCTTCCCTCGGGTTTCTTCAGTGGGGGAGCTATTAGGTACTGTTAACCAGAGGATTGCCAATTTGTGCTTTCTCTTAGTTAACTGCATCCAGCTGGCATCAGTAACTTTGAAACTGCTTCCCATCTGACGGTGGCCATAGTGTTTAGTGGAAAAGGGGATTTCTTGTCTTTGTTTCCTTTTAATGACAGATAAAGATTTTCCGCCATTTGTACCTAATTTATAGGCTTAAAATGGATACAAAATAATAAAGGTAGCTACTGAATATGACCAGGAATAAGATTAAAGTAAGTCCTAATAACTGTTCTGCATGTTCAGTTTGCAGAGAAATTCCAGGAGGTAAAAGAAGCTGCCAGACTCGCCAGAGACAAGTCCCAGGAGAAAATTGAGACCTCGAGTAATCATTCCCAAGTAAGTCATTTGTCCCTGAAATAAATATGAGTGTGATCAGTAATTGAGATTCCTTATTCCTTGTCACTCTTGGCAAGAAACAGGTAATTTTAGCAGCAGGGCATTCTGAAGGCATTTTTCAGCTGTTAGCCTGCTCTCCAAGAGATGAAGTGACATGTTTTTTATGAGACTTTGGAACTTCTCCGGTGTAGGACTGTATTCTTGACAGAGAACTGTTGATACACTCAACTCTGAGTTGCCTGTTCCCAGGCCAGGGAGAGCTTGTGCAGTCACTACGTTTAAAGGTCACACTGTAACTAGTGGTAGAATGCTTACTTAGTCTGTTCAAGACCAGGCTTTGTGCCCGCACTGCAGAACGGGGCGGGGCTTGGTTAGTGCACAGTGTCTATGCTAAGGCCCATCATGCTAGGTCAAGGGCAATGTTGTGCTTTCTTGAACTCTAGCAACCTTGAGGAGAGGCAGTGTGAGTGGTGAGGCAATGTTTGATGACTGTTGGGAAGTCCATAGTGAGATGTTCTTCAGTGACTGCAGGCACCTCCTGCTCACTAGGGAAAACGCTTAACTGAGGACAGGTGGGAGGTGGTATTCCTGCACGCTCTAAGTCTGAAGAGATCTGGCTTTGCCAGGATTTGAGTAGTCTGTCTGCTTAAAAGTGTGATAATGATGGCTGTAAAAGACCCATTTAACCTGAGATTTAAAAAATACTAGCGTGTCTGGTGTCTTTGTTGATGAGAGAAGGCTTGACCATCTTATAGCTAGAGACAGGGAAAGGGAGACTCCAGGAGCAGACATGGGATTTGGAGTAAGCATGATGGATGAGCCAGACAACCTGGGTATCTGCCTTGTACACTTCTGCATCGGGTATGGAGATAAAGCCTGGAGATGCTGTGAGACCGGGGATTCCTCATTATCATCCATTTCATTAGCTAGGTGGTCAGCAGACATCGGAGTCGTTATATGACTACTGATGTGGAGTTGACGTGAGCATGATGTAAGAGCGTGCTGCGGGATGTGTCTCAGGAGAGTGCTGGGGGGGAGGGGTTGGCGCGGAGAACTCTTTGGCCTGGGAAGCTGTGGTGCAAGTGAGCAAGGGTTGGCTGGAGGGCACAGCGCCTAGGAAAGAACCAGGAAGACCAGGCACCTGAAATAGTTGTGTTCAACACCCGACCTGACCACGAGCCAAACAGAATAGCTGAAGCCTGGGACATAAGGAAAAGAGGAGGTCGGGAGTGAGAGCTCTGGACAGGAGAGCCCTCAGCAATCACTCGGGATGAGAGAGTCCGCCGGGGCTCTGGTTTGGCCGGCAGACTTGGTGCCTGCCCACACTTTGTCTTTGGCTCGCAGTAAAAAAAGACAATCCAGGTAGATTTATGGGATTGACCATATGCCAGGCTCCAGGTGGACGGGAACTTCCCCGGACCTTTCTAAATAGTCCTTAATCCAAGTGACAGCTTGATTTCGTGGAGTAATTATTGAGTAATCACCTAGGGTGAGTTCTTGAAATGGAAATGTGGGTAGAAACTATAGACATTTTCTCTTTGTTTTTTGTTTTTTAAATTTTATGTTTAATCATGTGTGTATGTGTATCTGTATGCCATGTGTTGGGGGTGGCCGAGGAGACCAGTAGTATCAGATCCACTGGACCTGGGGTTGCAGGCTGTCATAAATCACCTGATTCACGTGCTGGCAATTGACCTGGGGTCCTCTGGAAGAGTACCACACCCTCTTAACCACTGAGCCATCTCTTCAACCCCCACGCCCCATGGGCATTTTTAAAACTTCTTAAAGCTTCCTCAGAAGTGGTCCCTAACAAGCACAAGGCCCCGAGTTCAAACCCCAGCACTGGAAAACAAGCTCAAGGCCGTGCGCTGTATCGCCACTGGAGGATGGGTTGGTAGTATTCGAAAGTGTATATTTTTATTATACCTTGCTAGTACATTTCTTTGTATTGTTCTTTTTAACCTTTCAAGAAAATACTTTGTAAGTCGTGATCATTTCCTCCTGGTTTCCAGTATTCACTTTCAAAACTGCTTTAATGCTCTAGTAATATTCCAGTTTGTATCATGCCTTATTCCCTTAACCTCCTACAATTTGGGACAGCTGGTTGGTTTTTTTTGTTGTTGTTGTTGTTGTTCTCACTAACATAAATACCATGGTGATGAACATCCCTCCCCATCTCTGAGCATTTGATCGTTCTCTGCAGGATAAATTCTGGAAATGGAAACACGGGTTGAGGTGTGGGCATTTAAAGTATTGAGGTGTCTCCTCTTAGCCTACAGCGTGTTGAGTTCCGACTCCCACCAGCAGTGAGTAAGGCTTTTTCTTCCCACACCTCACTAAGAAAACTTGTTGATTTGACAGATGGAAAGTGTACCTCCATTGGCTTTTTCCATTTCTAGAGACACTGAATGTTTTTATGCTATTGGTTACATGCATTTCTTTTTTTTGTAATTATCAATAGTCTTTCTTTCCTTTTAAAAAGAGTTAAAGTATTCATACATCATTTTCTAAGGGATTTACATATTTTAATATACTATTAAATATGTAATACAATATTTTATTAATTCTTTGAGACTTTCATATAATGTATTTTGATCATATTCACCTCCCAACTCCTCCCATATTCACCCCCACGTCCTCTCCCAACTTTTGTCCTCTCTCTCTTTCTTCCTTTCTTTTTTCTTAAATAACCTACCAAGTCCACTTTGTGCTCCCCTTATACCTTTGGATGTGACAATGTCCACTGGCCCATGGCTGACCTACCTGGGGCCACACCCTTAGAGAAAACCCGTTCCCCCTCCTCCACAAGACACCGACTGTCAGTAACTCCCCAGTTAGAGGTAAGGGCTCTTGAACCCCGCCCTCCATGCTTGGCTGTTGACTGGCTTGATCATATGCCTGGTCAGACAGCCGCAGCTGCTGGCTTTACACACTTTTTAATATGTGTGAAAATGTTGGACTCATCCTGTGTAATGACCCTCAGTGCCCAAGTGTTTGGTTTTGGCCCCTACTTCTGCTGCCTGGCCCATGTTTTAAAGGCAATCCAAGGTATCTTAATAGATCCAAAAATATTTCAGTATGTAACTCTAAAAAATGAGGATTCTTGGGCCAGCAGGTCAGAGTACTTGCCATACAAGCCTGATGAGCTGAATGACTTCTGCTCAGTCTAAGGAACCTGCAGCTGAAGAGAATGGATTCCTGAACGTTCTTCTCTGACCTCCACATATGTGTTTGCACGTGTATGCAAATTTTTTACAATGTAAATAAAATCTTAATTTTAATGTAAGAAAATAGCTCAAGAGATTTTCAACATGGAAAAGATCTTTAAATTTCACTTTTAATACCTGCTGCATATATTTTCCCTGGGGTTTTGTTTGCATTTTAATTTTATTTATGACTTCTGTTTTGTAGTGCAGAAATTTAAGTTAGTTAAATTTATACATTACTCTCTTCACACTGCCTCTGTGCCTATTGGAGGCTAAATAAGATCTCAGATCGTATTCAAGACTAGATGAGGTTTTCCTCCTGGTGGTTGGTTTGTTACAAAAAAACACTTCAGGATATTCATGAGAATGCTAAGCAGTATTGAAGCCAGCAAACACTGTATCTGGTTCCTGTGTTTTTAATAAATACGTTGGTCTAACTCTCCATAGCCGGGATCTGTACGTCAGCTCTGTTTCTGATACTCTTTCTGTATCCTCAAGGATTTGCTATTCCTCGGGCTCTTTGTTTTTTAAAGCAATCCCTTTGTCAATTGTAACTTCTGTCCTGGGGTAGTTAGGGGACCAGGTATTCAAGCTTGGCAGGCAGGGATTGAACACAGAAAATAGGAACTTAAAGTTTGAATTAAAAAGCTCTGAGTGGTGACCCAGGTATTATGTTGTTAGTAAATTCCAGACTTTATGAACTCTGTGTGGTGTGTTTGGGGTTTTTAAGTCCTAGGATTATTGTCTTGGTCAGCCTTTTTGCTGATTGGTCTACACTGTATTCTGGTTCAATGAGTCGGTTTGTCCAGACTCATAAACACATATTTTCTCATTATGCCTAATTTGCTGCCAATGTAAGGACAAGCAGTAACATGTGAAGATAATTCACTTTGGCCAGGAATCTGGGCGTGAAACCCCATCTTCCACTCAGGCATCCAGCGTCAACGGGACGGATGATGAGAAGGCCTCGCATGCGAGTCCGGCTGACACCCACCTCAAGTCTGAGAATGACAAACTGAAGATCGCTTTGACACAGAGGTGAGGCTGCTTCCAAATCCACACCCTCTGTTCTTTACGCTCTGTTTTCCCTGGAAGCCTTTCCGGCTGGGCAGGGTTTCCGGAACTGGAAGAGAAGACTGTCCTGCTCGGAGAATCACATTTTACCTCCTCCTCGGTAAACTCAACTTTACCAGTTGGCTTCACTGTCTAGCTGTCAGGCCAATCATTCAGTGTGTATGAGTGTGTTAGTGAGAGGAAGTGTGTGTGGAGGATATAATTATGTGTGAATGTGTGTGAGAGAGTCTGTTTTGTTTTTTTAAGAGAAATATTTACCATTTATTCATCTAGGACAAGAAAGAGTTAAGCATCCAAGAGAAGCATATAAAACCCTAAGAAATGTCAGCTCTCTTTGAAAAGCCAACACCCACGCTCTCAGGTGTGCCCTGTGCCTTCCTATTAACCACTGTGCTTAGGATCTATGAAAAATACCTTTCAATAAACTCCAATTCTGCTTTAAAAAAATCTAAAATATGAAAAATAATATGAAATCACATACAAAACCAATAATAATCCTATCTATAAAAAGGATAGGATAGTATTTGAAAAAGAAGTTTCCTTTACAGAATTAACTAGAACCATAAACCCATGGGAATAAAGTTGGTGAGGAGCATCCAGGATGACGTCAGCACATGGTTTCGGCTGCTGTTTTGAAGCAGGATCTTTAGCATGAGTAAGCCCCACCTCGCTCTGTAGCTGAGGACAGTCTTAAACTCCAGTCTCCCTGCCTCTGCTTCACCGGTGCCAGGATCATAAACACGCGTCACTTTAAAGTGATTTTTGAGGGTCACAAATGAATGATTTAACACGTCAACATATGATTTCTGGTCTTTAAAAATATTTATGGGGAAAGATGAGAGGGGAAATTTTTATGGAGACTCGCGAGATGGCTCACCGATAAGAGTGCTTGCTGCTCTTGCAGAGAACTTGAGGTCCGTTGCCAAAACCCGCACCGGGTGCCCCATAATTGCCTGTAACTCCAGCTGCAGGGGATCCAGCACTTTCTTTGGCCTCTGAGAGCCCCGGCACACATGTGGCACACGCACAAATAAAAACACAAGTCTTTAAACATATTTATAGTTAACACATAGTTCTACATACTTACTGCATACGGTGTGACATCAAATGAACATAATGTGTGACGATCAAATCAGAGTCAGCCGTCCCTCACTCCAAACCCAGGTGGCTTCAGTTGAGAAGAGGTAGGAAGCAGGGTGGTTCTCAAGGTTTGGGTTTCTTCTAAGTGGTTCTGTACGTTAACAGGACACCCATACTGATGACAAAAAGACTGACATTTTAAATGACAACACAAGCTATTGTGTTTCTGGGTCTTCAGGACTGGCCTTGGTACCTTCCGACTTATTCTGCTCACCTGGCTGGGGGCTTTGGCCAGATGCCTTCAGTCTCCTTGTGGCTAAGAAGGTTCTCTGCTCTCCCTAGACTTCCCCACGTCAGAGCCGGCTCACCTTCAGGCCTGTCCGGTCTAAATGCCTGTTGAGGACACTAGGCACAGTTAGTAAAGTGACTCCCTGCCAAGGTCACGCGGTTAAAGCGAGCCTTTCCATCTCCCAGGTCTGCCTTGTTTGCACTCAGCCCTGCAGATAGTCTGTAGCCAGCCGCGCCCCAGCTGGAGCCCCCAAAAGGGCTGCCATTCACTGGCCTCGCTCAGCATCCTAGCTGCCGCTTGGAACGTAACTCCTGTGGGCTGACCTAGAAATTCCAGAAAGCACAAGAGACTTTTAGATCCCACCTTCTGCGTCTGGATGCTGGTTCTTTTTAGGTGCTTCAAAGACAAAACTGACCAGTCTCTTTTCTTACCTATCTTTGGTTGTTTAACTCACAGTGGGATGCCCAGATGAAAATATTCCAACTCCAAAAATAAATGTTTTCAAGTCCAAGTTCAGTGAAAAGCAAGTTAAAGGAATAGCCCTGAAGCCATTCCCCTAAATTGGCTTAATTCTCAATCATCACCTCTAAAATTCATCAGATAAAAACATGTTACTGGGTTTTTTATTCAGTCTGTGGCATTTAAACCCGAAAGCATGCATTTCCCAATCAAATCATAGATTTATGAGGCAGTAGATAGAAAGATAACACTGTTCAGATATGGTGTATATATTTCAATTTTTTCTTTCAGTCATTAGAAAATGGGCATTCCTCAGCTGAGCAGAAATTCTCTGTGTGTGTGTGTGCAGGTTCCTGTGTGTGGAAGTGTGCATGCACTTGAGTGAATATATGTGTGTGGGGGTGTTGTATGTATGCATGTATGTGAAGACCAAAAGTCAACTTTGTATGTTGCTCCTCAGGAATCCTCTACCTTGGAGACAGAGACAGACATCGAATACTGTATGTGTCTGTAGAGAGCGAGACTGACTTACTGTGTGTGTCTGTGTGAATGGGGTACGTGCATGTGTGTGGGGTGGCATGCACCTATGCGGACGTACAGAAACCAGAGGGGATGTTGGCGTTTTCCTCTATCACTTTCTACCTTATTTTTTGAGTCAAGGTTTCTTGCTGAAACCTGAAGCTCCTGATTTGGCTGGGGTGGCCCACCCTTTGATACGGTTCCTGTGATCCGGTTCTGTCTCTGGCCCTCAAAGCTGGGATTACAGGCACATGTGGCTATCTGCGCCCAGCTTTTACATGGATGCTGGGGAATGGAACTCTGGTCCTCTTGCTTTCACGGCAATCACTCTTATCCCGTGAGCCACCTTTCAGCCCCATTTTTGTTTTTCTGTTTTATTTTAGACAGGTCTCTCTGTAGCTCTGGCTGTCCTGGAACTCACTCTGTAGACCAGACTGGCTTCAAACTTAGAGACATCCACCTGCCTCTGCCTCTCCAGTACTGGGATTAAAGGCATGCGTCACGATGCCTAGCTCCCATTTTGTTTTGTTTGTTATGGTTTTTTTTTTTTTAATTTTGAGATGGGGTTTTTACTGAATTTAGAGCTTACCAATCATCTAGACTGTACAGCCAATGAGTCCCCGAGATCCTACTGCCTCTGCCTCCCACCACGGGGATTACATCATGCACCACTGTCCCTGGCTTTTACATGTGTGCTATAAATCAAACTCGGGTCCTCACGCCCATGTGACAAGCCCTTCAGAGACTGAGCAGTCACTGCAGCTGTGTGACAAGCCCTTCAGAGACTGAGCGGTCACTGCAACTGTGTGACAAGCCCTTCAGAGACTGAGCGGTCACTGCAGCTGTGTGACAAGCCCTTCAGAGACTGAGCGGTCACTGCAGCTGTCAGCAGAACGTCCTGTGGGTTTGTCCTTTCCAGCTCTGCTCCATCACCTCAGGTCACATTCGTTATTGCAACTCTCTGGACTCCAAGACACAGAAATGAAAGGGGACAAAGCGGAGCAATGACCCAGGGAGGCCTGGTTCCGTTTGTTGGAAGGGTCTTCTCTGGGCACAGAGATCAAAGGTGAAACAGGAGGCCGTGTGTGCTCTTAAGAGCGGAGCTACCCCTGCCTTCTTCTAGGGCAACTCTTTAAGAAAATGACTGGATAAGGTGACATGTTCCCACTAGAAAGAGACTCCAGGCCCCCTGGGCAGTTGGTGCGAACAAACCCAACGGGAATGAGCTGACTGGTAGACAAGGGTTTGAGCTTCCCTTGGGGTGAGCCGAGGAAGGGCAGAGTTCCCATCCCCCGGCAGATGGAGGTGCGGTGTGATGGACACCACTCCTAATCTCTGCCCTCCCTCGTCCCCCTACAGTGCTGCCAATGTGAAGAAGTGGGAGATTGAGCTGCAGACCCTGCGGGAGAGCAATGCCCGGCTGACCACAGCCCTGCAGGAGTCGGCGGCCAGCGTAGAGCAATGGAAGAGACAGTTCTCCATCTGCCGAGATGAGAATGCCCGGCTCCGAAGCAAGGTGGGCTGACAGAGGGCCCGGGCAGCCGGAGTGGGCCGTGGGGGAAGAGCCGCTGGAGGCCCTTTTCCCCTGTCCTCGTTAGCCTCCACCCCACAGGCAGGAGAACGCCGTTTTTATCTTCTCCTTGAACATCTTCCTGTCTCTCCTAGCGGGATCAATGGTATCAATGATTGACTTTGCATTCCTAAGGAAGAGAAAAGTGAAGCAAAACCCCCTCCCAAGGGTCCCCCCATAGTCCTCCAGGCTGGCCTTTTGCTGTAGGTGAGATTCCCTTAGCATCTCTGTGGCTTGGGCTTTCCAGTGGAGGAAAGGGAACCCAAGGATAAATGAGAAAATTGATCCAGGATGCTGAGGAGTCTATTTCCACAGAAACCCTGCTCCCATCCAAATCATTTTTTCTAAAGATGTAAATTTGGAAGCCAAAGGAAGAATATACGTTTAGTAGGAGAACGTGGGTGTTCTGCGCAGAGCTTTCTGTTGTCCGACTCTGATGACTGAGGGTTTAAATTGTCCTCACAATTTCCCTGTAACCAACCCTCCGGTCACCTTCATCTGTTGTTCTGCGGCACTGATATGGAAGTCTGGGATGCTCAGAGACGCCCCTGGAGAGGTTCTCAGGTTTCTGTTTAGACTGTATTATGTATGAGCCCTGTAAGTGCAGACTTTTGGGGGGATCTGTCCCTTGACCCACATGTATCCTTTGCCCTGACTGGCCTGGGCGGAGCCACTGTGGCGGAGCCCGACTCCATCTCCTTCCTTGAGTGCTAATTACCACAGAGCTGCCTTGTGTCATTTTTATTTCCCATCCCTGTGATGAGCAGGCTGACAGTCAGGGCACCGGGCCAGTTGCTGACTTTGCGTGCTCCTATCTGAGCCCTGGCTGGTCTGCCTGCTGGAGGGATCAATGGCACCTCCTTTTCAAGCAAAGAGCTGATTTTCTCCCTCTGGTCTGAGCGTGATAGCCAAATGCAGTGCTGAGGTGTGGGGTAATGTCACCCAGAGTCCGGGAGGGCATGGGCCTCCCTAGGACGAGCTCTTTGAGTCCTTGATTTCCAGGCTGGAGGTAGAAGTTGGGATCATCAGTGTCAGTGGGGCTGAGGGTTTAGGTCCTGAGGCTTGGTGCGGCCACCACTAAGAAGAGGCGTTGTGTCAAAAACTGGCTTTGTCTGAGTGTAGCAATCAGTGTGGCTGCTTTGGACTATATATTGGCTCCACTCCTGCTACCCGCTCTGCACACGCATTTTGGTTTCCACAAAATGCTGAGCAACTGATGAGAGTGTCAGTATGTGAGGACTCTGTACTCTGCCTGATTAGCCTTTTCCAGGCTCAGGCCCATGAAAAGATGCAGTACTGGAGTTTGCTAGTCAATCTTAAAGACAATACCCCCATACACTGCTCCCCAGCCAGGACCTTTCTGTGAGTATCAGTGGGTGGGGGTCATCTTGAGCTGCAATGATTGAGATGTCTTTGATTTCCTGTCCAGCAGCATTGTTAAATTCTACTCGGCCACCTTAAACCCTTGAGATGAAACTAAGTAATTCAGAACATGATTAAAATGATGTCAAAGCCATTCTTGGGGAAAACAGATCAATTCAGGGGACGTCTGGCCTGGGACAGATATGTAAAGCGATCCTGAACCTACTCCCACATGGCCATAAAGAAACCCAGAAGCCCAGCACACAAGCCGGGTTTCATGCCTTACTGGCCCCGCTGACAAGCAGGGGCAGACAGCACAGGGGAGCTGCGTGGTGCCTGCTTGGGGAAAGCAGAGAAGTGGGGTCGTCCATGGCTCATTTGAAATGAGAGCATGAAAGGAGTCAGGGCAAGCTCGTGTTCAATGATTAAACCTCACCCTCGCCCCAATTGTCCTTTAAGATCGAGCAGCTGGAAGAGCAGTGCAGTGAGATAAACAGGGAGAAGGAGAAGAACACCCAGCTGAAGAGCAGGATTGAGGAGCTGGAGTCAGAGCTCCGAGAAAAGGAGACGGTGAGTAGAGAGCGCTAAGTGGGGCCCTCGGTGACCCTGGCCTTGCACGGTGACCTCTGTGACCTGCGCCCCTGGCAACTGCCTGGACTCCAGGACAGGGAATCAGGACTTGCACCATGGCTCAGCTTCTCCAGAACCAAAACCTCACACTGGCCCTTGCAGCATGTGTCTATGGCACTCTAGAGTGAACTGGGGGTGGTGGACATAGCTCAGAAGGTCGGGTGCTTGCCTAGCATTCAGGAAGCCTTGGGGTTTGATCCCAGTACCATGTAAACCCACCATGGTGGCATGCGCCTGTAATCCCAGAGCTCAGGTGTAGAGGCAGGAGGATCAGGAGTTCAAAGGCCATCTTCATTGAGGCCAGCCTGGGATGCATAAGATGCTACCTGGGAAAAGAAAAAAGAAAAAAAAAAAAAAAAAAGAGAGTTCCCAAAAGCCCTGGACGGTCTTAAAGATCACCCACCAGCAGAAGAGGCGTCTGCAGTCAGGCTCCCACAGCTAGTGTTTCCATTCTCAGAGGCACAACACTGGAACATGGATAAGTTAACGAATCCTCCCTAGGCCTCAGTTTTCCCCGCTTCAAAACAGCAATTCACAGTTTGTCAGATTTCATGCGATGATGCATCTAATACACCACACCCTTAGAGTCATCTGATGCTTCAGAATAACACTCCTCCATTGTTATTCATGTGAGCAAGACAGGTTCCAAGACCCACTAGTACACACACAACTCAGCAATTTTCAAGAGTATGTTTTTAATCTGGAGTGTGTGTGTGTGTTTAAAATTTTCTGTCTCCCCCAGGAGTTGAAAGATCTCCGAAAACAAAGTGAAATCATACCTCAGCTCATGTCCGAGTGTGAATATGTCTCTGAGAAATTAGAGGTAAGGGGATGTGAGTTGGTCCTGAGGTGATTGGCATGTCCCTGATTTCTCCACTCTCCCTCAGTTTTACATCTAGGAGGGTCAAGGGTGGGTTTCTGCTTACAAAATGCTATGATTGTGTATCACAAGCACCCCTGGGGGCTGCCTCAACAGTGTTGGGTTTTTGGTTTCTCCACTTAACAAACAGAGAATGGGTGACAGAAAACCCCTGCAGAACCACAGCTGATTAGGAAAGGGGCAGATGGGTAGCTTGGATGTACCGGGTCAGGTACAAGTTCACCTTGGCCGCTCCCCACCTCGTGACTTCGGGTGCTGACCTTAGACAGGCCTTCTTCACTGGCATCACCTTCCTGTCCGCAAAATGAAGGGTTTTCTTCACCCCTGGTGTCTCCTCACTTCAGTCCCCTTGAGATACACAAGGGGCACTTTCTTGAATTGCACAACCCCAGTTACAGCTGTATTGGTAACCAGTTGCTGGGCACATGTTCAAGAAAATCCTAGTTTAAGCCCACAGAATAAAGCTCTTCTATGGCACTAAAAGCCCTCCCTCACGAAGGACTGGAGGTTAGCCCGGGGCCGAGGAGGGCTCTTGTGGAGCCAAGGAAGCAGGCCCCGTTTGTTCTGGCTTTGGTAGGATATAAATGACAGGCGGTCTCTGCCGACCACTCCGGGACTGGGTCCCAGATGTCAAAGCTTCTCTGTTGGAATCTTTGGGAAACCCCTTGAGCGGGACTCTGCAGTCTACATTTCTGGTTGCTGCTTAGGGTGTTCAGGCCAGCTGTTGGCCACCTACCCCTTTTAGTCCTCCTTCTGAAGAACCATCAGGAAAGGAATTGGCACCACAAGATGGCCTGCTTTCTGGCTTCAGGGCCCAGATGTTTTGAGTGACGGCTCCATCCATCCCTGTCTTCCAGACCCTTGCCCTCTTTTGTCTTATCAGGCAGCAGAACGAGACAATCAAAACTTGGAAGACAAAGTGCGCTCTCTAAAGACAGACATCGAGGAGAGTAAATACCGACAGCGCCACCTGAAGGGGGAGTTGAAGAGCTTCCTCGAGGTTCTGGATGGAAAGATCGACGACCTCCATGACTTCCGCCGAGGACTCTCCAAGTTAGGCACAGACAACTAGGCCAGGCGGAGCCTAGGTCCTGAGTCTCAAGTGTGTGTGTGAGATGAAGTAGGCATAGGACATTCTCCATTTCTGTTGCTTCTGTAAATGCAGGTGCAGTCTGTCTGTCTCCAGACCAGTTGTGCCGTCCACCCACTCCTCCAGAACAGTAAATCTCTCATTTCTCTGGCCTTGGGAGGTTGTGGACAACTGGAAGCTTCTGACTCAGGAATCCAGAACTTGGTCTACCTTAGCCATTTACGCAGTCAGGGCAGGGATGTTTATATCTTTTTTTTTTTTTTAAGGGCTGTTGCAACCCTGTGAAACCCTGGGAGGGAAAGTATTTTCTAATCCAAGTATCAATATCCTTTACAACAGGCCACTGGGCGCCTTCTATTGCATAGCATTCAGAGTGTGTGACTCTCCGCAGATTTCAGTCCATGGGCACATGGAGGGAGTGTCTTTTCTCAGTATGCATTTGGATGCTTTAGCAGATGTATCTAACCTTTTGATGTTGTGATACAACATCATCATCCCCAGAGTTCACACTCAAGGATTGCAAAATTGGCTTACCCAAAAAGAAGTAATTGTCAAAAACAAACAAACAAACAAAAACCTTACAATGTTTTAAGTAAATTTACTATTTTGTGTTGGAACACATTCATAGCTATCCTTGGCTGCATGTGACCCTCGGGCTGTAGGCCAAGCCTACCTAGTTGAAAGGAACCATTTAGTGGAGACTTATCCAGAGGGAAGAAAACCCAGAAGTTTTGGGGTACACCTACAGATAGGGGACCACTCGTACCCACTGTGCCCCATCCTCCCCTGATTTGTATGGTTGCGACAATGTCCCTTTCTTGTTTTTTTGTTGGTTGGTTGGTTTTTGTTTTGTTTTTATTTCAGAGCATATGCTTACGCTGTGGGAACAGATGCAGGAGGGTGCCCCACACAGTGCCGGGCACACAATAGGTGCTTAATAAACATTTGTTCAACTAAACATAGAAACAGAATTTAGTGTTTTCATCAAAGCCCACAGCAGAGTTGAGACCCTGGTTGAATCCTACATCATCTATGTTGTGCTGAAGTGATCAGAAACGAAGGCAGTTTACTGCAGCTACCCCAGACTTGGCTCTGAGGCAGGGACTGTGGCAATGGAGCCATCACGGACTACTCTGAGACCCTCCTGCAGGGAGCCCAGCCATGATCCCCCTAGAGGTCATCGCCTTTGGGACCACCTTCTCTTCCAGGCAGAGGGCCCATAGTGTGAGGCTTCTAGGATAGTGGGAGAGCCTGGTATAGGAGCTATCCTGGGCTTAGAAGCTTGGCTGGGTTCCTATCATGGGTTTGAACAATTGAGAAGATATCCCTACAGGCCATGAGGGTAAGAGAGCTGCCCAGGAGGCAGCCCTTGACCTTAGTGACAGAGCATCTCTGTTCTACCCAGGTCTGCCTTTCCTTTCTTAGTTCCTGCTAAGGAAGGACCTGGAGCCATGTAGCTCTCCTCTCATAGAGACTTCTTAGTGTACCATTGGGCATTCAGGTCTGAGGTATCCTTCCTTAGGAGAGATTGTCCATGGGAGACAAGGGGTTTTATGTCCGGACCCCCAACACTTCTGAATGCCTTGGGCAAGGGGAACTTTGGTATTCCCTGCCTCTCTAAGAACCCTCTAGACAGGACTTCACACAGAGTAGAAATTCTTCCTCTTGACTTTGCATGAATGAGAAAACAGCCTGAGGAAGGGCCTGGGGCCGGCATGTTCGTGAGCCAGGCCCTGTGGTGATTTCCAAGTCCACATCTTTCCTTGCAGTAGCTGAGCAGTCACTCTGAGCAAGGGACTCAATTGGGATAGGAAAGGAAGGCAGGCTGGCGGTATGGAATGCTGAGGTGTGTTAAGGGGAACCCGTCAAGTGGAGGTGTCTTGTGCAACCAGAGTGGTCACCTGTGGGGCAATTCAGCCCGGGCTGCTGCTGGCCCTGCCTTTCCCCACAACTCCCAGTAGGCCTCAAACCAGTTGTAGCTCCACTTTGGAGAGCAAAGATTGCATTGGCTATGACCCAGCTTGGGGTGAGGGGGACTCTTCCTAGGCCGTCTTGTCCTCCCTGTCTGTCAGCAGCCTGGACACATGGCTGCCCAAGAGCGCTGGACACTAGGATCCTGATCTTAGGCTTCGGGTGAGCCTCTGTCTACGATGACATACTCATCTAGAAGGAGCTCTCTTGGCGGCTGGGGTGGGAGCTGGTGACATGGTGACATATGACGATAGTTGCCAAAGCCCCTTCTTCATCCTCATGGCAGTGACGTCCAAAAGTGACGAAAATGGGAATGTAGAAAGTTCTGGAAGTCATTGCTACAGTGGGCTGGCTGTAAGGTTGAGACCATGATCTCTACTGTTAGCCGTTGAGGAGTTTGGCAAGCTTCTTGTAGCCAGTAGGTGGGGAAAACAGAGTCTTTGTGCTGTTAGACTCAGGCATCCCCCAGACTGCCACAACCCAGGAGCCTAAGAGCAGCCTAGGGGCTCCCCTACAGGGTGATTTAGGCTCCACAGCGAACCCACAAAACTAAGAAAGCACTGACCTTCCCTTCCATCTGCTTTCTCTAAAGAGCTCATGTTTCTTCATTTGATTTCTTTTTAAGAACATCATGACCCAGGAATAGCCTGAATGGTCAACGGGAGACTGGCCCTGTCTACAGCCTCTGGCTCTGTACAGAGCAGATGACCCACTGAAATTGGTCAGTATCCACCCACACTGGTGTGGCATGCCCTCAGTTATTGTCTGGGACTGTTGTCATGACCTCACACCCTGTGCAGGTGGGTGTGAGCGCCTTCCTCCCAGCGATTACCGCTGCAGTGAGCCGCCTGCAGAACCAGGTTTCACGTGAGCTCTCCTGGCCTGGGCAGCTCCACGACTGGCAGTCTGTGCCTTGATTAGCTTACTTTCTGCAGCTGTTCGCAAGGGTCCTAAAAGAGGCCAGGGAAAACTCATAACCCTTTAACCATGATCCTTCTGTATTTCTAACTTAGGGCTGGGCAGGGAGAGGACCTGTTTCTGGTGCCTAAGGACTGTGAAACCACTAGAGGGACAGGGTGGGAGAGCAAAACAGAGCCCAGGCTAGACCTCCGATCATCTTCAGTTATGTCTCCCCAGGAGCTGTCACTGTAGACCTTCACTGGGTGAGAGAACTTGGCAGAGATCATCAACAGGAAGTGGAGGCAGAGTGGCATGCCCAGGGGAACCCAGCTGTGACCAGCAGCATGGGCTCTCGGGTCTCCTGACTTTGATCCACTGTTCTCCTATGCACCATATTATTCACCTTTATGTTCCTTAGATGCCAAGAAGAAATAAATACCCATCTGCCCTATTAAAAACACACCATAGCCACGTTATTTCAGTGTGTGTCCACCACAAAGGACAGCTGACAGAGGAGTGAGGCAGAATTGTGCTCCTGTTCACCATACATAGTGAGGGTCGTTTTTGAATGATTCTGGTTTGTAGGGAACTCTTCAGTAACCTCTCTGCTCTGAGAGGCCAGTCCGGTAGAACACAGACCGGCTTTAAGTTCTTTACTGAGGTTTTAATGGAAGCACACGCATCCTTTTCAAGAGGCAGAAGGCCTCTGACCTCAGAGATATAAACAGTGTTCTGGCCTAGAGATGGCCAGTCCAGATGAGCCACAGCTGGGGAGGTGCTGACTTGCCCAGGGCTTAGAGCAGTTTGCATGCTCGAAAGGCTGTCCCCAGGGGTAGCTGCTCTCCAGCCTGCAGGCTCCACAGCCACAGCCTTCAGCGGTGTGATGGGCAAGTGCATGCTCTGCATTTGATGTAAGACATCAAGGAAAGGGGGGCATATGATGCCGTTCACGTGCGGCCGGCCGTAAAGCATCATGATCTGCCCGTTTTGCAGGGCCTCTTTTTCTACAGACAAGTCTCCTCTCCTGCAGACACCAGGGGCAACTTTGAATGAGACCCAACCTGAACCTCACATGTAGCCAGGTGCATGCTTGGAAATAAGGCAGCCTGATATGGGCTCAAGGGAGGCTGCCCTTGAGGGAGCGCCAGCCACGGCTCTTTGCTAACAGCTGGAAGTGAGTCACTAGAAGTGGCAATCCTTTGATTCAGGGGACCATCACTGGATTCTCTGAAGCCCTTGCGACATGAACCAGAAGCTTTTAAATCAACATCCGTACAGATTATGATTTAAATAGACCATGGCTTCTGAGTACATGGCTTCCCCAAAGAAATAGACTATACTCTGGGGACAGTGGGTGTGACGGCATGGAGACGGAGTCCTAAATAGAAGTGTGAATGACTTACATGTCTTTTCCTTACACCTTTCTAAAGATGATAAATCCCTCTTTAAAAGCAATCCTGGCAGGAAGGTGACTTTGGTAGGAATTCTGAGCTGTACGAAATGTCCGTGTGTGTGTGTGTGTGTGTGTGTGTGTGTGTGTGTGTGTGTGTGTGTGTGTGTGTGTAAGGAAGCATGGGGGAAAGCCAGGGAAACCATTAGGAGAGTTCAACCACAACTCCATAACCAGGAGGAGTCTTCGAGTATTTCTGGTGGTGATGCTGAATGTTCTGGAATCCGCTTACAAGACTGTGGGTCTTCTGTTTTTGTGTGAAATTGTACGGTGCCCTATTCTGACCGTATGGCCCTTGCTGCAGAGTGACCTCCGGGCCACAGGGACCCCTACACAGTGGAGACCATGCTTGTGCACTTTGTCAGATTGGCAGGAGACTGATGTTTCACAGCTGTTGGGGTACATTGCTGTCTCTACCCCCCCCACCACTCCCCTGCCCCGTATCATTTTGGATAGGAAGACCTGGCTTTCATTCCATTGTGTGGTGTCTCATGATAGGACAGCAGGAAGACGTCTCTTACATCTTTGTAAGACCTTAATGCCGTGTATGGATCGGCTACGCAAATTATTTCTTGAGTACCATTTTTTTTTCTATCTAAATGCTTTTTTGGAATATAAGTAATAGATACTTTTTAAAAAAAGAAAAAGAAACTAAAGATAAAAGGAACAAAAAAAAATCACCTGTTGCTCCACCGTCTGATGGTAACCACTGTTAACCCGCGTGGCTCTTCAGCTTCTCCTCATAGCTGCTCTGTTCCTTTCCCATGCCGTACCATCTCATGCATACTTTCCTCATCACTCACCTTTCCTCGTCGGTACTCTAGCGTGAATGTACTTCTCCATCGGGAAATATGTAGCTACTACTTTTTTAACAGCTGCCTAGGTCAGACCTTGGATATTTAAGCTGCTTCCAATTTTCTATTCTTGTAGTCAGGACATGATACAATTGTTCTGACATCTTTGTAAACTGTTCAGAATCTTGACTTAGAATAAATTACTAAAATTAGTCTTCCCTGATCTCCAGACCCTGGCTCCTTTCCTTCCTAGACATGAGAGACTCCACTCACCACCTCCGCTGTGGTCAGTGATTTGGGGCCCTGTGAGTGATTGCAGTCAATGAGACATGAGCAGAAGTAACATGGGAAACTAACCAGGACTGGAGAGTGTCCCGTGCATGATTCCAGTGTCTCTGATCCTTTGCCTTAGCAAGTGGTGACACCCCAGGGTAGAACGTCTCCCAGCCAGGGTCCTTGAGTGACTGTGTGGGACAGCTCCTTCCTGTCCACCCCACCCCGCCCCCAACCCATAACGGATTGGGCACCAGTAGAGATAAACCTTACTGGTTTTACCACTGAGGTTTCAGGGTTGGTGTTTTTACTGCAGCATAACATGGCCCTTTTTTTAACTAATAAGAAAAAAGGCATGCATGTTTTTAGGGTTTTACACATATTTCAAATTGCCTTTCAGAAACATGCCCCCCACCTATACCCCCATTAGCAGTGTGTGTGAGTGCCCGGCTCCCTCTGTAACACTGTCATCAGCATGAACGCGGGAGCTAACGGGGTGACACTTTTTAGTAGAATCTGATCCTCGTTAGCACACTATTTATCAGACTGTATGTTTCATATCTTCTGTTCATCTCTGGCCAAATGAGGTCTTTAGTAGTCTCATTGATACTTTTTTTTTAATGTATAGGTGTTTTGCCTGCATGTATGTCTGTGCATCACTTGTGTGCCTGATGCCCAAGGAGGCCAGAAGAGGGCATCAGATCCCCTGGAACTGGAGTTACAGAAGGTTGTGAGCCACCATGTGGGTGCTGGGAGTCAAACCCAGGTCCTCTGAAAGAGCAGCTAGTGCGCTTAACCACTGAGCCATCTCTTCATTTTATTTTATTATTTTTTTTTTGAAACAAGGTCTCAACTATGTAACTGTGGCTAGCCTGCCACTCACCATATAGACCACACTAGCCTTAAATTCGTGTGTCCTTCTGTCGCAGCCTTCCAAGTGCTGGGATTACAGGCTTGCCCCACCACATACAGTCTCATTGATTTCAAAGTTTTTTCATAAATATTATAAAAATTACAATTGTATTATGGCTCTTATAAAAAATGCTTAAACATTACAATGAAACCTTTTTTTTTTTTGGTTTTTCAAGACAGGGTTTCTCTGTGTAGCTTTCCTGGAACTCACTTGGTAGCCCAGGCTGGCCTCGAACTCACAGAGATCCGCCTGGCTCTGCCTCCCGAGTGCTGGGATTAAAGGCGTGCGCCACCACCGCCCAGCACAATGAAACCTTTTAAATCAAATCTGTCTTTGCCTTTATAGTTAGTCCTTTGCTGTCACGACGGTGAAACTCTTCCAACTCTGATTCCAGTATGTTTTACTCATTAATATTATCCTTGCATAGTCAATGTTTCTTTTTCAACTGTTGAATCTCTGATCTAGGCCAGGCATGATAGCATATTCCTGTAATCCCAGTACTTGGGAGGTGGAGGCAGGAGGACAGCTGCACAGCAAGGTTAAGAACCAGCTGGCTACAGAGACCCTGTCTCAAAATAACAGCCAGGTGTGTGGTGCACGCCTTTAATCCCAGCACAATTAGGAGGCAGAGGCAGGTGGGACTCTGTGAGCTCGAAGCTAGCCTGGTCTACATAGGAAGTCTGAGGCCAGCCAGAGTTGCGCAGTGAGACTGTCTCTAAAACAAAATAAAACAACAAAATAAAAACTACCTTTCTATTCTACTCACAATAGTTCTAAATTGCATCAACACTATTTGGCGGGGGGGGGGGGGGGGGGGGGGGGGGGATGATCCTTTCTCTACTGATATTAAATTGCATTTTTGTTATGCACCCCACCCTTCCAGTGGGTGTGAACATGCCTAAGTTGCCCGTCTGCATATTCTAGTGCTGGTACTACAGTGTTTGGTAATCCTAACTTTAGGTTTAAAATCCCCAGTAATGACATTTTCTGAATTTCCTAGTCTATTTTATATACTAATATTTCCAAAAGAAATTCAGGGACCATTTTATAAATTTTGGAATCAGTGAAAATTGGATTATATAATATTTCTGTATTGCAAAAGAAGTAACATCTTGATAACTTCTCATTTCATTAGATTTATAATGCTCAGTTTTATGTCCTTGGTGTATTTTTTCCAATAAAGGTAATTTTTTCATTGTGGTTACTGTTGTAAATCTTTTCCAGCAGTTTACATTACTTAGGTGTAGCACCGCTTTGTTAATGGAGAGTCTTCCCTTCGTTTTCTAACTGAGGACACTACATACAGGTTACATAAGTTTAAACAAAATAAAAAATACTGTAGAAAATCAGTGTCTCTTATAATCAAAATTCTCTCTGATCCAAGATACTCAACAATTATGTAAAACACACACACACACACACACACACACACACACACACACACACACACACACGCACACACACACACACACGCACACACACACACACACACACACACTCACACTGGGGTTTTATCATTTTGACAGTCTGATACAGCCTTTCTGCTACCTGCGTTCTTTCCTCGGCAGACGATCTTGGCCACCAGGAAGCATCGATCTACCTCATTCTTATCTTGCACAGGAAAGTGTGTGTCGGCAAACGAGTCATTTCATTCATCTTCATGATTCTTTTCGTTCTAATACTTTTATTCTTAATTTCCTTTGCCTTCTTCGTAGGCGATAGCTTTGATTAGTGCTGATAATTTTACATCCAAATTTGTCTAAGTGTACTGGTCTTGAACCTGCTTCTCCATACTCTTCCCCTTGGTGAGGATATTTTCTTGTGTCTTTACAGAAGTACCCACGTGACTGTGTGTTGTGTTTTCAAGCCATGCTCTTACGTCTCTAGTGTGCTGGCAACTTTGCCAGTAAGGGGTCTTGGGGTTTTAGGAAACGAATTTTAACTTCTGTCAAGCTGATCAAATGGTTTTTTCTCTCTCATGACTTACAATGAGTCATCGTAGTAGGTTTGCTAATATTAGTAAAGCCCTCTTCCTGTTTCCACAAAAGCCTGATACAGTCACAGTATGTTCATCTTTTAATATACATCTCCTTTCAGAGTTAACAGTGGTTCCTCATGATCGGTTGGTCTGTTGGACATTCTTACTTTGTCTTATTTGTGCTTTCAGAATTTTCTATAAAAGTTGCCTGTTACTTGTGTAATAAAATTAAGAGCTTTACAATGAGAAAATACTCTTCTTGATTTGGTGGGTTCCTTTTATTTTAGAATTTCATCATATCTTATTAATAAGATGAGTGTGATTTCTCTGCTGTCTTTGTCAGGTGTTTTATGTGAAATTCCTTTAAAATATATCTTGGGACACTTTCTATATCTTTTTCTATGCCCTGGGATAGTTCAATAATATTCAGAACTCCCTGCTCTTTGAAGTTTTTATAACAACTATAAACTGTCCAAGTCTAGTGCCTTTTAAAGAAATAATCTTTTGATATTTACAAATTTTCTTTCCATGTTCATTGGCTCCTCAGAGTTTCTTCTCATTCTGTAAGATTTTTGACAAGTTAAATTTTCCAAAATGATAATTATCTTTAAGATTGTTTTTGGGACCTGTTGACATGAGGTTGTATTATTTTTCCCTTAGTGTTGTGTGTCTATGCTTTCCATTTTTATTCTGATTATTTTTCAGTAGTCAATTTTTATTCATCTTTTCAAAGAACCAGCTTTGGAATTTATATGTAAATTTCCAGTTTTATCGTTTTATGATTGTTGTTTTTTTCTATTTTTTTCCCTTGGTATTTTTCCACCTTTTCAAGTTAAAGGCCATCTTAACTTCCTGTCGGTGGAAGGCACAGTAATTCATGTTGCAGGACTGTGACCTTTCCTCTGAATGTATCTGTATCCCATAAATGTTTATGTATGATATGATTGTTATAAATAATTTATCATTTCAGAGTGGAGTCTATCTTTCACTGAGGAGTTATTTTAAATTATATTTAGATTTCCAATCATTTTGTATTTGTTGCTGTTGCTTATAACATTTATTACAAACCTCTGCTTTATTACCTTGTTGTCAAAGAGGATATGGTCAGTACAATTTGTGTGTTTTGAAGTTTATTAACATTTTGTTGAGACCTAATAAATTTTTAGTTTTAATAAGATCCCCAGGAAGTTGGAGAAAGTATATTCTTTGAAAGCAACAATATTTGATCTATGTGTATTAATTTCACCTTACTAAATGTACTATTATGGACTTTAATTTTTATTTACTTGATTCATTAAAGACTAAGAAAGGCTCATTCCCGTTATCACTGTCTGTCATTCCTGCTTGTGTGCTTCTGTCTGCCATAGAAAAAAATGGCCCTTTTATATTTAAGGGGGAATTGTTTTCTTAAACTTATTCCCTTGGTTTTACCCAGCTGTTGCTATGGAATTGTTTATGTAGAAATACACAGCTCAGCAAAATCTTTGTGTGTGTTTTTAAGCTGACAGAAACCTCTTGGAAGTCCTTTGTGCCTTGAGGTGTTTTGGAAATGCGTGATGTCCTTCAGCAGGCCAATGTCCTTCCAGAGCAGACCAAGGGTGCCAGTCTGGGTGGAGGCTCCCCAGCTTTTGGAACAGAATGGGGCTTCTTTTGAGCATGCAAACGTTTTCACTTCCTGTTTGGGGGCAGCCCTATGCATAGGGACACATAGGGGTTGGCTGCTGTGAAGCTGGTTACATTTCTGCCACTATGGGTCACACCGTGGCTGCTCCCCCCCTCTCCATGATGCACTTTTGTGCAAGGACCAGCTGTCTGATAGAGGCAGTAAGCATGGATGCCAGTTGCCTGGATACAGGGGGGGAAAAAAGCCAATCTCAGAGACTCGTCCTACGAGAGCAGACCTTTCCAGAAGAATTTCAACAGGCTCTGCACACAGCAAAGTCTGTGCCAGGCACAGAACCACCTTTTCCCAAATGTGTAGGAGGTGTGAATCCCAGCCCTGGCTCAGGAATGGAAGAAATATGACCTGTTGTGTCTTCATTTAATTTCTATTTTAAGCACTGTTGTACCAGGCTCATGTAATTCTGGGTTCTGTCTTTCTCTCAAGGTGAGTCTTTGATGGTTTGGGGAGGGCTTACATCTTCCCCGGGTGGTTTTTTTTTTTTTTTGCGGGGGGGGTGGGGGGGGGGGGGGGGGGGGGGGGTGGGGGGGGAGCATGTGGAAGCAGCCCAGGCCATATCTGCTGAGATGTCCTCTGCCCAGTTCTCCCAGCTATTCTCTCTCTCTCCTCTCTCTCTCTCTCTCTCTCTCTCTCTCTCTCTCTCTCTCTCTCTCTCTCTCTCTCTCTCTCCTCTCTCTCTCTCTCTCTCTCTCTCTCTCTCTCTCTCTCTCTCTCTCTCTGGCGCATGGGAACACAGGACCTGCTCAGATGCCCTCTGCTGCAATCACAGTGGCTCTGTGCTCTTGGCTCCCTGGGCCCTGTCTGAGCCATCTTCTGCCTGAGGCCAGCAGGCTTCAGGTTGTGGTGAGTTAATGGTAAACAATGGGGCTGTGCCATAAACCAGATGAGCATTTGCATGGGACATCAAATCACCAAGTAGCAAAAGGATTCCCTGCCCACTCCCAGCACAGGCTGCCTTTGCCGATGGCCACAGCAGTGGGCCTCTACGGTCCCTCTGACTCTTTCCTGGTCTGGTTTCACTGGGTCTCCAGTGCTTTAGCCTAGGATGTTGCCCTTTGGTCCTTCCTCCTCAGACAGCCTGGTGGTGTCCCTGGGCAATTTTCAATGGCTGTTTGCACCTAGCACACTGCCTTGAGTGTGTTCATGCTGCCACACCTCACTTGTGTGTACAGGCCACCTGTGCTCCAAGGCTGGCCCTGCTGGCAGCGTCATGTGCCCTTCCTTGCTCACACCTGTGCTCACTGCTGCTGTGATCACACCATCCCTGCTCTCTTGCTGGTCCCCTCACTCCAGGATCTCCTCCATTTCCTGCTTATTCTTACACAAAGTTACCAGAGATTTTTTTTTTTTTTTTTTTTTTTTTTTTTTTTTTTTTTTTTTTTTTGCAAAACCCTGGAGTAGATCAGCTTCCAGATCCATCTCTTATTGGCTTGTCTACCCGAAAAGGTCATACTGAAGAGGTCTGGCTGCTGCATATTCTCTCTGTCCTTTATTCATGTTGTTCCCGAAACCTGGAATGTTCTCTTGTTCCAATTCCACTCCTCTTCTTAGGCCCAAGCTAAAGGTCCCATGAACTCCAACCACTCTTGGGGGCTTCTCATGCTCTGAGTGACTTACCATACATAACAGGGGTTTGTTCTGTTGGACAGTTTTGTGTATCCCAGGCTGATCTTGACCTCAGACTCTGACTTCTGTGGATAGTGTTAGTATTTTATTATTAATGCTCTGTTTTTAACTATTTTCGTGGATCTCGAAGGGGACAGCTTGTAGCACTTGAGAATCTTGAGAAGAAAAGAACAAACCCACGATTGTCCAAGTAAAGCAAGCTGTATTTGGGGGTGCAGCCAGGACTGGCCAGCCGGCTGTCTCACCCTGAATTGGGATTTGAGAGGGCAGCCCCTGCAGGGCTCTTGAAGTCCCTTTTATAGGAGGGAGAGAGAAACTGTTCACAGGGTGAGGGTCGGCTGTTACACCTTGTTGGAGAAATACAATGAAAGGGAAGGAAAAAGGCTGAGGAGCTACATCATGGGAATGGGCTTGCAAATTCAGTGTAGGTTGTTAAAAAGCATGTTTTGCAATTTACATCATATCTAACAAACAGGAACTTTTTTTTTCGTTGTGGTTTATCAAGACAGGGTTTCTCTGTGTAACAGCTCTGGCTGTCCTGGAACTCGTTCTGTAGACCAGGCTGGTCTCAAACTCAGAGAGTTCTGCCTGCCTCTGCCTCTCAAGTGCTGGGATTAAAGTCATGCGCCACCATCACCCAGCCAGGAACTTCTTAATTACAAATAGAAACCTTAGCTTGCAAGGATTTCACACGGGATGAGCAGGAACTTATTCTTAACTGTCTTAACTGAAAACAGAAACCTTAGCCTGCAAGATATGTTGTTCCTGTTTTGGTCTCCTACATGTGGTCCCGGGGATTGAACTCAGGTTGCCAAGCTTGGTGGCATGTCTTTGAGCCATCTCACCTGATGGTAATACTCAGTGGGTATGTTTGTGTGTGCCTGTGTGAATTTATGTGTGTCAAGTGAACACAGGTGACCATGGAAAGAAGAGGGTGTTAGATCCCCTGGAGCCAGAGCTGAGCTGGTTGTGAGCCACCCAACTCAAGTAAAAACCAAACCCATGCTGTTTGCACAAGCAAGTGCCCTTCCTCACTGAGCCATCCTGAGCCCCCAGATGTTAGAATTCCTAAGGATGGTCTCTGAGCAGCTGCTCTTCGGGTCTCAGCCTACTTTAGAAAAACTTCCTAGCGTAAGTCCCCTGCCTGGCAATCTGCCTTAGGCAGAACAATGGCCTCAGAGAGGAACCTATGACTGTTTGAGGCAAAGGGATGGCAGGTGGGCTTTACCTATATTGTCTGGGTGGTCTTATGTAATCACATCAGTTCTTATAGATGGAATCACCTTCCAAGCAACTGTCAGAAGTAGATGTACAGTGGTAGAAGGGCCAGGAAGCCACACACTGCTGCTTTGGAGACAGGAAGGGGCCACAAGCTAAGGAACTAGGCCAGGAAGGGAATGGCTTTCCCCTGGAGACTTCAGAAAGCACAGTTCTACTGAAACCTTGATTTTAGCCCGTAAGAACCACGTCAGACTGCTGCCCAACAGAACCCAATGAGGGTTGTGTCTGGTGAGGCATGATGGCATGTGCCTGTCTGTAATCCCAGCACTTGGGAGGTAGAGGCAGACAATCAGTTCAAGGTCGTTCTCAGCTACATAGTGAGTTCAAGGCCAGCCTGGGCTCTATGAGATTCCCAACTCTACATAGTGTGTAGCTTTAAGCCACTGTGTTGGCAGTGGTTTGCTAGGGCAGCAGCAGAAAACTGGCCAGTCACATGAACTTACATGGTTCCACAGAATGTGTGGTAATTAATCATTCTCACTCTGCCGTGAATTATTTCATTTCAGATGCAAATGAATATTCAGATGAACAAATCTATTTGACTGGTACAGCTCAGTCTGCTCTAGTAGAGTTCAGAGAATGTTGCCAGTGTGTATGGCCACCCCAGGACCAGCTCCATCCGCAGTCCAACCAGCTGGGTATACACACTGCCCACTGACTATCCACTAATTTATCTCTGAGGCTGGGTCTTCAGTATCCAAGGCTTGCCTGACTTAGGATGTAGCCAGGGATGACGTTTACTCCAGCCCCTCCTGCTGATACTTCCCACCTGCTGGAATTACAGGTGTGCACCACTAAGCCTGGCTGTATGCCATGCTAGGAATTTAAGTCAGAGCTTCATGCACATTAGGCAGGTGTTCTACCAACTAAGCTACCTCCCCAGCCCATGGGATTACTGTGGAGGACCAGCCCCCACCCTTATTTACCCCAGGAACTCTTGAGGAATGAGGGATAGAGACTTAGTTAGAGACAGAGGGGAGAGAGAAACAGAAAACACAGGATGGACTTGGGTGGGCCTGGATCCTCATCCACGGGCCCAGAACTTTATTCCAAAGGTCTGTTTATAATAATGCCAAGGGGTGGAGCAAATGACCTCCCCCTTGCTAGTTACAGTCAAGTGTAGACCCTTACAAACACCTGGTACCCAGACCCGTGGTCCTATCAACCTCTCCATGCAGACCTGCTGGGTACAGCCACTAGGAAACCTAGTGGGCTCCAACAGTTTACCCTGTAGTCGTGCTGTGGGTGAGGGGTCACACAACACTGATGTCCAGAAGAAGGTTTAGTGGCCATGTGAGAGAAGGGGGCAGGGAAGATCCCAGGAAGGAGACAGCTATGGACAGAACGTGTCTGAGTTTGCCTAGATACAGTGTGTGAGTGAGTGTCTGTGTGTGTGTGTGTGTGTGTGTGTGTGTGTGTGTGTGTGTGTGATTTAAGCTTCAGAGCCACACTATGGGGCAGAGAGACAAGCACTATGAGGACATAAGAGTGTGTGTGTGTGTGTGTGTGTGATTTAAGCTTCAGAGCCACACTATGGGGCAGAGAGACAAGCACTATGAGGACATAAGATCAAACCCCGCAGTAGGAAAGGGAGCTGCTCGGGGGACCGCAGCCAGTCCTTGGAGAATTTGTCTATCAGGTGCAGGGCTGGCCTTCACCCCATGTGGGTTGGAAAGCCAGGGAGATAGTTCCAGAGGCACAAATCGATGGGCAGTGCTCAGGAGGGCACACTGGGAGGTTTGGAGTCAAGACTACAGCGGGCACACTGTTCCCCTCCATGGTCCTGAGTCCCAGAAGTCAGAGTATGCGTTTACCTCAGGGCTGAGCCGAGAGAAGGAAGGGCAAGGGAAGAAACAAGACAGAGATGAGCGAGAGAAAGTTCTAGAGAAGTTTTACAATACTAAAGACACAACTGGATTAGGAACTTCGGAAAAACTCACCTTTGAAAAGAGTCACTTTTTTGAAGGCATCTCAAAACCATTGACAAAAGCAAACTTTTGACAAACTCTTGTTATCCAGACCTGATGAAGCTTCCCAGCCCCTTACAACACTGAAATTGTGGTACAGAATGAAAACACAGAACCAACTCAAAGTCCTACAAAGTTGTGATGCTTCTCAAATTCCAAATTCATTCCAGAGGCCCAGTTTTCTGCCTGTGGTGAGAGAGGAAGCCTGAGGCAAAGCCATTTTATGCCCAGCAGGCCACATGCCCCACCACAGACACCCCTGAACCTGTGAGGGAGCAGGTAAGAGCCAGTGTGAGCCGGGGCACATCAGATGTCAAAGCCAGACTGGCAAAGAAGCACCTTCAGCAGTGTTAGCCCTGGGGATGTGACAGGTGGCAGACCCATGGGCAGCCTGGCAGTGGCCACACAGAGATCTCCAGCCAGGCCACAGAGGCAGGTCCAAGTACAGCTGCTGAAGGACTTGGATGCCTCCCAGCCACACTAGGTTGGTACAGGCCAGATGGAGTGCAGAAAAACTGAAGGTGGGAAACAAGGCATGTGGGTTCATTTTGTTTGGTAGAAATTCAGGGCTGATGTCCCAAGAGTTGGGATAATGAGGTTAAGGGACACCCAGGCAGTCTGAGCAGTGACTAGGCTACTTTGTATTGGTCCCTTCCCAACTCCTGACCAGTTCCTGGGGTAAGCAATGCTGTTCCTGTACCCTTAGCACTTGCTCAACTAAATGCTGAGCTGAAATCTTAGAAAATTTTCAACCCACCCAAGCAGAAAGAACTTTGCTTTCATAGTGGGCCAGAGAACATTTCTTCATGACACAGATGTATTATAATAGTGTTTATTATGAGTTTCTGTAGTGCTGATACACAAAATAAACTTTATTTAAATATTTAAAGTAATTCTGGAATATATGCAATTTCTTCTGATTACTGCTAAAATCATGTTCACATTTGAGCCTTTAAGTCTGTGGAACCAGTGTTCACACACATGGAAGCACACTGTTTAATGTATACCACAGGGTTGCACCTCCAGGTCAGACAATGCCTCGAGCGTAGACACAGTTCTGTTCCCATGGCCAGCCCACCCACCTGTGGGTTGTGACAGTCACCCCGCCTCCACCGCTCTCCACGTGTTAAGGCCACATCAAAGCAGTAGTCCCAGGGAAGCCTTGCTGGTCTAAGGTTTATGGGTCATTCTGCCTCTGTCACCGGGAGACCCTAGTGGTCCCACTCGCCAGGACTCTGCTCATCACTGTCCTCTGAGTCAGCAGACACTCTCTTAATTCTTTCCAAGGCTGCCCTGATGCTCCTCTCCAGGTCGCTGGTTCGCTTCTTGCTGGGCTCTACAGTTGCATCTGGGTGGACTTTCTTCAGCTGCACCCCCTGCCTGATGGCAGCCAGGACCTGTTCATTGACTGAGGTGCGGGGAGGGGGCAAGGTAGGTGCTTCGACTTTCCGGAGAGAGGCCCTGCCCTGCCGGAGAGAGGCCAGCACTTCATCCATAGAGCCTGAAATTGAACAGACAGCACGTATGAGGAAGAAGCATACCATGTGTTTCGTTTCCAGAACACATACCCGTTTATGCCATGACTTAAACACCCACGGTGCGGTGATCTGCTGTCAGAGCAGAACCAAGATCCTTGTTTCAATCAGGACCACCTGGCAGCTGATGTTTTATCTTGACTGCTTACCACCCACTCCTTCAACTCCACTGAACTTCAGGCCACAGCCATACCCATCTTTGGTTGAAACGACCTAAGACACCCTCGAGTTAAGGACGCCAGCAGTAGAACAATGTGATCACCGGGTGAGACTTAGCTTCCTCTGAGTTGGATCACCTCCATTTCCTTTCCCATTAAAAACATCTTGAACATGCGCTCTGCATCCCTCTACTTCAGTCTTGGCGATGAGTCATGTGACTCACCCTGACAACAGGCACTCAGAGGTTCCCACACTCAAAGGCTCAAAGTGATAAACTTGTCGGGCGCTCAGTGAGCCCACAGGGAGGCACTGGCGCATTTCCTGTACAGCGGTGTTTAATTCCACCCACCTTACCTGAGGGGGCTAAGGGCTCGATTTTTGAGAGTATGAAATGCTGTCAAAATACAAATTAGCTCAGAGTTCCGAGACACTAGTGAGAAGCTGTTTTTTAAAACTCTGGCACCCTGAGAGGTAAAACCTTTCTTCCCTTGCTTGCCAGACACAGGGCATGAGTACAGTCACTAACTTAGACATCAGCCAGGTAAGCCTTCAGGATTAACAGTCATTTCCAGTTGGGGACTGAAGAGCTGGGCTATGGCTAACTAGTCTGTTCCATTCTGGACTCAAGCCCTCACCTTGTAATTCTGATTACAACCCCCTTTGAGAACTGACTGGGCAAGTTCCACAATCAAGGGTTCACACCTTATCCTCCAGTGCTGCATAGCATTTGTGAATTGAGCAGAGTCCTCGCCCTGCAACCCCCCTTGCATTCAGCCTAAGCTGAGAATACCCACCCCCCAAACACTAATCTAGGCAGACAGGAATCACTCTGTATTCACATTGTATTACAAACCCTACAGATGGGCCGCCTGCCACCTGACCCTGTGGACGCTCTCCTTCACACCCTGTTCTGGGTAGTGGAGCGCCAAACTTACAGTAAGCAGAGTGCTCAATTAACCAAACCCAGCAGGTACGTCCCATGAGCTTCATTCCTGCTCACTCCTATCCTGGTAATTGTGTGTTCTAGGTGGAACAACTCAGCCAGAGCGCAGCATTTTACCAGGCTTCATCTAAGACAACCCTCCCCAAAGCAGTAGGCGCTGAGTCTTGGCAGGTTTAGGCCAGTGTCCCCAAAAGCCAATGTCTAAAGCCATAATTAGAATTATGCATGAGAACTGTGGCCCTCACTAAACAAGTACTTGAGTGTATTCAGTGTGAAGACAAAAGGTGGCCTAATTTTCCAGTATTCTCGATTAAATTCAACACTTCAGAGATGTAACACCATTTAAAGCTGTATTGAGAAACACTAGCTGAACTCAAATCCATGCTGAAGTCCGGGACAGCCTGAAGAGGACTCTTTAACAGCCTTAGGAGTGTGGCACTGTATGATCAGCAAATGCAGAGATGTGTCTGCAGGCTGATGTAGCATGTCAAATTCAATCTCGCCTAGACTAATCACAATAAGAGTACTAACTAACAAAGCAACAAAGGGTGGGCTATTTGGAGACTAGAGAATTTTGAAGATGATTCTAAATTGAAACTATTGAGACTTCTTCAACAGCTTAAGAACGCACAGGGAGCGAGAGCAGAACTGCAGGGGGTTACCTGGACACTGGAAGTCTCCTAGACGAACACATGGTCTTTCAGCAGATGCCTCACACACTAGAGAGAGTGGCTGGTCCTCTGTTGCTGAAGTCCTGAGTCCTAAATTCTGACGAGTAGTAGCTTGAGAAGAGGACAGAGCTGGGAGAGGAAGTGGTGGGGGTGGAGGAGGGGGTGGTGGGGGAGGAGGGGGTGGTGGCTGTGGCGGTAGTGACAGATCCTCACTGAATCGGGAGGGTGTCTGGTCACCAACTGGAACAAAAATCTGGACAGGAATACCGCCAGAGGAGTCTTGAGGCTCAGGGGTTTTCATATTAGCTTCAGGTAAAGGAGTAACACTTCCAATTTTGCTAGAGGCAGGGTGAGCTATCTTGTGATGAGCTGCTGAGGACCTCCTGGGAGAGCGTCCACCTGAGAGGTTTGGCACCATGGTTTCTGAGCAAGCTGTTCTCAGTGCAGACGGAGGAGCTGGACGCTTCTGAGGATGAAAAACTAGTGAGAGATTGGCCACAATGGAGGCCATCAAAATGGTGCAGCTTCGCACACAGACCTATAAACCAACACCACCCTGTGCACAGGCATCCTAACCCATGAGAACTGCTGGCCACCAACACAGAGCCGTGCCACTGAGCCTGTTTTCACAAGTTCAAGGAGCATCCCAGGCACGGCTGCTGGAGTGCAGCCTTGAGCTCGGGACCACCCTGGGCCAGAGGGAAGCCCTAGCTTTTTCAAAACAAAAAATAAAGACAAAAAAAACAAACAAACAAACAAACAAAAAACCAAAAAAACACAATTATATTGTTTGACCAAGAGACCATATAATAATTTCTTATAATAAAATGAAGATGGCCAGGTGGCGGTGGCACATGCCTTTGATCCCAGCACCTGGGAGGCAGAGGCAGGCGGATCTCTGTGAGTTTGAGGCCAGCCTGGTCTACAGAGTGAGATCCAGGATAGGCACCAAAACTACAGAGAGAAACCCTGTCTTGAAAACAAACAAATAAACAAACAAATAAATAAAATGAAGATGAAAAAGATGCATATAGATAAAAATAATGAATATAGATGAAAATATTCATCATATACTCTTTTAGAGAGAGAGAGAGAGAGAGAGAGAGAGAGAGAGAGGAAAATAAAAACCTTCATTTCAGCAGAGCACTTGGGTTGTGGTTACATGCCAATGCTTCCTCAACAGTGATATGTTAGAGATGTATTACAAAGGAAAAGGAAGCTGGGGTACTTTACTTAGGTAAAGTACCTGTGAAAACAAGAGAACCTGGGTCCAACCCCGAGCCCACACTAAAAGCTGGTGTGGGGGCAGGTGCCTTTAATCCCAGAGCTGAGGGGACCTGTGCAGCTCCCTGGAGCTTGCCGGCCAGCCAGCACGGCCAGCTTGGTGAGTGTCAAAAACCAAGGTGGGCCAGGGTGGTGGTGGTGGCGGCAGCGGCGGTGGAGCACACCTTTAATCCCAGCACTCGGGAGGCAGAGCCAGGTGGATTTCTGTGAGTTCAAGGCCAGCCTGGTCTACAGAACAAGTTCCAGCAAAGGCTCAAAGCTACACAGAGAAACCCTGTCTTGAAAAAAACAAAACAAAAAAAAACCCCAAGGTGGACAGCTCCTGAAGGAGGACACCGGAGGCTGTCCTCTGACCTCCACAGGCATGCGCGTGCTTACATGTACACACTAAAAATAAAAATGAAGAGAAGTCAGCTAACACTAAAGGCAGTCAGGAGCCATTCAGAAAGGCGAGCAGGAACCCGAATTTGCTGTGATGTCAACAATAGCGCTGTAACCAGGCATGGTAGGTAGCACACACTGATACAGCAGGTGGGGGCTGATGCAGGAGGACTGAGTTCTAGGCTACGCCGGGAGTCACGGTTTGAAAAGCATGGCTCACTATTTGAATGCTTGAGGAACTGTCCGCGAGACGGGAGTAGGTGCAGTCTTACTGGAGGAGGTGGATCACTGGGACAGGCCTTGAGGTCTCAAAAGCCCATGCCAGGCCCAGACTCTAGCGCTCTGTCTGCTGCTACCGCTTATGCCTGCCAGCCTGCTGCCATGCTTCCCGCCATGACGACAGTGGACCCCCATGAAACTGTAAGCCAGCCCCCAGTCAAACACTTCTTGTCTAGGTAGCCGTGGTAGTGGTGTCTCTTCACAGGAACTAGGGACATCTTAAGACCTGCCTCAATCAAAAGAAAAGAAAAGCCAGCGGTTCCTACTGTGGCTTTCCAAATTTTTGTTCCCTGTTGTTAATAGCATTTTAAAATTTCTTTGTTATTGGGATGGAGAGATGGCTCAGAGGTTAAGAGCACTGGCTGCTCTTCCAGAGGTCCTGAGTTCAATTCCCAGCACCCACATGGTGGCTCACAGCTCTACAATGAGATTTGATGCTCTTTTCTGGAATGCAGGCATACATGTAGACAGAATATTATTGTATACATAATAAATAAATCTTTAAAAATCCTATGTTATCTGTTCATAATACATTACACTCTTTTCTAGGGTGGATAAGGCTCATTTATCTCCCCAGATAAAGAAGGTGAGTCTTTCTGGAACTTACCTCCCTATAAGCTCTTAGTCGCTCAAGTGTTTTTTGACGTTCATGGTTTATCCATTCTTTTTTCTTTTGTTCCTCTTCTTTTATTTTGTCTCTTTTCTATACATAAACAAACACATCCTTGTAAAGGCTCAGAATTTGTCATGTATGTGTAATTCGCCACGTATGTATTCATGAGGAAAGGAGGCCCACCCTCATCTGTCCCAGCTGTGTAGTTTCCATAGGCTAGCCCATCGATCATCAGGTACTCACCATCTGAATATTGTGGTGCTGGTGAAAATGTCTCACGCTCTCTTTAGCCTGCTGCAGTCTGAGCTGATGATTTTCTCGGCAGTGATCCTGGTGGGATAATACAAGTCACATACATGGTTTTTAGTAAAACATGAGATGCAGTAATGTTGGAAGCATTGCATTTTTGACTAACATGTAAGGTGTTCAGTTTCCACTGAAGGTCAATGATAGGTCCTCCTCTACAGTCGTGTGACAAGGACTGCCACAGGTGGCATCTGTTCCCAGCAGAGTGCTTTGAGAGATGAAGTGTCTCAACCATCTGTTTTAGTACATTTATTGATTGATTGATTTTGGTGGGGGAGGAAAATGCACACATACCATAGCACAGACAGAGGTCAAGGACAGCTATCTGGACACACACACGTGCCATAGCACACAGACAGAGGTCGAGGACAGCTATCTGGACACACACACGTGCCATAGCACACAGACAGAGGTCAAGGACAGCTATCTGGACACACACGTGCCATAGCACACAGACAGAGGTCAAGGACAGCTATCTGGACACACACATGCCATAGCACACAGACAGAGGTCAAGGACAGCTATCTGGACACACACATGCCATAGCACACAGACAGAGGTCAAGGACAGCTATCTGGACACACACATGCCATAGCACACAGACAAGGTCAAGGACAGCTATCTGGACACACACATGCCATAGCACACAGACAGGTCAAGGACAGCTTGCTGGAGTCAGTTTTCTCCTTCTATCATGTGGGTGGGTTCTGGTCATCGTGCTCAGCAGAGTAGGCCTTTATAGTGCAGCCATCTCACAAATGTTTAGACCCACTTCCCCATGTTATAGATACTGAGTATATATTTCCAAACTCATCTACAAAAACATAGCCCACCTAAAAATACCTGGAAAATGATGTTACAAACTGTACTTCTCCCACTTAACCACTCCCCTAACCCTTCATGTACAGGAATGCAGCAATATTACCATTCCCTGGGTGTGTTTTCAACCTCAGCTGCAGAGCCCGTTACTCCACGTTCACTGTGAAACCTGTGTCATTAGTGTTACTGTCTTCCAACAGATGAAAATCTCAGCTGAAGAGAAACTGGAGGGAAGGACTGGAAGGTGGCTCAGTAGTCAAAAGTACTCAAACTCTTGCAGAAGAACGGAGTTCAGTTCCCAGCACCCACACTGGGCAGCTCACCATGACCTGTAACTACAGCTCCAGGGATCTGATGCCTTTCTCTGGCCTCCACAGGCATCTGCATCCATGTGCACATATACACATGCAAACACACATACACAAACATATAAAAATAAATCTTAAAAAAAAAGCTGTCAGGCGGTGGTGGCGCACGCCTTTAATCCCAGCACTCGGGAGGCAGAGCCAGGTGGATCTCTGTGAGTTTGAGGCCAGCCTGGTCTACAAAGTGAGTTCCAGGATAGGCTTCAAAAACTACACAGAGAAACCCTGTCTTGAAAAACAAAAAAAACAAAAACAACAACAACAAAAAGCTGTCAATTTGCCCTTGAAAGGTCATGAGTGGCCAAGCTATGATTTCAACTGACAATGGAATTTGAAAGGGGACCTCAGCTTCCATCCTGTTAGCCCAGTGGAAGCTAGGCTGCACAGAGGAAGGCCACCATCTGCGGGGCAAGGGTCAATGCTCCAGGTCAGTATAAGACAATGCTTCTCAACCTGTGGGTTGTGACCCTTCGGGGGTCAAATGACCCCTTCACAGGGGTCACTTGACCCTTCACAGGGGTCACCTAAGATCATCCGAAAACAGATATTCACATTATGATTCATAACAGTAGCAAAACTACAATTATGAAGTAGCAAGGAAAAAAATGTATGGCTGGGGTCACCACACCATGAGGAGCTGTCTTAAAGGGTCGCAGCATTGGGAAGGTTGAGAATCACTGGTAGAACAGCCCCTAGCCCAGAGACTACAGCTCTAGGGCACAGACCTGCGAAGATCAGTCCAGGAAATGACGTTTGGGTGAGGAGTAAGACCCTCAAAGGCTAGAAAGGAAGGCACAGCTGGGCACCTGCCTGACATCCAAGCCACTGAGCATGCTGAGGTCGGCAGGCAGCTCAGCAAGGCCTGCCCTCAAAGGAAAACCAGGCTGGGCGTGCGGGCTCCAGCTGACCGGCAGAGCACTTGCCTAATAAACAATCCCAAATGCAAAAGAAAGGAAAAAAATTAAAACTCCAATAATAAAGCACAATAAATATGAGCAATTACATAAAATATAGGAACTTTCTCTTCTACTGGAAAAATTATATTTCTCAATGTTTTATGTAATTATATTGTTCTAGAAGAAAGCAATTGAGTTTCATTTTGCTTTGTTTTTTAATTTTTTTTGCCTTATGGATCTTTTGCTTGTTTATTTTAATTTTTCTGTTTTGTTTTGTTTTTTAAGAGAGAGAAAAGAAGAACATAAAGTTGAGTGGGTAGGGAGGTAGGGAGCATCTAGGAGGAGCTAGGAGAGGAAAACATGATCAAAATATATTGTATCAAGTTTTTTTCAATTAAAAAGAGAAAACAGGCCGGGCGGTGGTGGCGCACGCCTTTAATCCCAGCACTCGGGAGGCAGAGGCAGGTGGATCTCTGTGAGTTCGAGGCCAGCCTGGTCTACAGAGCGAGATCCAGGAAAGGCGCAAAGCTATACAGAGAAACCCTGTCTTGAAAAACCAAAAAAAAAGAGAAAACAAGCCAGGTGGTGGTGGCACAAGCCTTTAACCCCAGCACTTGGGAGGCAGAGGCAGATGGATCTCTGAGTTCCAGGCCAGCCTGGTGTCTTCATAGTAAGTTCCAGGATGGTCAGAGCTACACAGAGAAACCCTGCTCAAAAAACAAAACATGCCAGTCAGTGGTGGTACACGCCTTTAATCCCAGCACTCAGGAGGCAGAGGCAGGTGGATCTCTGTGAGTTCAAGGCCAGCCTGATCTACAGAGTGAGTTCCAGGTCAGGCACCAAAACTACACAGAGAAACCCTGTCTCAAAAACAAAACAAAACAAAAAAAGTACCATAGAGTAGAAATTCAATAAATAATTACTGAATAAACTAAAAATCTAGATATTATGGTACACTTAACTCTCAAAAGAAACAATTTTTTTAGCATTTTAAAATCTATTTGGCTCCAGCCACAGAGATAAAAACACACAGAACATTACTCACTATACACACATATACACATACATATATACATAGTAGATAAAACCTTCCATTCGAGGGAAACCCTAGCCGGAAGGACCGTACCCTCCTGCTCCTGAGCTGGGCCCTCCTGGCACAGATGCGGCCCCGCTGAGCCTCCAGCTGCTGCCGCTGCTGGCTGAGTAATCTCAGCTCTCCACTCTCACCGTGCTGCAGCTCTGGGTCGTGGGCCAGGCCCTTCAGCTCCTCTGGGCTTTCACACGGGTCGTAGTAGACCACTTCATCCTGTTTCTCTAAAAAGATGAGTGATTGTCTTAGACATGCTTTACTATAAGAAATAATTCAAAGATGTCTTTAAATGTAAAGAAAGACTAGCTGTAATTACATCATGTAGAGGAAAACAGCATTAACATTACATACACACACTTCTGACATAGCAGCACACAGTAACATGTTCTGTGTGCTGGAAATAGCATTTTAATGGCCACATAGTATTCACTAGCTCAAGCATTCTCAGAATGTCCCAGTATTCTGTTATTTCCGATTTCATGATGATAAACATCTCTACACATCAGTGTGTGTGTGTGTGTGTGTGTGTGTGTGTGTGTGTGTGTGTGTGTACTTCTTCCTTAGCGAAATGAATGTTCAGGGTTCTTTATGCCAAAACGCCCCAGCACAGCAAGGCTGTCTTGCCGGTCTTCACTTTTGATTATTGATTTTTTTAAACCATGCTTGTAACAATTCCAAACTCTACAGAAGCACACAGAATAAAGTTTTCTAACTCATCCCCAAACTTGAGTCCCATCCCAAAGGAAAACATCCTTCCAGATTAACTATTTAAAAATAAAATTTCCCCATGAATGTATAAAATGTTCACAACTGAAAAGAGCTGCCAAGGTTTTGGGTACCAGGATTAAGCAAATGCTGAGGCCCTGCATGAGGACCACTAGACTGGAAGGGCCTGGAGAAAGAGACTGAAGATGTGGAGAGACCTACCATGATCTTGGGTGGGAGGAATCAAAACTGCAAGACGACAATTCTCCCCAAGTAATCTCTAATTTTAAGCACAATCCCAATCAAAATTCCAGGGAGTTTTTGTTTGATTCTAAAGTTCATCTGGAAGAATAAAGAAGTGAGAGAGTCAGAGGACATGGAGCAGCAACAAGGGGTGTTAGCGTGAGCTCCGCAGGTACCGCAGGTACACAGGAGTGCGGAGACCTCGTTCCGAAAACCCGAAGCAGTCAGTAACGTTGTGTGTGCGAAGGCAAGACAGCGGAGGAACTGCTGGGAAACAGAGGAGGGGACATGGGGTGGTAAGGACAAGGACGGCTGTGAGCAAAGCTTGTGTAAAAATGAAAACAGATGTGAGGTGTGGTGGTGCACATCTGTGATCGGCCCTCAGCGGGGCTGAGGAAGGAGGGCTGAAGTGGGTTTGAGGCCAGCTACAACTACATAGTAAGACCCTGTTTCAAAACACCAAAAAGAGGAGAAAAATGGGGTGGGGGGAGAAAAGGTAAACTTCTCAAAGAAAAATGTCCATTAAGTTATTTTCACTATCAATTGTAATTAAATAAACAACTGTAAGATGCCGTTTTCTCTACCAAGTATCTGGAAATTCAAAGAGCACGGCGTAAATGTGGAAGGTATACCTCCACCCACTGATAGGGTATCCTTTTGTGCAGCCTCTCTAGGGCTCTTAGGAAATTCAGGAGCTAGAAACAACAGAGGGAAGAGGAAGATGTATTTCAGATTCCTGTTCTAATGCCATTATGGTAGACAGATATTAAAATGTTAATAAGCATTGCCCTTAACCCAACCATTCTATCTTTAGAAATTTATCTCATAAATTATCAGGAATCTGCATAGGACACACAGAGGAAAGTTTTCTGCTGCACTGATATTCAAGACAGGGAGAAACCAGAAATCACAGTATGCCTGTAAAACGGAATACTATGCAGCCATTAAAATTCTGAGGGTTTTTAAAAATTATTAATACTTAAATGAGTTTATTGGGTATTAGGTTAAAAAAAATGAGGTGACTTGGTAGAGTATATAGTTTTGGTTTTAAAACCCAATACTAATTTCTATGCATGTAGCACATTTTAAAAACCCTCCAAAGTTACCAGGAATTTGCTTTCACTAAACACCTCTACACAATGGTCACAAGGTTTTCTTTGTTTTTTGTGTGTTTGAATACACTGTTGAACAATAAAAATTCTGAAGGGAAATTAAAAACATTCAATAGATTTAACGGGCCATTTATAAGAAGAAATTGATAATCGGTCTATATTTCCTCGAACATGTGACTCAATATTTCATTCTAACACAAACTTGAATGTTACCTTTTATAAGTCTCTTCACAGAGTCCAACTGTGTGACAAGGATCATCTCTTCACTCCTCAGGATCTCAAGTTTAACCTCGTACAACTCCAACTGAATCTCATAATACTGAATCTCTAGCTCATCGACGACGTCTGTGCTCTTCCCTTGGCCTGGGAGATCCTCCATCTGGTTTGTATGGAGAAAGGGAGGAGGATGGTTAGCACAGTGCGAGCACGTGGCCATGCATCTTCCTGGGGCGGACTGTAAGAGAGGAGACGTGCCGGGACACTTCCGCCTCCTCTCAAGACAGAGCTGACCTCCTCCAGCATTCACACACCCCACCTTAGAGCAAGTCAACACATTCATGGTCTAGAAACATAATGGCAATGAGACCATGTCAGGGATGGAAGGTGTCACCCCAAATTTAAATGCTGGCACTCTAGGCCCCAATGGGACAGAGTTGAGGGAGCCTTTGGAGGTGATGAGGTCTGATGAGGTTGAGGGGTAAGACCCTGTGGTGGGAAGGCTCTTAGTAGAGACAGGAGAGGCCTGTGAGCACACAGCAAGGTGTGGTCAGATCCAGGAAGACAGCCCCCCCACCAGATGCTGAATCTGAAGAAGGCACCTCGATCTTTGGATGTCTAGTTTCCAGAGCTGTGAGAAATAATTAAATATCTTTGTAGTCAGCCCACATAGGGCATCTTCTTACAAGCAGCCTGATCTAAGACAGCTAATGACAAGATTCTGTTTTGAAGCTCCAAGATTACAGAAACTACTTACCTGACTACGAGCTGATGAAGAGCCACTTAGATTAAGATATGGTGGAGCACACGCTTAGCTATACTGGGCTAGGAGAGTGGTGGAGCACTTACATAGCACCTGCATGCAAGATGTTGGCTCCAGGACACTGTCACAGAGCGTGTGTGTGTGTGTACATGACTACATACTGAACATATTGCTGGATTGATTTTTTTAAAGAGAATCCCCCCATTCCAATCCTAAACTCAGTGTTACAAAACAAACCCTGGGCTCTATTTCAGAAACACCTTGAGAAGCAGGAAGGGAAGCATCGTGGCCCACCTTCATCAGCAGCGTATCTACAGGAAGCCTGTGTTGGGAAACACAAACAAGGGGAGCTGGTCCCCAGGGCCGAGGGGGAAAGGACAATGTGCTCCGAGGGGGGGTGTGTGTCTGCTCTCATCTCACCTTCCTCTGGATTTCAGCGCACCTGTGCTTCAGACACAGCTCTTTGGCTCGCATAAGCTGCAGAGTCTCCCGAGCTAACATGAGCTGGAGACTCTCTAGCCTGGGCATGGCTGTGGCCCAGGCAGCCTGGCCAAATCTCTTCCGGTCCTGCTCCATCTGTTTCTGCATTCCTGAGTTTATAATTAACAAAAGGAAACAGAAGTGCAACGCATTAATGAGTCCTGAGTTCCTTCTTCAGTGCATTTCTCTTTATAAACATCCTTTCAAAACCTCTTTATAATTTTATTGTCACACAAGTAACACTTGGTCACTGATAGAAGGAAGATTTTTAAAAGCAGGACAATAACAGCTCATGATCTACCTCACTGAGCCACCTGCTTTTACAGCTTGGTCCCAGACTATTTCTACGGCTAGACAGGCTTGTGTGAACAGTCTGGCCAGCATTAAACTCATTACCCTGCTTCAGTCGACTTTCAGATCCTAATATACTGGTGTGCTGGTTAGTTTTCATCAACTTAACGCAAACTAGAGTCACCTAGGCGGAAGAACGTCAACTGAGCAGTTGCCTCCATCAGACTGTCCTGTGGACAGGTCTGTACAGCATTTTCTTGACTACTGACTAATGTAGGAGGGCCTAGCCCACTGTGGGTGATGCCACCCCTGGCAGGTGGTCCCCAGTTGTATAAGAAAGCAAACTGTTGACTTCAGCCAGGGAAGCAGCCCCCAGCTCCAGCAGGCACTCTCTGGGAACCCACAGGCCACTGTGGCCAGGGAAGCAGGTGGCTAACTGCAGATCTTCACCTCTCCCTCAGCTCCCCCAAATCCAGTTCCCCAGTCTCATCCCCAGCTCTGCAGCAGACCAGCTGCTGAGGCCAACCTCCGCACCCCCAGCCCATCTCCAGTGGATCACACAGATCTTCCCTTTCGAACTCCCCTCCTGACTCGCTGCTTTATCCCAGTCCCCAACTCCAGCAGGCACTCCCTAGGAACCCACAGGCCCTTCCAGCCAGGGAAGCAGGGAAGCCAACTGCCCATCTTCACCTCTCCCTCAGCTCCTCAAGTCCAATTCCCCAGCCTCATTCCCAGCTCTGTAGCAGACCAGCTGCTGTGGCCTCTCCTCACTCTCTGCCCCCATTCCCAGGGGACTAAGCAGATCCTGGTGGAACACTAGGCTTTCCTCCCTCCAGTAGACCCCCTCACATCCCCCTCCTAGCCCATCCCTGTTACGAAGTGTCAGCTCCCACTATCTAGAACACCTGCCAGCCCCAGTGGCCACAGCTGTCAGGATCCCAGGAGCATTTCCTATTAGGCAACACACAGCCACCATACTCTCCAAAGAACCAGAGAGGGCATCAGAAACCAAGGAACAAAACACATCACAAAGACCAGATATCAGCTCCTAGAATCGCAATCTTCCCAAACCCAGATGCCTAGATGCCAGCATAAAAACACAATTAAAACAGCCAGGACAATGTCTCTACTAGAGCCCAGCAACCGTACCTCAGCAGGCTGTGAGTATTGCAACTTAGCTGAAGCACAAGAAAAAGACCTCAAAATAACCTTTATGAATATGATAGAGGTCCTTAAAAAGGAAATGAATAGGCCGGGTGGTGGGGGAGGCGGCAGCATACACCTTTAATCCCAGCACTCAGGAGGCAGAGGCAGGCAGATCTCTGTGAGTTTGAGGCCGGCCTGGTCTATAGCATGAGTTCCAGGACAGGCTCCAAAGCTACACGGAGAAACCCTGTCTCAAAGAAAAAAAAAAGAAGAAGAAGAAGAAATTAATAAACTCCTTGAAGAAATCTATGAAAACACAGACAGTGGAAGAAAATGAATAACACAGTTCAAAATCTGAAAGTAGAAACAGAATCAATAAAGAACACCTAAACTGAAGGAAATCTGGAGAGGAAAAATGTAGAAACTCTGATAGGAACCTCAGAGGCAAGCCTCCCCACAGAATACAACAGATGGAAGAGAGAATCTCAGGTACTGAAGACAAGAGAGAAGAAATGTGCACCTTGGTCAAAGAAAATGTTAAATCCAAAAAAAATCCAGGAAATCTGGAACACTACGAAAAGACCCATTTTAAGAATAACAGAATAAAGCCGGGCGGTGGTGGCGCACGCCTTTAATCCCAGCACTCGGGAGGCAGAGCCAGGCGGATCTCTGTGAGTTCGAGGCCAGCCTGGTCTACAGAGCGAGATCCAGGAAAGGCGCAAAGCTACACAGAGAAACCCTGTCTCGAAAAACCAAAAAAAAAAAAAAAAAAAAGAATAACAGAATAGAGAAAGGGGAAGAAACCACAGTCAAAGAAAGGCACAGAAAATATTCTCAACAAAATTATAGAAGAAAATTTCCCTTACCTAAAGAAGGAGATGCCTACATATCAAGGTTCAAGAAGCATACAAGAACACCACACAGACTGGACTAGGAAAGAAAGTCCATGGAGCTAGCACATAACAATCAAAAAAAGTACAGAAAAAGAGAGAATATTAAAAGCTGCTAGGGAAAAAGACCAAATAACATATAAAGGCAGAACTATTAGAATAACACCTGACTTCTCAATGAAGACCCAAAAAAACCAGGAGGGCCTGAACAGATGTTCTACAGAGTCCAAAATACCACACATGCCAGCCCAGGCTACTACACCCAGCGAAACTTTCAATCACAATAGATGGAGAAAATAAGATATTCCATGATAAAAAACAAATTTAAGCAATGTCTATCTACAAATTCAGCTGTACAGAAGGCACTAGAAGGAAAACTCCAGCCCATAGAGCTTAACAACACCCAAGAAAACACAAGGAATAAATAATCCCAGACTGCAAATCAAAGGGGGGAAACACACACACACACACCCCTCCACCACCACAACAAAATAACAGGAAACAACAAACACTGCTCATGGATATCTCAACATTAAAGGTCTCAACTCCCCAGTAAAAAGACACAGGTTAACAGAATGGACTGAACACAGGATCCATCCTTCTGCTGCACCCAAGAAACACATCTTCACATCAAGGATAGGCATCACCTCAAGATAAAAGGATAGAAAAAGATATTCCAATCAAATGGACCTAAGAAGCTAGCTGGTGTAGCCATTTTAATATGTGACAAAAAGATTTCAGTGGTCTGGCTTTAAGTTCTCCTATTTGCCAAGTTCTCTTGAGCCACAGGGCCTTTGTAAATGCCCGACTCCTCTCCATCCCCGTGTACTATTCAGGTGTGGGCAAGCACACCTCTCAGAGGCCGTTCCTGAGCACCCCATCAGACCCACTTGCTTTCACAGGATCTCACAGCCCTGTTTTTCCTCTTCAGTGTGGCTTACTGCCTCTGCCATTTACCATGTGCCGAACGAACATCACTGCTCTCTGCTCATCAGGCTAGAAAGTGGTCATGCTTATCCTTCCACTGAATTCCCAGTACCCAGCAATTGTGGTTCCTGATACTGAGGATGCACGCAAATGCTTCCCGAGTAAAATAAAAGTTACATATCTTAGTACAGTAGTTTCAGTATTACCTGTTAATGCTGTGACTGTTTCCCTAAAATAATTCACAGTGATATCTTGAATAGAGACCGCTGCTTCTTCAGCCCGTCTGGTCCATTCATTGACTTCCTTCTGTAGAGAAACTACCCTTTTAGGACCCAGGTCATCCTCATTCAGGGACTTCTACAAAAAAAGAGAAGTAGTGCTATTAGGAAATTCTGAAGCGGCTGTGTTACTGTTGTGACCACTCATGTTACTGCGCATCAGTCAGTTCCTGACTGAGTATCAGTGAGCTCGGGAAGACATGGGTGTACTCCACTGGGTACAGAGGGAAAACACTGACTTTGCATTACTAGAACTTTTCCAGGGTACATGGTTGTGCAAATGAGATGTCTGTGGTTCAGCACTCTGAACTCAAGTGTTGCTTTTGCTATAGTTTCTTTTAGGAACCTTAAATACTTAGTGCTTAAATTAACGCAATATGGTCACCTAAAAGATATTCACATCTATGTATTCAGAGTGATGACCATCCATACCTATGGACTGAATGTTTGTGGGCCCTGAAATTCATATATTGAAGCCTACATCCCCAATTTGACTGTATTAGGTCATGAGGATCCTGCTCTCATGATTAGGATCGATGCCCTTATAAAAAGGAAAAGGCATAGGTCTCTCTGCTCTTTACTATGTAAGGACACATCAAACCAGCCAGCCAAACGCCAGCAAACGATTTCCTCTCACTAGGTCTGCAGCGCCTGTCCTTAGACTTCCCAGCCACCAGAACTACAAGGCCAAGTTCTCTTGTTTACAAGCTGCCTGGTTTGCAGTACACTCTTCCAACAGCCTGAACTAAGGGCTCCTGTGCAGCCAGCATCCAGATTCCTTCTACAAAGCTTGATTCAGTGGCACTGGCAGAGTGGGTTAGTGTTACACAAATGCAAGCCAAAGCTACAAGATACCATTTCCCACCCACTAGGATAAAAAGACAAACAGAACTAGTGTTGAAGGCAGGCATGGTGACACATTGTAATCCCAGCACTTGGAAGCCTGAGGCAGGAGAACTGCTATGAATCAAGGCTAATATGGGCTGTATAGCAATATCTGATCTCAAAAAAAAAACCCAACAAAATGTATCAATGTTAGTGTTGACACAAATATGAGCTTACACTTAGGTGTACTAAACAGTGCACTTGATTCGGGAAACAGTCTGGCAGCCTTCAAAAGGTTACACTTTTTAAAAAACAAGATAAACATTACAACGTGACCAGCAGTTCCACTTCCCAGTGTATACACAAGAGAAACAAAAGAATGTAAGGCAAGTGGGGCTTGTGCCTATAATCCCACACTCAGAGGCTGAGGGAGGAAGACTGCTGTGAACTCAAGGTCATCCTAAACTAGTGGCCAGGTCAGTCTGAGCTATGGTTGAGATCCTGACTAAAAAAAATGGGGAGAGTGGGGCAGTACAGGTATGTATACACATATGTTGATTGCAGCACTATTCATATCTAAAAAGTGTAAATGATCCAGGTGTCCAACAAGGGTTAATGGGTAAGCAAGATGCAGTATATTCTTATAATGGCAGTTATCTGCCAATAAAACGAAATGAAGTCCTGACGGCTATGCATGGCCAATTCTAAAACAAACCCACACACATTGTAGAGTTCCAATTATCTGAAATTTCTGTGGGCTGGAGAGAGAGCTCAGAGGGGAAAGTCCTTGCCTTCCTTGCCTGAGTTCAGATTCTAGAACCGACCTAAAGTAGATTCCAGAATCCATCTAAATCCAGACACAAGAATGTGCTCACAATACAAGTGTTATGCCAAAATGGGCAGCAGATCTCCAGCAGCTCAGGGGTCAGCTAGCCTGCATTCACACATAAACAAGCACAAACACACACATCATATACACAAAGATAAAAAAATAAAAATAATAAAGTTTCCACAACAGCCAAATATAGAGACAAAGTAGATTAGGGATTGCATAAGGTTGGAGAAAATGAGAAATGACTGCTAGTGGGTATGAGGTTTCTTCCGAGGGTAAAAGTATTCTAATATTGTTGGCTGGTAAGATGGCTCTGGGGAGGCTGGAGAGATGGCTCAGCGGTTAAGAACGCTGGCTGCTGTTCCAAAGGTCCTGAGTTCAATTCCCAGCACCCATATGGTGGCTCACAACCATCTATAATGAGATCTGGTGCCCTCTTCTGGCCTGCAGGCATACATGCAGGCAGAACACTGTATAGGTAATAAATAATCTTTAAAAAAAAAGATGGCTCAGTTGGGTAAAAACACTTGCTGCCAAGCCTGATGATATGAGTTCAATCCCGGGAACCCATGTGGTGGAAAGAGCAAACCTATTTTCCATAAGTTGTCCTCTGACCTCCACATGTGTGCTACACCACACACACACACACACACACACACACACACACACACACACGAAAAAAGTGTTCTAATATGAGAAAGTTGGTAATGGTCACACAACCTGAATGTATTAAAAAGTCCTGAATTGTACACTTCCCATGCATGGTCTATGAGTCATACTTCAATGATGATCTCACACACACACACTCCAATCAACAGACTTTCCCAGCAGAGATGAAAACAACCCCGTCTGAGGGTTAGAGCAACATGCACAGAACTTCCTGCCAAGGTCACAAAAGCGCCTAGGGAAAGATGGCCCAGTGCAGAAGGAGAGCGGGAATCTGGCTGTCGTCTCCTGGTTCTAGCTGGTTGGACAAAAGGCAATATTAATGATGCCTTTTCTAAATGGGGTCACCCTAATGGAATCAGAATGACAGCAATTACTCAAGTTTAATTACTGATTACAATCCAGGGCCCTGCTATTTAAATTTGCATCTCATTTCTAAGAAATCTGCATGTGTTCTTACAGGTGGAAAATAAGTCAAAGGAAATACACGTCATATAAAAACCATTCATTAGCAAGGGCAGTGTCGATGCCGGGATTGGTAAAATGAGCAGCACAATATCTTCTCTTTCAATCCTTGATCTCCCCCTCTTTGGGGGAGGATTTGCACATGCTCAGCAGGCAGTCCACCACACAGCCACAGCCCCCACCCCCCACCCCATCCCCCACCTGCCCTTTCTCACTCTTTATTTTGAAACTAGGTCTCACTAAGTTTCCCAGGCTGGCTTTGAATCTCTGTTGCCCAGGCAGGCCTTATGCCTCCCTCCTGAATGGCTAGACTCACAGACCTGTGCCACCAGGCCGGGCTGTTCTTGTTGTTTGCGGTTTTATGTCCAGGGCCTTGGACATGCTGGGCACAAAGCTCTACCACTAAAGAACACTGCCTACAATTCCAGCCTTGGGAAGTGGAGGCAGGAGGATCAAGCGTCAAGGCTAGCCTCAGCTTCATTGTAAATTTGAGGCCAGCCTGGGCTACATGAGACCTTGTCTTTAAATAAATAAATGACATCATCTAAATATAAAGATCTCAGAATAAAAATACAGAATGAACCTTATATGACTAACAGAACGATACATTTCAGGTAATAAGATAAAAATATCAGGAAACATACCAGAATATCAAGCTTACATGAGGTCGCAACTTCTCGCATATCTCTAAATGGCTGCAGTAAATACTGGAAGAACATGGTTGCCGTGGTAACTAATTCTTGATATGCTTCATCTTCCTCTTGATAAACTTTCATTAATGCTACCATGGTGTTGGCTTTTCTGTGATCTTGAAGAACCTAAAAGGCAAAAATGTAAATAAAGCTTAAGTCTGGACATTTAAAATCATACCAAAAATAAATAAAAGATACCCAATATTCTTGATTTTTAAACACTAAGTAAACATAATGCTCTCCAACTAAAAAGATAAGTAACACAAAAGTAGTTAAATAAGGCGGTTTGTCCATGGAATAATACTACTATTACTATTTTCACAGTCATTCAACACTGTTCTTTAAGACTGTTAATCACATGAGGACTTAGCTCGATGGTTCAAGCCTATAATCCCAACACTTGGGAGGCTAAAGCAAGAATTTTACTCTGAGTTTTCGGCCAGCCTGAGCTAAATAGCTATTTCCAGATGGCTGGGCTACAAAGCAAGGCCCAGTCTCAAAGAAAACAAACAAGCAAAGATACTATGTACATTTCCATGGGCTCGATAGCCATAGCATTTCTATCCCTCCAACCCCATGTGTAAGTTCCAGATCCACAGGTGAACTATGCACATGAACAGCTCACTAGTATGAGTTAGATTAGAACTGTAGTAGCTGAGAATGAACTTGAACTTGGAGGAAATGTAACTTCCCAGCATACAGATGTGAAGAGATTAAGGCGCGCTGGGGGGTAAGAAATGAAGTGTTAAAAGAACCAATTCTGAGCTAAGTCTGGTGGAATGGACCTGGAATTCAGCTACGTTGGGAATATAAAGCAAAAGTGGCTCAGGCCTTAATTACAACTACTTTAGGAAGCTGAAACCCGTTCAATCCTGGAGCAGGAAGCTTCTAAAAAGCATGGACTATCAGAAAAGTAAAATAAGGCCTCCAAGGTTGGACTGTAGGATGGCAGGCATGGTGAGCGTGAGGTGGAGCCTGCCTGGGCTACAGAGAGTTCAAGGCCGGCCTGGGCAACTGAGTAAGATGCTGCCTGAAAATAAAAAGTAAAGGCTGAGGAGGTAGTTCAGTGGTAGAGTGCTTGCCTAGCACCCACAAGGCCCATCTCCAACACTGACTAAATAAATAGCCAGTCTGATATAAAATGATCAGCTTAAGGATCCAAAGCTGGCTGGTCTGAAAATCTCCTGTAGTTTCCTGGTATTATAAAGTGAAATCAGCACGGGAAGAAGGTGTGTGAGCTACGCAGAATAAAGTGATTCCAACTGAGCTAGGTGTGGTGGTGGCACAACCTATAATCCCAGCACTTCAGGGGCTGAAGCAGAGGGTCACCACAGTCTGAGGGCAGCCTGGGCTACATGGTGAGTTCCAGAACAGCTTGGGCTACTATGTGAGAGAGACCCTGTCTCAAAATAAAGACTCCACTAACAGAAACCTTTTATAAAGCCATTTTAGCTTATAAAAGACTCATTCTATATTTAGCTTAAGATAGACAACCACCAAGATTTTGGCTGAATTCTTACACCTCTCCTTCCTCACAAAACAGCAAAACCACTGCTTAGTAATGGCTGTCATAATCGGCTTCAGCTGTCAACTTGACACACCAGGGAGAGGGAAACCTTAATCCAGCAACTGCTTCCATCAGATATATGTCTGTGGAGCATTTTTTTTCTCTTTAAATTGCTAAAGTGATAGAAGTGGACCTAGCCCATTGTGGGTCTTTGGACCCCTTCGTAGGTGGTCCTGGGCTGTCTTTTTTTTTTTTTTTTTTTTTTTTTGGTTTTTCGAGACAGGGTTTCTCTGTGTAGCTTTGCGCCTTTTCCTGGAACTCACTTGGTAGCCCAGGCTGGCCTCGAACTCACAGAGATCCGCCTGGCTCTGCCTCCCGAGTGCTGGGATTAAAGGCGTGCGCCACCACCGCCCGGCGGTCCTGGGCTGTCTTAAGAAAGGTAGCTGAGCAAACCAGAGAAAGTAAGGCAGTAACCAGCCTTCCCTTGATAATGGACTGTAACCTGTAAGCCAAATAAACCCTTTCTACCCCCAGGTGTCTATCACAGCGACAGAAAACAAACTCATGAGAAACGGGGAATGTCCAGGGAGTGTCCATGCATAGAATGAAGCTCTGACACTGGGCTCTCTTCGGGAAACGGTTGCTGGATAAAACATACATTCTCCCTAAATCTTTCAGTGAACTTTTCAATGCCTCCCTCCCTTTGGAGTCTGTAAGTGTACCACACAAATAATGAATTGGTGTATCTCAAGCTATATTGTTGTCATTCCAAACTGACAATAAAGCCTCACTTCCCGAGGGCTTTCCATTTGGTATGTATTGCTTAAAGAATAACAATAAGCCGGGCGGTGGTGGCACAAGCCTTTAATCCCAGCACTCGGGAGGCAGAGCCAGGCTGATCTCTGTGAGTTCAAGGCCAACCTGGTCTACAGAGCGAGCTCCAGGACAGGTTCCAAAGCTACACAGAAAAACTCTGTCTCAAAAATCCAGAAAAAAAAAAAAGTCACTCATCCTCTAAGACATTTTTTAGCCATCTCTCACCATCCCCAGAGGACCCAGAATTGTTGCCATTGAGCTTTTTTTTTCCCCCCTACGGGTATGCGTTGTTTTCAGTTTTGCTTTCGATATTTTCTGGCCTTTCCCATTACAACATCCTGCTCTACCAAGACCAGGGAAAAGGTGAAGGGCGGAGCCTGGCTCAAATCTGCAAGTAAACTTCTAAACCAAGAATGGTGGCGCCCGCCTGTAACCCCAGAATTTGAGAGGCTGAGGCAGAGGACTGCCGTTGAGTTCAAAGTCACCCTAGACCACAGAATGAGACCCTGTTTCGCGAGAAAGAGAGAGAGCGCACGCGCCGTGGCGCAGAGACGCACTCTGATAATCCCAGCCCTTGGGTGGGAGAGGCAGAGGAATTCAGGCCAGCCTGGGGTACCGGAGACCCTGCCTCAGAAAACAAACACCCGAAAACGACTCTGCGGCCACAGCACCGGCCTCCGCTCCCTAGCAGCCAGGGCGCAGGTGCTCTAGCGACACCGGGCACGCGCAGTGTCCCGGGCACCCGCCCTCGGCCCGGCCGGGTGCGGGCATACCTGGCGCAGCCGTGCGGCCGCCCCGTCCAGCCGCGCGCGGAGCGTCTTCTCCCGGAACTCGCGCAGGCCCTCGCAGTCCGCCGGGTCGCCCGGGGCCGGGAAGAGCACGTCGCGCACGGTGGCGCCGCCGCAGCCCTCGGCCGCCTGGCCCAGGTAGCGCTCCAGCTGGCGGCACAGCTCCTGCAGCGCCGCGTCGCCGGGTTCCGCGGGCGCCGGCCACATGAGCGCCCACAGCCCGCGCCCCAGGCCCCAGCCGCGGCCGCCCGCCGCCTCCACCTCGGGCGGCAGCGGCGGGAAGCAGCGCTCCAGGGCCGGCCACAGCGCCGCCAGCTGCCGGTGCGCGCCCCGGAACCCGGCGGCCGACAGCAGCCCGGCCCAGCTGCACCCCCCGCCGCCGCCGTCCGGCGGCCCGCGCCTCCGCTGCGCCGTGCGGTCGTGACAGGTGACGGCGAACTGGCCCTCCTCGGCGTTCCAGGCCACCAGGAAGCGCAGCTGGTGTCGCTCGGGCTCCCGGAAGAGGTCCTCGCGCAGCGGCACCCAGCCTTCCAAGCTGTCCGGCTGCTCGCAGTCCATGGCCGCCGCGCACCCCCAGACCCCGCCGGGCCGGGACATTTTTCGCGAGCCGCTACTGCCGGTCAGCTGCGCAGCAGTTCCCGCCCCCTTCCTTCTGATTGGCTGTCTGGGGGAGGCTGTCCAGAGTTGATTAAATGAGAGCCAATGAAAAGTCTTTTGGAGGAGGCGGGACGGGAGGAGGGGTCTCCCTTTTTACAGCCCTAGCTAACCGTTTTAACTCACTAAGTAAACCACGCCAGCCTTGAACTATTAGAGATCCACCTGCCTCTATCTCGTGAGTGCTGGAATTAAAGGGGCACACTGTAGGAGAGCAGCTCCGACCTGTCGAAGGGTTCTTTAGGAGAGGAGAGAGGAATGAGGAAGTATTAGATAGAAATACAGACGGAGACAACAGCATAGCTTCCGGAGAGCCCTGGGTTAATACCCAGTCGCCCGGAGTTTTATTCTAATGGGCTTTTTATACACTACCAAGGGGAGAGAGTCAAAAGACCTCCCCCTTTCAAGATCAAAGTACAACGTACAGCCAAGTGTAAACTTTTCAAAGTACCTGGCAGACACGCCCCTGGCCAAACCATCCTATTATGCAGCCCTGCTGGGTAAAGCAAGCTCAGATTCTCTGACCTTGAGTAAGGCCTTACTAGGGAGCTTCTGTGGGCCCCCACAGTACACCACCATGCTCGGCAAAGATTTTATCTTTAACCTTGGTGGGGGGGGGGGGGGGAGCAGAACAACATTGTTCCTGAGTACAGGTCCCAGAAGAGGGCGTCTAATCCCTTAGAACCAGATAAGATGTTGTTTGTTTGTTTGTTTGTTTGTTTTTCGAGACAGGGTTTCTTTGTGTAGTTTTGGTGCCTGTCCTGGATGGATCTCGTAGACCAAGCTGTCCTTGAACTCACAGAGATCCGCCTGGCTCTGCCTCCGGAGTGCTGGGATTAAAGGCATGCGCCACCGCCACCTGCAAGCCGGATAAGTTTATGAAGCTGTGAACTGTGCACCGCCTGCCTAATGTAGGAACTTCAGGTCTTCTCTAAAAGCAGTTAAGTGCTCTTAGTCTCTGAGCCATCTCTCCAGGCCCCATCTTATTTCTCTACATTAAAATGACAATTTCCCTTATCAGGACCCTATTAAGTATGTGGCTTCCGCCACAAACATACTGGTAAGATCACATTTTTGTTTGAACTCAGTAGTTATTGAGAGCTTCCAGGTGTTAAGGACTGAATCGCAGACATATTTTTTTTGCCAAGTTTGCAAAGCTTTTACTGAGCCTCCGCTGTGTTGTTGGTATATTGAGGAGGTGGGCAAGGGGAAAATACCTTGATATTTATAACAAGCCTGAAAAATGTGCTTTTGCTAAAAAGCATTTCCTAACGTGGGCCGTACAAGACCCCTAAAGATGCCTGATCCTAAACCTACAGTCACCTTAGATTCCAAGAACAGACCCATAAACACCTTTATTATACAAGCAACAGTAATCCTTAAAGAGTAGGTCACACAGCTGGGCAGCGGTGGCCCATGCCTTTGATCCCAGCACTCAGGAGGCAGAGGCAGGCGGATCTCTGTGAGTTCGAGGCCAGCCTGGTCTACAGAACGAGTTCCAGGACAGGCTCCAAAGCTACACCGAGAAACCCTGTCCTGAAAAATAAAAAAAGTAGGTCACATCCCCGCAAAAGAGTTAATTATCTTTGATGATGAAGCTGCACCCTCCAGCACGAGTAATTTACTCCTTTTCATAGCACAACCTGTTGGGAAGGACCTGGGGATAAGCGTCAACCAAGCCACGCCTCTTTTTTTAAAATGCTGGTTTTTTTCATGCGGGGAGTCTTTGTCCATTTGGGCTCTGTATAGAGCCTTGATGCTGGATGCCAGGTTTTGAGCTTCCTTCAGATTCAAACTGGAAGCTTCGTCCTCCTGGTGTCTGATCTGTTGCCCTTCGCCACACCATCAGCCCTCCTTGGTCTTCAGCTTGCTAACTTCAGAAGTCCCCATAATCATATGAGCCAATTTCTCAAAATAAATTTCTCCATTATATAAATGCTCTGCTGATTTATTTCCTTTAAAGAAGCTGGACGTTAATACAGTGTGTGTACATAGGAAGATATACCATGGACCTATCCACATTAAAGAAATGTAGGCATGAGGCTAAGGGTATGACCTGGTGGTAAAAACATGCTTAGCATGGACCCTGGGTTCAGTCTCCCAAAACAATAGACACCTATATCATTGTTTTTAATATTTGCAAATGTTGAGTTGACTGTATTACAGTTACCTAAGGAATCACATATTGATAAAAAGTAGATTAATTTCTGGTTTCTGCCTGTCTAAACAAAACTATACGGGGCTGGATGTAGCTCAGTGGTATGACATATGCTAAGTATACTTCAGGCCTTAGGTCAATCCCCAGCCCCACACCAAACCCCCAAAATATAACAGTATGAAGTGATGAAATTCTTGTACATCCTTCTTTATGTGGGCTCTTTTTTTAACTTCTTGCTTTGTTTGATCTGTTTGAGACAGGGTCCTTCTGTATAGCCCTGGCTGGCCTTAAACTCCACTGATCCTCCTGCCTCAGTCTCTCAAGTGCCCAGATTACAAGTGACATGAGACACCAAGTCCAGATAATTTTTTTCATTTTGTTTCTAATATTTTTGGATATATTGAAGTAATGGCATTTAAAACAGCCCAAACAATAAATACAAAAATCCCCATATCAAATAACTACATGCAGACTTTGAAAAGAAATCATTTTCCCCTAGTCTCAAGCTGCACACATCTCAACAACTTCTATAGAGTCAGAATGGCCATTCCGAAGGCATGGGGCTTTGCTCAGCATCTTACCCTTTCACTATCAATTATATGCTTATGCATGTCCATCACAAATAAGTGTGACAGATTTGGAACTAGAAAAACAATTAGCCAGGTGGTGGTGGTGCATGCCTTTAATCCCAGCACTCAGGGGAGGCAGAGCCAGGTGGATCTCTGTGAGTTCGAGGCCAGCCTGGTCTACAGAGCAAGGTCCAGGACAGTCACCTACACAGAGAAACGCTGTCTGGAAAAACAAAAAAACAAAACACACACAAAAAAAAGAAAAGAAAAAGAAAAACAATTAGCTTTGTATCCTCTTTCATGACTTAAGTATTCTGTTGCCTGCATCCTGTCCTTCCTCATCACCTAATATTACTCAAAGGAAATGGTTTAGAACCTGAGTCACGTGTCTTGGGCCTCTCAAATGAATGGAAAATAAATAGGAAAATAAATTAATTAATTTAATTTAATTAAAAAGACCTGAGTAGAAAAAAAATTCTATCTAGGATAGAGGCCACTGAGACAGACTCTCTGGAGGGAGTTGTCAGGCTGGAGAGGGTAGGCCATGCCTCCTTCACCCTGTGTCCCTCCTACCCCACAGCCCCTCCACCCCATGCCCTTCCACCCCACGCCCTTCCATCCTGTGCCCCCTCCACCTGGTGCCCAGAGATGGGTCCTCAAAAGGCCCCTTCAGAGAGCTGACTGTGCTTGTTACTGTTGGAGGGAGAGCTCAAGATGAGAAGATGAGCTGTTTTGGTGGGGTGGGGAGACTCACTGGGATCACTTGGGTCTCAGGGTTTGCCAGGAGCAAAGACGGGGCCACCAGAAGAGAGAGACCGCCAGGAGTGACCTATTCCTGTTCCCAAAGGCCACCTACACAAAGGAGGAGCGCTCATTGGTGGCGGGACACCAGACAACTTTGGGGAGGGAGAAAAAAGACTTTTGGGGAGAGAAGGGCTGTCTGCCTGGTTGTGGGAACTTCAGGATCTTCACAATGGTTTTCTCTCGACGTGGGAGAGTCACAGCTGAGAATGAGACAGGCCCCTCAGTTCGGTGTCAGCACCTGTTGTGACATCCACTCACACATCAGTTAGCCACCTTCGCCACCACCCTTACATCCAGCCCTCTGCTCTCAGACTGTGGGGACAAGAGGCCCATTGCACCCTCTCTCCTGAGACAGGCATCCTGCTAAAGGACCAGCTACAGAAGAGAGATGTTGATGCTTCAGTAACTAGGTTTGGCCTTTGAACAAAGCTATAGAACTGGACGCTCAATTGCTGACTTTGACGATACCTAAGACTGTGTCACCTAAGAAGGAACAGAAGTCACAGGCTTTACTGGGTCTTCATTCAGAGGTAGGGGAGCAGTTCCCACACTGCAAAGGATGATGGGGGAGAAAGCAAGTTTCCTTTGATTGCCTACGGAGCTGTTTGCACAAAACACTTGGAGAAAACCCCAGGACTGTGAGGCATTTCCATTCTGGCCCGGCCCTGGCAGTTCTAGCCCTCTACATGTGGCCAACCATCTGAGTCCTGGGTCTCCACCCCCACAGTAAATGAGGTACTTCAGAGCCCAGCATGTGACCTCTCCTGGTGACACTTGAGTGGTAAGAAGCAGCAAGGCTGCTGTGGCAGGTCTATATTTGGACTGTCACTCATGGCAGGCCTGTTGCTATTTGTGGTGGGAGCTAGCTCATATTACCATCCAGCTTTGGCACCCTGTTTCCTAGGGTCGACTAGGCAAAGTCAGCCTGCAGAGCATGCAGAGGTCACCAGGAAGGGGAGCTGGCTGAACAGAAATCCAATTTTCCAGCAGAAACCTAGGACCTCGGAGTTAAAAGACGAATTTATTGGCCTTTAAATGATCAGGCAAGTTTGGGGATTATTATATTTTGTAATGCAAACTGTATTATCTCACTGTAATAACACAGCCACTATGTTAATGGACCATCTTTCCTTTAGCTGGGAAGGGATATCACAGGACGCTACAAATGTAAACTACACCAGACAGAGGCCATGTTTTCCATGCTTTCTTGAACTTGCAGAATTCATATTGCCTGAATGTACCAAGCATGAAAAGTCTCTTAAAACTTGGGAGAAGGTGACAAATCTTTAAAAAAAAAAAAAAATTCTTGACCTGTGTCTTTCAGGTGTTTTAAGTGCAGGAGTTCTGGACACACCTATCATTTGGCTATGGTATTGTCTTGATAGATACTTTTAGATTTGAACGTGCCAATGCATTCTGAAAGCTCTTTATTTCCATGCTTTGATTCAAACATCAGTGCTTTTGCTGCTGTTTTCTGAGTGAGCGGCAGGCAGCCTGCTCTTGAGGAAAGCTCTGGGGTCTGTGCTGGGCCTGGGAAACTGGTCAGAACCATTAGCTGCACTTCAGGAATTCTAGGAGCTATGCAGATGGACATTTATAATTATATGCGGAATGATGGCCCTCCCATCATGGTCTCACCTCTAGGGAATTATTTTCAGTAGATTCTCTGATGTGCTCAGGGTCCCAAGAAGGTTTAAAAAAAAAAAAAGGAAGGAGACTTTTCCAGTTAAATCATCTAAGACACATCTCACACATAAGACTTAAACAAATGTCTTCTTTTTAAATAGATTTCTTTTCAATTATATGTATATGTGTGCGTGCACGTGGGTATGTGTCCATGAGTACAGGTCCCCATAGAGGCCAAGGGTGTCAGAGCCCCGTTGAGCCGGAGTTACAGGCAGTTGTGAGCAGCCTAGTGTGTGTCCTAAGAATCAGACGTGGATCCTTTGCAAGAGTAGCAACATGATAAACAGCTGAGCCAGGACTCCAGCCCACATGCACCTTTTTAAAGCTGCTCTCTTATAGCAGATGAAGCGTCTCCTAATGTGTGCAAGATAGACTAGTTTATTGCTGTCCTCCCCTAAGGCTTCATTTCATACTTGATAAAATGACAGTTTGTAGTCAGTGTTTCCCCTCCCCACGTTCTGATTCCACTAAGAAACTGAAGGAAACCTGAGAAGTACAGGAGTTGAGGGGAACTGCATGCTGGGGTTGTCCTGCAGGCTTCATGCTTCACTGCTGAGCACGCAGACCAGATGACATTCACACCCAGAGAGCAGATGCTGGTGTGGAAGGCTGTGCTCATTAGCATGTGCGTTAAAGGACGCTCTGTTGGTCTTCTTGTTGGAATCTCCCCGTGGCTCAGTTTGGTACTTTGAGCTCCATCTTTGAACACACACTCGGAGGTGCAAGTTTTATTTTTAGAGAGCTTATCCTCCATACACGGGAAGCCTAAGGTTGGATCTCAGCTCTCACTGGACTGGACTGGTGGCTAGCTGTCAGCACAAGACTAGATGCAGCGGAGCCAGACAAATCCTTATTAAACTGATCATAAAGAAGACCCTTGTCTTCCCCAAAACTCAGTTTTGACATACTGAAATCTAGACATTGAATTAGGGGTCCTCCAACCCTAAAATACAAAGTCTCTGCCTAGGCCACTTGAATGCTTTTGTGTAGAGAACGGGGATCTCATTAGGCAATGTCTCCAGCTGAATATGAGGGTACTCGGCCTTCTCCATCATCAGTCAAATGTTCCTACAGCAGCTGACTCCATGTTGCTGTGGCCTTTCACTCCCATCCCTGGTCCCCACACTCCAGGTGTCCAGGTAGGAGGCTTCTAAACTGGCCCAGGTGGGAGACGCTGCTCCAAATAATTTTTTTTCTTTTTTTTTTTTAAAGGTTTATTTATTATGTATACAGTGTTCTGTCTGCATGCCTGTAAACCAGAAAGGGCAACAGATCTCATTACGGATGGTTGTGAACCACCATGTGGTTGCTGGGAATTGAACTCAGGACCTCTGGAAAAGCAGCCAGTTCTCTTAACCGCTGAACCATCTTTCCAGCCCCCCCAAATAATATTAATAACAAGAACAGGAACAAAAGCATTGGGTGTTTACCGACAGCTTAATTTGAGCCAAGTGATATATAGAACAGTTCACATACTTACATCATTGCACTTAAATGCCAACCTTATGAAGCCGATTGCTAATTAATCCATGAAAGTGAGGTCTAGAGAGGTGGTTTTGCAATGTCACACTGTCAAGGTATCTCGAAGACAGAATGTAAACCCAAGGTTATCTAAATCTAGAGGTCAGTGGATTTGGGGAAGGGAGAAGGTCTGTGTGTGTGTGTGTGTGTGTGTTAGCTACAGATTCTGTACCCAGAGCCAGTGTTCATATTAACTGGCCACTCACAACACTGGGTGATACCAATGAGTTCACTCTGGTTTGGGAGCTGGAGGAGGCAAGCGTCACACTATTAGTGAATGGGTAGAATGGTTGGTCTTCATGGAGGGTGTGGCAGGCACTGGCTGGGTAGGGGAGATTGGTGGCTAAGGAGCCACAGAGAAGGAAGTAGGAAGCTCTCAACAGGAAGACCCTGGGCAAGATGTAACTGGATGATACTGAAGGGGTGGAAGGAGCACAGATGTCCACTAGTGAAGGTGTGTGTGTCATCACTTTGAGAGTGAAACACTAGGAATGGGGGTTACACCAGGGATCCCAAGGAGCTGAGATGGGCCAGTGATGGAGCCTCTAGAATTCAAGATGGCTGACTACGCATCTCCATGTCTGTGCCAGGCAAACACCCACTGCAAGAGCCATGGGGCCCACAGTCAGAAATCTGGAGAAAAGATGGCGTAAGGAAAATTTCTGCTTACAGAGTGGCACTCAGGTGTGATATTAGAGCCTTGGGGAGAAACTGTGACTTTAGTCTATGAGTCCAGAGGCTAGGCTTAAGGAGGGAGAAGAGACCTGGGATACCAGGGGAGAAGGAAGGCAGCATCTTTGGGAAGTCATATCCCAGCCCCAGATGGGGCGATAATCACTTGATTGTCTGGGATATCCTCAGGAGCAGGACCGTGTCTCACTCCTTGTGTCTAGGACCTGGTGTCCTGTTCTCTGGAATCCACACTTTGCCAACCCCAGAACCAGTCAGTGCTGGAGCAATGAATGAGACCCAGTATTATAGTCCAAGCACACGGTGAGATCAGCAGAGCTGGCAAAGGATCCCAGGATCCCCCTAGATGATAACTCTGAGAGTGAAGACTTCCTGGTCATTCTACATTGCCAAGGTGACCAGAACCTCTGGAGTGACTAGGGGCTTGAGAGAGTTGAGGCAGCAGCCAGGGGCCCAGGTGGGGTGAAGCCAGGGTATCTCTGAAGCCCAGACTTGCTGCTGCTGTTGTCTGAGATGTGGCCCCTGGGGAAGGCTGTGTGCTCATCTTCTCGGGTTCTATTTCCAGATTACTGGCCCTCTTCTTCATCACCTCTCCTCCCCATGAGTCAGAGCTCACAGCAAGTATTAGCAGGGAGACCTTATTTTCATGCAGTAGGAATGCCCGATTAGCTGAGCATTCAGACATTCAGGACTGAGAAAGCAGAACTCACGGCCTCTTAGAAAAGACTGAATTGTTTGGTTGAGAATCATCCAATAAGGAGTAAACGGATCTAGGATGGATCATGATGAGACGGACCGAGTTTAAGTTTCCATGGCTGGGAGGCAGTTTTGGCTTTGGAAACCATCAAGGGAGAAATGGACTTTCGTGCAGGCACTGTGCATGGCAGCCTGGAGGAGCTGCTGATCCTCTAAAGATTTGTTATGTAAAAGCATGTTCTATGTTAGAACTGTCATTTGTTGATCATCTCTGATGTTTTCTTCAAAAAAAATATGCATATAGGACTTGGGACCTAATTTTTCCTTATTTTTTAATAATCACAAATCTCTAAATAATAAGTAAACTCATTTTTCTATTGAATCAAGTTACCAACATAATTTTCAGTTGGGTGTAAGCAGAACAGCATGTAGACATCACAATTTTTGGTAAATAATTTAAAAATAAAATGGAAATGCATGTGTGTGGGGTGGGTATATGTGGGTGTTTATATGAGCAAGTGCACGTATGCACATGTGTGTGTAAGGCCAGATGTTGACATCAGGTTCCTTCATTGATTGCTTTCCCCATTATTTTTTGAGACAGAGACTGTCACTGAACCTGGAGCTCATCGATTGGGTCAGGCTAGCTGATCGATGAGCTCCAGGGATTCACCTCTGTCCTGCCCCCACCTCCCAGGGCTGGTTTACAGAGACACATAGCTGCTCCTGGCTTTCACATGATCTGAACTCCAGCCCCACCTCCCCCGACCCCCTCCCCAAAGTGCTTATGTGGCAGGCACTTTACTGACTGGGCCATCTCTCCAGCCCTAAAATGCATCTTTTAATAAAGTGAATGGGACTTTTTGTTTATTTGTTTTTAAAAAAACTCATGCCCAAGTTTGAAAATATCACATTCTAGAATGCAACAGGAATGAGTTTGTATTTTTTTTTTTTTTTTTTGGTTTTTTGAGACAGGGTTTCTCTGTGTAGCTTTGCGCCTTTCCTGGGACTCACTGGTAGCCCAGGCTGGCCTCGAACTCACAGAGATCCGCCTGGCTCTGCCTCCCGAGTGCTGGGATTAAAGGCGTGTGCCACCACCGCCCGGCTGTATTTTTTTTTGTCTTGTCCATACAAACACAGAGTGACCATGCTCACCTACATAAGTAGATGGGAAGGGAAGCAATTTATAACAATGCCATTCCATTCTGTCAGCTCTTTCTGAAATGTACGCCAAAATTATATAATGACCTATCATGAACATTTATTTTAAATAACGTATCAGCTGACAACTTGATTAGATCCTCTTGCAATTTTGTTGGAAGCAAAGAGCTGAAAAGCACTTACCTTGAAAAAATTTTTTTCTTACCCATTCATTAATGTCACTCACTCTCAGCATCGATACTGATCCTTTAGAGTCCTTTCATCTAGTCTCCTGGAGGTTTTATTAAATTCCCAAGCAATGAAATCTTACTGTGCAATGTCACAGTCAGAATGCACAGGAAGGATATTTTTGCTTTTATAATAAAGAAGAGAAGGGCTCTTGAGAAAAGAGAACCTCAGATGCTGGATCATTCCCAGGCAAAGCAGCTCCAAGAAAGACTAAATTCAAGCCCGAGGATCTGAAGCTGTTAACCCCTCTTAGCACTGGTACCTGCATTCCCCACAGAAAGCCTCATATACATGTGCCGCGGTGTAAAGATCAGTACTATCAATGCCGTCTTTGGAAGGAGCCTGAATATGAACAAAAGAGAGAGAGGGAACTGGTAGCAGAAGGGAAAGAAGGTTATATTCAGGCTGATATCATGCATACTATTATTCATAACAAATTATCCTACAGTTTGATTGCTTAAAATAACTGATATTTATCATCTTACTTAGTTTGTGAGGGCCGAGGATTGAGACAAGGTCTTCAGTGTGACTCTAGTTTGGGGTGGCCCTCCCCATGCACCTTTCTGCAACAGGGTCTCCAGCTCCCTCTGCTCACTAGCCAGCCTTGGGTCACCTGTGTCTCCGCGTGTTTTCTTGATTGTTGAGTAATTGTGAGACAGTTCCAGCCCGGACAATTTGGTGAATTTGTTTGCCATGATGTGGGCTGTGACCATAACTTCTTCAATGAAATCTGAACCCATGCCTTCTTGGGAACTGATGTTCATCTCTTCTGTGTCCTAGGACTCTGAATATTCACTGACTGAGAAGGATTGTTCTGTATCAATGGAGGAGGAAACAGGGGAGGAGCCAGGGCTGGACAGGTCAACGGCCTCCAAAGACTTCCACTTTTATCACATGGACCTGTATGACTCTGAAGATAGACTGCAGCTCTTCCCAGGAGAAAGCAGCAGAGTCAGGAGAGAAGTAACCCAGGCTGAACTGACCAATGAGCCGAGAGGGGCAGGGGACAGTAAGAGTCTTCAGAATGAAGTGGATGAGCTTGTCCATTTATACGGACTTGAAGATGATCACGAGTTAGGGAATGAGTTTGTTGACGAACACAGACTGGGGACTCTGGGATATCCTTCTTATGGGATGAAGAGGAGAGACCCAGCCAGGGAACAGAGAGACTGGGGGCTTAGCGGTGAGACAGATGAGGCCGAGGACCTGGGCTATGGAGGGCAAGTCCTTCCCGGCCAGTGCCAAGACCTTCGGGAAGCTTACAGGTACACACATGGCCGTGCCAGTGAGGAATATGAATGCTATGTCATCCCAGAGGAGGAGGATGAAGAAGAGCCTGCTGACATCTTCTGTGTCACTTGCAAAACTCCAGTAAGAACTGTTGAGAAGGATTTTGAAATACACAAGGAACATGAAGTAACACCGCTCAGCAAAGCACTGGAAAGCGCCAAGGTAACACGTCTCCTTCTGTCTTTGTCTGGAGAGCGTATGTGTGGGCAGGGAATGCATGCTAAATACCTCTGCAAGGATGGAATGGGGGACTGGAGAGATGGCTCAGCAGTTAAGAGCACTGGCTCCCCTTATAGAGGACTTGGGTTCAATTCCCAGCATCCACATGGCAGCTCACAACCACCCTTAACTGTAGGCACACGGGATCTGATGCCCTCTTCTGGCCTCTGTGGTCAACACACACACACACACACACACACACACACACACACACACACACACGATGTACAGACATACATACAGACAGACATTCATATACATTTTTTTTTAATTTAAAGAAGTTAGAACAAACATAGCATTGATGCCTTGTTCGTCCTGTTCCCTAGGATGAAATTCACAAAAACATGTGCAAATTGGAACAGCAGATTATTGAGATGGAAAATTTTGCCAGCCACCTGGAGGAGGTGTTCATTACGGTGGAGGTAAGAACATGCTTGGTGAGTTCATCACACATGTAGCTCCTGTCTGTGGCCACATCAAGCAGATGGTCCTAGTGAGCTACCGAAGCTTTTTCCTTGAATGTGAGGTGTCACCTGCCCCCTCCCCTCAGCTATCCGTAGACCTTCCACCACCCCTGGGCAGCCACAGAGGTGATGGTCACTTGTCTGCATCCTCTACTCTGTCCTCTATGTCCACTAGGTGGGAGAGGCTGATGTGTGTGTATCTCCAGGCCTACTACATGGGATGTTTCAAAGCAAGTGTATTATACATGTTTATTGCACAGATAAATAAAGCAGAAATTTTAAAATCAAAGTGCCAATTTGTTGCAGTAACGCCTGCACTACCGCCACCCATTCACCATATCCGAGCGAGGGGCTGTGGACTAAAAAACAGAGACAAGAGACAGCCAGTTATTCGCCACAGCAGAATGCCCAATGCTGTTTATTGAAAGAGGGAGGAAACCTTAAATACAGGCTTACAGCACAATGGGAGAATCCCAGAGGGCAGAAATTCGCTACCGAATGTTCTACATACTTGCATCTAAGCTGTTAAAGCCCAATATGCAGGATACACAGACAAGGAACTTCCCTTAAGCATTCAGGAGGGTGGATACTGGCAGGGAATTAGCATAGGGAGGACGTCTGGTCAAGGTCGGCAAGCAGGCAATGGCTTTATTCAATATGGGAGGAGACCAGGGCCCTACACCAATTGCATGGGGTTTATATATAAATTAAAAATTTAATTAAAAAATGTTTTTAATTCTGACAACGATGACTCCATGGTAGCACAATCCAGACGGTGAAATGAACAGCTTTCTTCTGTCCTTGGAGTTGGTGTGGGGTGGGGTTCATGTGCACCTGTGTATACAAGTGTACATGCACATGTATGTTCATGCATGTGAAGGTCAGAGGTCAAGTCTGGGTGTCTTCCTCAGCCACTCTGTACCTTATTTTTTGAGACTGGGTCTCTCACTGACATTGGAGCTCTCTAATTTGGCTAGCCTGGTTGGCCAGCAATACCTGGAGATCCCCTGTCTCGGCTGCCCTCAGTGTTTGGATTACATAGGATCACTGCTGCACCTGGCTTTTTTTTTTTTGGTTTTTTTCGAGACAGGGTTTCTCTGTGTAGCTTTGCGCCTTTCCTGGAACTCGCTTTGGAGACCAGGCTGGCCTCGAACTCACAGAGATCCGCCTGGCTCTGCCTCCCGAGTGCTGGGATTAAAGGCGTGCGCCACCACCGCCCGGCAGCACCTGGCTTTTTATGTAGGTGCCGGAGACCCAAACTCAGGCCTTCATGCTTGCATGGCAAGTGCTCGACCCACTGAGCCACTTCTGCAAGCCCCTGTCCTTGGCGGGCTTTTTGTTTGGTTGGTTGATTTTGTCCTCTTCTTTTCCTTTTCCTGCTCTTGGCCCCAGCCTGAGATTCCCTTGGGTACCATCTGATCCTGCGTATAACCAGTCATGGCAGGCTTCATGTTGTTGCCTCGATCTCTGGAGTTTTAAATTTTAGGTCTTCGGAGTACCATCATGTCACTGTATTCAATCAGGTGTGAACTGCCAAGTTTCCTCCCCTTTGAAAATGTTTGTTGTGCATCATATTCATTGTACATTTTATGTTACACCAGGAGGTTTTCACACATGTATATAATGTGTGTTGAGCATGTTCCCCAGCTCCACTCCCCTGGGGCTCCCCCTTAATATCCTCTGTTCCCCAGACTCTTTCATGCCACATATACATACATGATTTTATGAATCTATGTAAGATTTAGGAACCACAAATGAGAGAGAATGTATATTTGTCTTCTGAGACTAGCTGAATTCATTTAATTGGATTATCTCCACCAGCATCCATTTTCCTGCAAACAATCCCATTGTGCATATACACATTTTCTTTGCCCATCCCTCTGTTGATGGACACCTAGGTTAGTTCCATAACTTAGCTTTTCCGAATAGCCTCAATAAACAGATATGCAAGTGTCTGTGGCAGGCTGACTTGGACCAAATGGGAGATGTATTTTCAGTTTTTGAGGAATCTCCATACTGATTCCCAAGGCATCTGGACTAGTTTACATCCCCAGCAGGGGTGTATGTGGATTTTGTCCACACACTCACTGGTATTTATTTGTCAAGCAGGTTTCAGCTTTTCATGCAGCAACACCCCGCCCCTGCTGGTTCCCATTCCTCAAACACAGACACACTTCCAGCTGTGCATGGGTTAGACAAATCAGTATCTGTGCTGTACCTTTTAACTTAGCCATTTTGCAGGCTTTGCAAGATTGGTAAGAACTCAGACCTCCAAGACTGGTGGCTGCGTTCTGGGCCGAGTGTGTCCAGATTCTTGGTCTGTTATTAAAAAAGGAAATGAAAACCCACACAAATTGCCAAGTAGCAAGAAAATTTTACTTAAAGCAAAATGATAGAACAGATTAGAAATACACTGTTTATACTGACAGCAGGACTAGGCATGGTGGCACATACCTTGATCTCAGCAGGCAGGTGGATCTCTGTGAGTTCAAGGCCAGCCTGGTTTACATAGTGAGTTCCAGGAGAGTCAGGGCTATGTAGAGAGACCCTGTCTCAAAAAAGGTTGACAACAGGATACATGAGTGAGAGTACTCATACTCATTATTGTTGGGGGGGTTCCCTTTATGGGGTTCAAGAAGAGGTATTTGGGGGTTCCCTTATGGGGTTCAAGAAAAGTGTATTGGGGTTCCAATTATGGGGTTCAAGAAGAGTTTGGTCATTTGAGCAATTCGCTATTTTACTGACAGTCTTAGATTACATGAACCTTAGTCACTGCCCATATCCCTTCGCATGATGCATCTGATTTTAATCAGTGTGCATGCCCTTTTATACATAAGCATAAGAAGGTAAATACAAGCCGGGCGGTGGTGGCGCACGCCTTTAATCCCAGCACTCGGGAGGCAGAGCCAGGCAGATCTCTGTGAGTTCGAGGCCAGCCTGGGCTACCAAGTGAGTTCCAGGAAAAGGCGCAAACTACACAGAGAAACCCTGTCTCAAAAAACCAAAAAAAAAAAAAAAAGAAGGTAAATACAACATTCTCTCTTCTCTCTGAAAGTTCACTTTGAGGACACAGTTTAACTTAATATGCTTGCAACCAAATCCAGTCTAGGCCAGATCAGTCCATTGCCCATAGTCCTGGATTGTGTTCTAGGATGTGTTAGAATGGAAGTGGGTGTTATCAAGGGTTGCAAAGAGTAACTATTTCTATTTTCAAAGCATGTATATATGCAACTCTATGCAAACAGGGGTCCTAGATTGCTAACAGGTTGCTAGGTGCATTGTTCAGAGTCTAGGGGTGTGCAGAGCCCAAGACAAATGGAGTCCAAGGCTGCTAAGCTATTCCCTGTGTCTGCATTGCCTCAAAAGGGACTCCTCATCCTTTAAGGCCCCCTCTCTTCCTGTTCTGACATGGGAAGAACGTACGTTCTTCATTCATGGACCAAGATTACTGAACTGGAAGCTGATCTTAGTTGCCCATTGGCCATACTGTCCCCTAGAGCTCCACAGAGCAAGAGCAAATCCTCTCTCCTGGCCAGCTTTAGTTAAACACTCATCCTTGGCCCTCAGCCTTAAAGGGAGAGAGAGAGCGCTGCCCCACTATCCTGTGGATGGAGTGGGAAGGATGGAAGGCCTTCTACTTCCAAGCACAAGGTGGTAGGAGGAGGGGTAAGAGTGAGCTAGCCAGGGCAAACATGTTATGCTAGGACTGGAGAGATGCTCAGAGGTTAAGAGCACTGTTGCTCTTCTGGAGGACCTAGGTTTGATTCCCAGGTGGCTCACAATGGCCTGTAATTCTAGTTCTGGGCATCTAATGCCCCCTTCTGGCCTCTATGGGCACTGCACCCATGTGGTGCACAGACACATATGCAGGCAAAATACCAAACTTTTTCCTTTTGAGTTCCCTGTGCTCTATTCTGTAGTCTGTCATCTGTCATACTCTCAGATCCGAGTATCTTCATCCCAGTGAGGACACCAGGGACCTTCTGTTATCACCACTTGAGATTCATCTATTTGCTTTACCCTCTCACCATTCTGAGTGAGTCTTATGCACACTGTAGGTGCTTAGTAACAACTCTCTGAGTGACTTCTAGAAGTCTCTTCTTTGGAAATGTCCTTGTCATTGGATGAAAGTGGCAACAGTCAAAAACCACTGAGTTTCACATGCTTCCAGTGTGAGAAGTGAATACCAGAAATCTATCTGCTCTACTCAACATTTCCCAGCCTCTGTGTTCCCGGTTTAAATACTATAGGTATCAGCCGGATGTGGTGGTGCATGCCTGTAATCCCAGCACTTGGAAAGCTAAGGCAAGAGCATTGCTGTGAATTCCAGGCCAGCGTGGCCTGCATAGTGGGTACCAAGCCATATAGGGTCACCTAATAAGATGCTGTGTCAAGAAAACCTACAGATATGTAAACACCAGACATACCAGATTCAATGTCTACATTCTTCCTCCTGCATTTCCTCATTCATCAGGCAGTGCCGTTTGCCACAACCCTTTCTTCCCTGCTTCCATATCTCTCCTCACTGGCATGAACCGAGTGGGTATACTCCTGGTGTGTATATAAGCCATGTATCAGTTGTGGGGGCAGATATCGTGAGATGTGAGAGCATGGGAGGGAATGGCAGGTGGACATCTCCCAGGGCAAACATTTCTGCCTTGAAGTCAAAGCTTCCAGCAGCAGGCTGATTAACCATTGATGAGCTCCCAGGCTGGTTGCTATGGTAATAGGAGGTCACTGAAACAGGGAGAGGATTGCAACATACTGCCAGGAAAGATAGCGGCACTTTCTGGTGAGGGTGTTCAGGGCTGGGGAGAACACATCTCAGCTGGTGAAGTTCAAGGACCTGAGTTTGACCCTGAGAACCCACATAGAAAATTTGGGTGCGGCGACACATGCTTGTCATCCCAGTGCTGGGAGGCAGGGAGAGGAGGATCTCTGGGGCTTGCTGGCCAGCCAGCCTAACCTAGCGAGCACACTCCCTGCCAGTGAGAGACTCTGTGGATGACACTTGAGGTTGTCCTCTGGCTTCCACATGCACAAACATGTATGTACGCATTCATGTTCATATGCATTAACTAATTAAATAATTCCTGGGGATCTGAGAAGGAGTCTCCTCTGTTTTCACTCCCCCAGCATCCACTCCAGCATCCTGCTAAGAGATGGGATCGAGTGAAGGGATGAGCAAAGCTCGGGGCAGACGAGTTTCATGTCCCCAGTGGCTCTAGCCAACGTATCACACGCACTAAAATGATGGTTAAGGTCAACTGTCTTGCAGGAGAATTTCGGAAAACAAGAACAAACCTTTGAGTCACATTACAATGAGATTTTGGAAACCCTTGCTCAAAAGCACAAAGAAAAAATTCAAGCTCTAGGAGAGAAAAAGAAAGAGAAGCTGGAAGCTTTATACGGGCAACTGGTCAGCTGTGGAGAAAACCTTGACGCCTGCAGAGAGCTGATGGAAACCATAGAGGAGATGTGTCATGAAGAGAAGGTGGAGTTCTTAAAGGTCCGTGATGAAACAGAAAGGAAAGGAACAAAACCATGAGATGAAATCCCAGGTCCAGTCCAAAGTGGGCTAGCCTACCCTCTCCGCTCTCAGAGGTCTGAGTTGACTGTGATGGCCAACATCTATCTGATGTCCACAGTGGGAGGCTGTCCCTACCTCTCCACATCACTTCATTAGTGGCCAAGCAGGCAGGGACACCCAGTCCTTTCCTTCCACCACTCCCCAGGTACATCCAAGCTTTGTCCCTCTGTCCCCTGATCATTGACTGTCCCTTGATCATGGAGGCGAGCAAAGACAGTGTCCTGAGACTTTTCTGGCTGCCTCTGGTGGCTTCTCTAGGATCTCTGGGAGAAAGTTGGTTCAGGTTAATAAGGTACCTTAAATTGCCCTGTGCCAAGGCAATTGTAACTTCATACATATGCCAAAAATATCCACTTCTTAATTATATTATACCAAATCATATTAAATCTGGCCCAAACCCCCATATAGCAGAGTTATGGGAATTTCAACCCCATTTAGAGATCTTGCAAGGTCCCATGAGGCTATGGGGCAGACATGGTTTCACAAAGAAGTCTTCAGGATCTCTTAGATGCTAAGTATGACCCCCTCATTGTCCAAGCTCATAGCTACTCCTCAAAGCCCAATCATACCTCCTTCTCACCACCATCATGGTAAGAGACCCGTGAATAAAGGTAGAGAGCAATCTGGCAAGAGCTGTGAGAGGAACCGATGCTCACCCTCTTGAGCCAGTGGTCCCCTGGTGCCACCGTACCTCAAATACAGAATGTAGAAAACAGCGCATTACTGATGATGCATTGTAGACAGCCACCGTGTCTTACACCAGAGGAACCACAAAGTAAACAATGGTGTTTCTAGGCAACGATCCCTTGCAGTCTTTGTAGTCAGTGGTCCAAGGGACCCTGTGTGACCCGGGAGGTGCAGGACTGTGGAGGGAAATGCACAAGCATGGTGGTTTTGTTGGGGTGATCCTCCCCACTTTCATAATTTCCAACTTTAAAAAATTTACACTTTATATTGTTGAGAAAAATTATTTCCTAAATCGGTTTAATATTTTCTTTCCTTTTCAGGATGCAGTGGCTATGACTGACAGGTAATAGTTTTGTCCTGACCTGGCTTCTGTTTCTATTCCTTTCACTTCTAGACTCCCCTGGGTCATCTGCTTCCCTTCTCAGCTCCGGTGACCCCATAAATAAAATAGTCCCGACTTCGGAATGGCAGTGTGGGGTCAGTAGGCCCTTTGGTGTTGAATCTTAGAATCTCTGGGCTGGAAGGGAACATGTATGGTGAGGCCCACCCAGCAAGCCTGCGCTCAGGTCCTCCTCACACACGAGAACTTTGACTCACTGGGAGAAACTGAGGACTGGAACATGTCCCCATCTCTCTTCAGTCCTTGGTCATGTTGTGGCAGAAAGCATGTATAGTTTAAAGTCATACACAGCGGAGCGTGACCCCTGCTTCCACAGTGACCTTGGACAGATCCAAGTCCAATGTCCCACCTTCCCTATTTACAAACAGGGGCAGTTCTGTGAGACCTTACTAAGACAGTGTCCATAAAGCAACATGGGAACTTAATAATGGAAGGGCCTAAATACACGCGTTTTGGCAAAAATGGACCTGGACTTCAAATTCCATGTGTGCCACTTAGAAGCCTCGTGACTTCCAGGGAGCTGGTGCAGGACCATCTGGAGCCTCTGGTGCAGCAACGTGAGGGCTCCTGACCATATGGAGTGTGAGGCTCCAGAGTAGAACCCCCAAGTGCATGTGGGGATGTGGAATGATGTGGGAGTGAAGGAAATGTGGGTCTACATCCTGCTGATATGTGGATTTCCCCCCATTCTTAGGCCCAACCCTTCCTCTTGCCCCTGGGAGGGATTAGACCAACATTTCTCAACCTGTAGGTACAATCCCTTTGGGAGGGTCAAATGACCCTTTCACAGGGGTCACATAAGACCATCGGAAAACACAGATTGTTTCCATCACAGTTCATAACAGTAGCAAAAATACAGTTACGAAGTAGCAACAAAAATGATTTTATGGTTGGGGGTCACCACAACATGAGGAACTGTACTAAAGGGTCACAGCATTAGGAAGGTTGAGAACCTCTGGGTTAGACATTAATGGATGGTTTGGATGGGAAGTGTTCCCTGAAAGGCTCATGGGCTGAAGGCTTTGTCCTTGAAGAAACTATGTTCAGAAGTGGGGTTCTGGGGAAATGGTTGGATCAGCAGAGCTCTGATCTCATGAATGAGGGTCCTTCGATGGGTTCGTAATTCTATGGTACAATTGGGAGGTGGGGGAGTTGAGGAGTTGGAGTCTAGTTGAAGGAAGTGTGTTACTAGAGGTTTGAAAGGTATATCTAGTCCCCCTTCTTGCCTCTCTTTGCTTCCTGGCTGCCCAAGATAAGCAACTTTCCTCCATTTTGCCCCCACCCACCCCCACCCCCACCATGCTTCCACCGAAGGCCTAAAGAGCAATGGAGCCAGCTGACTGTGGACTGAAACCGTGGGCCGAAGTAGAGATTCCCTCCCTTTTAATTGCTTATCTCAGTGATTTGTCAAAGCCACGATGTTCTAGTGAGGTAACCTCCTGGCCCATCATCAAATCAGATAGCAGAATCCAGAAGCATGTGGAGAAATGCAAGTTTGGCAAAGAGGCCCTCCATTTCCTCCTAGTGACCTAGCACTAAAGACGTACCCTAAGAAGAAAGCCCTCCATCTTTGTATGAATTTGTGTTATTTTTTAAGAACATGCATGAGTGTTTTGCCTGCATGAATGTCTGTGGATCGTGTGTATACCTGGTGTCCACAGAGGCCAGAAGAGGGTGTCACATACCTTGGAACTGGGGTTACAAAGGGTTGTGAGCTGCCATGTGGGTGCTGGCAATTGAACCTAGATCCTCTGGGAGAGCAGTCAGTGCTCTTAACTGCTGATCCCACTCCCCAGCCCCTGGCCATGTCTTTTCATACCCACAGACTGGGGAAATTCCTGAAAACCAAAACAGACGTGGAGCTCTCTACACAGCCTGAGTTTGAAGACCAGACCTTGGATTTCTCTGATGTGGAGCAGCTGATGGACTCTATCAACACCATTCCAGGTGTGTGTGTGTGTGTGTGTGTGTGTGTGTGTGTGTGTGTGTGTGTGTGTGTGTGTGTGAGAGAGAGAGAGAGAGAGAGAGAGAGAGAGAGGAGAACATGAATGGACCTAAAGGGACAGTATAGTAAGTGGAACAAACCAATCACAGAAAGATAGACACTGCATGCTTCTCCTTCCGTGAGGTGCCTGAAGAAGTCAAACTCACAGACTCAGCCATGGTGGCAGCCCCGGACTGGGGTGCAGCCCCGGACTGGGGTGCAGCCCAGGACTGGGGAGGGAGAGGTGGGAACTGCTGAGTGAGTAGAAGGACTTATTCTGTAAGGTGAAGAAGATCTGAGCAGCACAGCACTTGGAGTTAACAATACGGTATCTGTCACTTCCACAAATGGGAAGAAAGTAGATCTGATGCTAAGGGATCTTAACCAGAATGCCTCCCTGCCCCTCATGTACATGTGCGTGCGTGCGTGCGTGCGTGCGTGCGTGCGTGTGTGTGTGTGTGTGTGTGTGTGTGTGTGTGTGTGCGCTGGGGGTGGAGTGTACACTCACATGCATTCATGTGTATGTGGAGGCCAGAGATTGACATCAAGCATTTCCCTCTATTGCTCTGCACTTCATTTTTTGGAACAGGGTCTCTCACTGAACCTGGAGCTCCCAGGTTGTCTAGGCTGTCTAGCCAGGATGCGCCTGGCTTCTTATGTGGATGCTGGGGCTCCGAACTCGGGTCCTCAGGCTTATTTGGGAAGCCCTTGGCTGCCTGAGCCACCTCCCCAGCTCAGGTTCTTTTCTCTTCTAAGGCGCAGTAGTACCCCGTTGAGTCAACACACCACATTTCCTCCTCCATTAATCTGTTGATGGACACTGGGTTGTTCTCTTATCTTGGCCATTGTGAATACAGCACCATGAAATGAGTGTGCAAAGTATCTAGGATCCCGACTTCAATTCTTTTGGCTGTATACCTAAAAGTAGGACTGCTGACCGATCTGAGAGTTCCCTTCTCTCCCTCACTCTGTTTGCAGTGCTGGGGACTGAACCCAGCACCTCACACATGCTACTCAAGTACTGCGTCTCTGAGCTACATTTCCAACCTCCCCCCCCCAACCCCCCCTTTGCTTTAAAGCTGAGATCTCACTGTATCACCCAGATGGCCTTGTACCCCTGGACTTATGTGATCCTCTGTGGTATTGTGGCCTCTTGGATGTGACATTATGCTAGCAGTTCCTTTTTAACTTTTTGGTGGCTTGCCATGCTGTTTTCCACAGTGGCTGTACGAAGGTACATTTCCCTGGCAGTCCACATGGCTTCCTGTTCTTTACATCCTTGCCAACACTTGCCATCCTTTGCTTTCTGAGCGCAGCTGTTCTAGCAGGTGTGAGGGGATAGCTCACTATGTCGGGGGACGCTTTATTTGTTGTTTTTAGTTTTGCTCAGACGGGTCTAACTCCGTACCTAGGCTAGCTGTAGAACTCACAATGGAGCCCAGGCTCACCTCACACTTGTGATCCTCAACCTCCCAGGTGCTGGGATTACAGGCATGCACCACCATGCATGGCCCTCAGGTCATGGTTTCTATCTGCATTTCCCTCATGATTAGTCATGTCGAGCACCTGTTCACACTCTTGGTGGCAATTTGTATGTCTTCTTTAGACAAACATCTGTTTGAGTCCTTTGCTCATTTTTAAGTGATGTGATTTAAGGGGTTGTCTGTTTTGTTTGGCGTTGAGTTTTGGAGATTCTTCGGTGTTTTGAATATCAGTTATAAGAATCTCTTGTCTGTCCTCCATGGGCACCAGGCACACACATGGTGCACAGACATGCATGCAGACAAAACACCCATACACGCGAAACCATACAGTCAAATAAAAAGCAGCTGCTCCCCACACCCGCACACCTGTCTCCTCATTGTTGACTTCTCTCCCTTTGTTTGTTTAGCTCCCTCTGCTCCGGTGATCAATCCACAGGCCCCCAACTCAGCCACAGGGTCCTCCATCCGCGTGTGTTGGAGCTTATACTCTGATGACACCGTGGAGAGCTATCAGCTGTCCTACAGGCCAGTGCGGGACAGCTCACCCGGCAAAGACCAAGCAGGTAAGGTTAGAGCCTGGCAGAGCTGCTGCTGACCAGAACGCTTCAGGGAATAGCCCCTTGCTCCCTTTGGGCAGCTCTGGGCCTATCTTCACCCCCAGGGGAATGGCTTGTGTGGCACTAGGGCTGGGGTCACCCTTCCACCAATAATCCATCCATCAGTTCTTCTCCTGGGAGCAGTGTAGCTGTATTAGCCATTGGTTAGTTACTTTTCTTGTTGTTGTGAACAAATACCCGACAAGAAACAACTTTGGGAGGCGAGGGCTTATTTTGGCTCACAGGTTGAGAGTGCAGTCCAGCACCTGGTGGTGGGGGTGGGGGGGTGGTAACAGGTACATGAGGCAGCTGGTCACATTGAACCACAGTCAAGAAACAGAGAGCGATGAATGCTGATGTTCTACTCACCTTCTCCTTTATAGTCAATCTGGGACCTCCACCCACAGGATGGTGGCACCCACATCCAAGGTGGGTCATCCCTCCTCAGCTAAACCTCTTTGGAAATGCCTTCGGAGATACCCAGAGGCCTGTCTCCTTGGTGATTTGAAATCCCATCAAGTTGAAAATGAAGATTAATCTTCATAGACAGCTTGCTGTTACCATAACAAATATCAGCGATAAATCAACTTTTGAGGAAGAAACTTTAGTAGCCCATAGTTTCTGTCTTTAATGACACAGTACACTACGACAGAATGTGGCTGAAAAGCTGCTCATCTGAGAGCATCCAGGGGGTACCAATATCCCTCTCAAGCTTATCTGAGAAACAGGGGGTACCAATATCCCTCTCAAGCTTATGTTCCCAATGACCTAACCTCCTCCCACGAGGCCCCACCTCCTAAAGAGTTCACCACCTCCTGGGGTACTGGGTTAGGGACAGCCTTCAACACACAGCTGTTGGGGGCACTCCTTTAAACCATAACAGGAAGGGGAAATCAGACTGTAGGAAAACTACCCCCCAAGTCCCACAAACCTGAAGCAATGAGGATGTGGTCCTGCTGGTAGGTCTGTCCAGTATGAGTCAGGTCAGAGTGAGCTTGACGGGCTGGGTGATCTCCATTTCACAGATGAGGACGGTGGAGGCTCAGGGAGAATTGACCTGTCGGTGAGTCACCGTGAGTTGTGGTAGAACCAGGGTGAGAACCAGGTCTTCGGGCTCCCTGCCCAGAGCACTGCACGCTGTTCTAGGATATGTGGGTGGGGGCTCTGGGAGGTAAGGACATCATTTCTGCCCAGGGACCAAGTAGGAGGAGTTTAAAAAAATTTTTTTTTGGTTTTTTTTTTTTTTATCTTTGTTTTTTGAGACAGGGTTTCTCTGTGTAGTTTTGGTGCCTGTCCTGGATCTCGCTCTGTAGACCAGCTGGCCTCAAACTCACAGAGATCTGCCTGGTTCTGCCTCCCGAGTGCTGGGATTAAAGGCGAGTGCCACCACTGCTGCCCAGCTAAAAATATTTTTTATTATTTGATAGTTTCATACATTTATACAATGTATATGTAACTGTAACTTCTGGGCACACGATCATCCACTGGGGCATGAGCAACCTACCAGTGGCCACATCCACAAAGCAGAGTGACTCTCTCTCTCATTCAGATGCCATCAGCTGCCAGTAGTTCCTCCACTCGGGTGGAGGCTCCAGGGCCCTCTCCAATGCAAGCTGGAAACTTGACTGGCTTGATGTCGTGGGGATAACACAGCTGCTGTCAGTTGCTGTGGGCAATAACCACATCATGTCTAGAAGTCAGCATTTCACGGTTCTCCTCCCCATTTGCCCCCCTAATTCTCTGCCCTCTTCTTTGAACTTCTCTGAGCCTTGGATGGTGGGACATTGATATCGACCACCCATCCACAGCTAACCACTCAGTCATTTATAGTTGACAATTTGACCAGTTTCAAGTCTCTGCATGAACCACTACCCACTGCCCAAAGAAACTTTCCTGACCAAGGTTGAGAGCAACACAAATCTTTGGGTGCAAACATAATGTTCGGAGTGCAGTTTGACAGCATGACCGTGTATCACAACAACAGTAAGTTCCCCACTAGGGCCTATGATCTCCCTAGTCATGGACTTCTGACCAGGTTTACAGTGCCAGGCACGAAATCACTCCTGTGGAGCAGACCTCGTAACAAATTAGAAAGTGGTTGGTTACCCTCATAACTATCAGGCCACTGTGGCACCAGTGTGTCTGCCACCAGCAGGTCCGTGCTGTAGCACAAAGGTCCAGTGCTGGGAAAGATCACTGATGCCTTTTTCCCACAGTAACCCACATAGTGCCTACTGGCACTGTGCGGGCTAGCCAGCAGGAAGGAAGTTTCCATCCTAGTTCCAGCTTGATCTGTCTACGATCTGGGAGCAGGTCCTGTGTTGTTCTCAGCAGCAGGATGTGACCATCTCGTTTTGATGGGCATCCAGCAGCGGTGGCAGCTGCCTGTACTGTTTCATGGGGTCTCAGAGACCTCTGACAAACGACTCCCGGGAAAGTAGCTGTGGTGGCCTGAGCGACCCATGTCCCCTGGCCAGGTATTGGAACACTTGGTCTCCGCTGGTGGTGCTGTCTGGGGAGGTTTAGGCTGTCACCTTGCTAGAGGAAGTACATCACCGTGAGTGGGTTTTCAGAGTTCGTAGCCTCACCCTGCTTCCCTACTCCTCTGTCCTTTGAGCTTGTGGTAGAGGATGTGAGCACTCGGCTTCCTGCTCAGCCTTCCCACCTGCCTCCTTCTGCGCCTCCCTATCACAAGCGGCTCTCACCCCTCTGAAACCACACGCCCCAATAAACTCTTTCTTCCATATGTCACATGGTCACATTGTTTTGTCGTAGCCAATGCAGTAGCCTATTCCTAAAACTGTGATTTCATTAATAACCCCTGGCTTCTGAGAGCAGATTTATCCATGCACGCAGGGTCTCAGTTTTGTTTGCTTTTAATTATTATTAGTTTACCAAGTAACAGATTCCTTTAATGCTTGTTTTATACCTTTTAATTGGTTAGATTTCTGAGAGAAGGTCTAAGTAACCCAGAGTAGCCTTGAACTCACAGCTATTCTCCTGCCTCAGCCTCCTGGGTACTAGGATTACAAATAGGCACCACCATGTATTAGCCTTGTGCCAGTTAGTTTTTGCTCTGTAACAATACTTCTGCCTCCAGATTTAGCGGCTTAAAATAACACACATTTGGCCGGGCGGTGGTGGCGCACGCCTTTAACCCCAGCACTCGGGAGGCAGAGCCAGGCGGATCTCTGTGAGTTCGAGGCCAGCCTGGACTACCAAGTGAGTTCCAGGAAAGGCGCAAAGCTACACAGAGAAACCCTGTCTCGAAAAACAAACAAACAAAAAAAAAAAACAACAACAAAAAAATAACACACATTTATTGTTTTATAATTTTATGGGTTGGTTAGACAATTCAGGACTGAGACCCCTGAGTGTGATCAGATGATCCAAGGTGGCCTTATTCATTATGATAGTTTATCTCCATGGTCAACTAGAGGGATTTAAAATCACCATGGAAACATCTCTGGGTGTGTCTGTGGAGGTGTTCCCAGAAAGGTTTAACAGAGCAGTCAAGACCCACCTGATGTCCCAGACTGACTGAGACAGAGGAAGCACGCTGAGCATCAGCGCTCAGCTCTCTGCTTCCTGAGTGTGGATACAATGTGAGCAGCTGCAGCCTGGCCTTTCCTGCCCTGACCACAGGAACCCCCTCCTTCCTTAAGCTGCTTCTTACCAGGTAAAAGTAACTAATGTCTGCCCTTCTGGCCTAAGCCTAGGCGGCTGGTGCAGGGGTGGGGGTGGGGGACCTTCTCCCCGTGGTCTTGAACTCTCCAGAGGGTGTGCTCAGACTCATTCCTAGGTAGCAAAAGCTTTCCAGCAGTAAGTGGGGCAAGCCTCTCCTGTCCCAAGCCTCCTCTTGCATAGTCCTGTCTGTTGTCACCAACTTAAGCCCTACTTCTGGCTAGGAAGCCAGAGCCTCTTTTACCGTGGGACACAGTAAAACCACGCGGCCTTTTAAGATCTGAATTCTGACTTTTTTCTTTTTCTTCTAGAATTTACCATGACAGTCAAAGAAACATATTGCTCAGTGAGAAATCTTGAGCCAAATACCCAATATGAATTTTGGGTGATAGCTCAGAACAGGACCGGCCCCAGCCCCTCCAGTGAGCACGCGGTGTACATGACAGGTAACGAGCTGTTCGTTCTCGTTCTAGGCGGGCCAGGAGTTGCAGGTTTCTGGATGTGACTGGGTTTTCAGTTTCATTTGAAAGATAGAAAGTGCTGTGTGGGGTTTCTTTCCTTTTCTTCCTGTATTCCCTTTAATGCATTAGATCTACATGCCTGGTGGTGTAAGGACATTTTTTTTTTTTTCAAGGTTGGCCTGCTACCCACAGTTATACTGACACTTGGGACTTGTATTAAGTTAATTCTATTAAACACCATGTCCCAGGCAACAGTTCCAGAGGGATAAGAGCCGTGTCAGAGACATGGCAGCAGGTAGAGTGGCCGAAGCAGGAAACTGAGGGCTCCTATCTTGAACTGCAAGTGCTAGCCGAGAGAGTGAACTTGAAATGGTGTGAGTCTTTACATTTTCAAAGCCCACCTACTGTGGCACACTTCCTCCAAGGCTACACCTCCTAAAACTCTCCAAACCGGGTTACCAACCGGGGACCAAACATTCAAATGCCCTAGACTATGTAGGACACCTACTACTCAAACCACCACAGGTTTAGTGAGCATCCTCAACCCAGGAATGTCTGAAAGGGTCCCAGGTGCTACAGGTTTAGTGAGCATCCTCAACCCCGGGAATGTCTGAAAGGGTCCCAGGTGCTTCAGGTTTAGTGAGCATCCTCAACCACAGGGAATGTCTGAAAGGGTCCAGGTGCTGGCATTGCTGTGGTGTTTGTCCATGGCTCTAAACAAAATGGCTGGGACTGAACCTAATGACTGCTCCTATCTCCTTTCTCCCGCGTTTAGCTCCTTCTCCCCCCACTATAAAAAGTGAGGCAATCAGAAGCTGTGAAGAGGCTGCACTCATTTGTTGGGAGTCTGGGAACCTGAATCCTGTGGACTCCTACACAGTGGAGCTGGTCCAGGCAGAAACGCCTGAAGCCTCGGGGGTAACTGAGTGAGTCTGGAGGACCTTCACAGGTTGCTAAAGCATATGCAGTGTGGGGACAAGGTCAGAATTTGTGACACATAGCACCTTAATTAGGATACTTAAGGTTCCCAAGAAGTAGCTAGAATGCTAATGATCAGGAAAGATGAATACAAGTGACAAAACCCTGTTAGCTTTTTTTTTTTAATCCAATTAAGGGATGGGAGGGTGATTTTTGTTTTGTTTTGCTGTTGTTGTTTTGAGACAGGCTTTCTCTGTGTATCTCCAACTGCCCTGGAACTCACTCTTATAGACCAACCAGGCCTTGAACTCAGAAATCCCCCTGCCTCTGCCTCCCAAGTGCTGGAATTAAAGGCATGGGCCACCACCGCCCGGCTCTGGGTGGGTAACTAAGGGCACAGTGGGTCAGGGTGCTGCTGTGCAAGTGTGAATGTCTGAGTTAGGATCCCCAGCACCCTTGTAAAGAGCTGGGTGTGGCTACTCACCTGGAACCCCAGTGCTGTGCTGGATGGTGACAGAAGGACCACTGAGGCGTGCTGGCTGCTAGCCTAGCTCCAGGATCAATGAGAGACCCTGTCTCAAAGGACTGAGGCAGAAAATGGCAGAGAACCATCGCCGTCCTCCTCTGCCCTATGTGTGTACACATGGGTACATACACCTACACACACCTACATGTGCACAGACTGCACACATTTGCACACTCGAGCACACCTGTGCACACGCACAGATACAGTGTAATCAAGATTTATCTTTAGGCCAGGCATAGTGGCCTAAACTTGAGAGACTAAGGCAGAAGCATTGCCAAGAAATGGCCTGGGCCAAAGAGTGAGACCTTGTCTAAAGAAACAACAATAAAAACAAAATAATCACTTGCCGTTAATCCCAGCACTCGGGAGGCAGAGGCAGGTGAACCGCTGAGTTTGAGGCCAGCCTGATCTATAGAGTGAGTTCCAGGGCAGTCAGGGATACACAGAGAAACCCTGTCTCAAAACAAACAAACAAACCAAACAATCAACCCCCCAAAACAAAACAAAAACACACAATCTAGGCATGGTGTTACAATCTATAATTCCAGCACTTGGAAGGTGGAGGCAGGAGGATCCGGAGTTCAAGATCATCCTCATCATCTATATAGCAAATTCAAGCCTAGCATTGGTTTGAGATCCTGCCTTAAAAAAAAAAAAAATTTTCCTTTTCATTCATGTACCAAGCATCAAGCACTGAGGACATTAGAGAACTAGAAAGACACAGTTCTTGCCCTTGGAGCTCATAGTTCAGGAAGAAAAATAAGCACAAACACACCTATAAACCATGTATGAAATACACAGTCCAGAGAGAGAGAAACAGGATGGAGGGAACGCTAGTGGAGGCGGGGTCTGCTTTTTGATAGACATTCAAACTGAGTCCAGGATGGGAGGACTGAGCCCGAGAGGGGCAGGAGCAAGCCAGATGTTTTGGGAGAGGAGAAGGACTTGGTGGACAAGACCTCGGGGACAGGAGTGGGCTGGATACACTGCAGGAACTGGGGTAAGGTGACTGAAGTTAGAGCACGAGAAAGAGGGCACAGGAACGACAAACGAGACTCAATGTACAATGTGCAAAGGACACAGAAGGCTGTCTGGAAAGTGGGAGGCCTTTCCAAGTCCATGAGGACAGGACATGGTGGCCGCCAGGGTCTCCGGGTCCCAAGAGGCCATGGCGAGGCACCACAGAGGAAGTATGGCTGCTCCTGGCTCATAGCCAGGCAGTTCTAAAGCATACAGATCAAGGACTCATCCAGCTGGGCAGCCCGGCCCCTGGCAGAGTCCAGAGGAGCTCTGCTGTGGAGTGCAGGGATGCACTGAGCTGCAGGGAGAGAATGGAGACGGCCTTTGAGGCCAGCTGCTAGGGAGGCAAATTCTTTTATTAGTGGTAGTAATTTATTTATTTATTTTACATCCCAACCTCAGCCTCTCCTCCCTTCTCTCCTCCCACTCCCTCCCCCCTCTTTCCTTTTTCCCCCCACCCCCAATCTACCCGTCCTCCATAATCACTCAGAAAGGGAGGCAAATTCTAATGCTTGCCTTGTATGGGAGCCTGTGTAAGAAAGTGTGAACTTACTGTAGACTTTGGATGGGGCAGAATGCAGAATGTCCTTCCCACAGGGGACCTTCTATAAAGACTTGTATAAACTATGATAAGCAAACGCACTTGAAAGCAAGGCTATGAAGCATGTCCATATGACCTCTGTGGGAAAGGCAAAGGCCCAGGAGGAATAGTCTTGGCTCTTCTCTCATGACCAAAGATGATGAGACACAACATCGGTGTATTCCCTCGCTATGCTTGGATTTGCCTAAGCTAACTGTAAACGTTACCCCGTGCTTTGCTTGCTCTAATAATAAAATGAGAATTGTTTACACTACTCTCGAGCTCAAATATTTGGAGTCCCCTGGTTATCCCACACAGATCTTTGGCATTTTCCTTCAATCTGGGGAGACTCAGCATCACTGGCCGGGCTGGTTGACAGCCACGGAACCTACCATGTATCCTATTTATCTGTCCTTGCCAGATCTATGTGCCTATAACCACATCAAAAGCTGACCTTTGCTTTCTACTTCTAAAGATAGTCAGAAGTCGGGGAGGGGTCCACCACAGTGATTCAGGTTTCCTTTGCTGTTTATAATAACCTGGGACCTTGGACCAACCCATAATGATGGAGCCCTCAGAGGAAAGGTCAGCAGTTTAGGTGTTCTGAGGTGGTGCTCACTCTCCCAGAACAGAATCACATGTCCCATCGCTGAAGGGAAGGTGGTAGCTTCTTCACAGGCTGTGGCTCTTCATTCCTCCATCCCTCATCCCATACTAACAACCCTTCCTTCTCCGGCTCCTTCTTGACTTTCTTCTTGTCATGAATAACATGGTGGTCTCTTGAGAAATGCCTCTCTTCCCATACAGACTGCAGGTTCCCCAGGACTAGGGATTATGTTCAGTTTCCCCCAGGGCATATATAGCACCTGGAATGGAAGATGCTTTATTAATATCTACTGAATGAACAAGCAGACCTGCTCCTCTGGCCCAGAGCTGCAGCCTCCAACACGACATTATGTCCTTGGCTGGGTCAAGTGTCATGTCTGTGCATGAGCACCATCCTGAAGACTTCCCTTGTCCACTAAACTGATAGGAGTTTGACAGCCACAGAAATCCAGATGGCACTATTATGAGCTTGTATTCTCATACAGTCTGTAGGAGACCAGCCCCCACCCTTATTTACCCCAGGAACTCTTGAGGAATGAGGGATAGAGACTTAGAGACAGAGGGGAGAGAGAAACAGAAAACACAGGATGGACTCGGGTGGGCCTGGATCCTCATCCACTGGCCCAGAACTTTATTCCAAAGGTCTGTTTATAACAATGCCAAGGGGTGGAGCAAAAGACCTCCCCCTTGCTAGTTACAGTCACCTGGTACCCAGGCTCATGGTCCAATCAACCTCTTACTCAGTCCTGCTGGGTACGGGCACTAGGAAACCTAGTGGGCTCCAACAACAGTCCAACTGAAATTGGATTACTCTGTGGCAGCTGTTTTTAACAAGGTTGTCTGTTCACAGACACACACTGAAAGGCTTCTATGGGTCCAGAATTATTCTACAGTGAGTGTACTCAGTCCCGCCCTCAGGGAGGTCATGGCCCTAACAGTCAGAAACAGACACAGGGTGCATACTCCATGGCCCTCCAGTAGACACTCAGAGCACAGTGCTAGGTGCTTGGGAAACCTGGCTGAGGAGCTCGAGATGGCCAGACACAGACTAGCAAGCAAGCAGCGAACTGTGGGAGGCCTGCTCTGGTGCCACTCCTGGCTGTGCTGCTGTGGGTGAGAGCACAGTGGGTGTGAGCCGGATGGCTGCTGCTCGGGCTCATGGTCACTCTGCTTCTGTGCACAGGTCTGTTGTCGGCATCCCAACCTGTGAGGCCCTGATACGGCTGCAGCCTGGACACAGCTACACGATCTACATCCGCGCCCTCAATGTCGGAGGTACCAGTGCCAGGAGTGAGCCCGCCACAGTGCACACCACAGGTCTGTGCCCCAGCTCCACACTCTTGGCGTGCAAGATCAGCCACTTTGTTGTAGACTCAGTGTCTACAACTCAGTGCTAAGAGTGCTCCAGAAAACTATCACTTATGGACCCAAAGGGGCTCCGGGGTCATCAAAGCCCTTGCTCTCTGTTTATAGATGAAGGCTCAAACCCCAGAGCACTTGGGTTGGCTGAGAAAGTGCTAGAACTCAAGGCTTATCTCCATGCCCCTCAGGTACCAGAGGCCACTGGGTCTGGGTGGCCTATATCCTTATCTACTTTTTTTGTTTTTTGTTTGTTTGTTTGGTTGGTTGGTTGGTTTAGTGTTTTGAGATAGGGTCTTACTCTGTAGCTTGGGCTGGTCTGGAATGCAATATGTAGTCAAGCCGACCTGGAACTCAAGGTAATCCTCCTGCCTCAGCCTTTCCAGGGCTGGGCATTATAGGTGTGAGGGCACCCCTGGTTTGCAAGAGGGTTTTTATGACATCCTCAAGAACTCCAAGTAGCCATGGCCACCTCCCGGCTCCTGCTGTCAAACACACACACACACACACACACACACACACACACACACACAGTTAGAAGTCAACTGATTCAGCCTCCTCCCTGCCTCCATGTTCTGTCTGATCATACTAGGTGCTGACATCCCTTCTCATCTGCCTTCATCATGTCAGAGAACTGGCAGGTCCCATGTCCAAGTCCCGAGTGAGCAGAGGCCTCATTAGAAACATCCACACCCCCATCACCCCCTCCCGGGGAAGTGCCACAGCTCTGCACCTTGAGCCTTGCCAGGCCTCCAGAAGCTTCGCAGAGAAATCCAGTTCAAACTGGCTGAGTGGGTGGCCTCCAGGTGAGCAGCAGAAGCAGAGAGCCTAGCCAGTGTTTGGGGACAAATTTCCCTTGGCTGAGATCTTTCACTGAGACACACTGTGCCTCCTTGTCCCCATTTCCATTGGCAGGAGAGGGCTGCCAGGAGAACCCACTTCCCACTGGCAGAGAGCCCACATTCATATTCTCGCCACAGAGATGGGAGAAGCAAGTTGGGTGTTTTGAAATAACAGATGCTGCTCTATAAACAGACAAACAATGACACAGAGGGCAAAGGACAGCCAGCTTTATGTCCTCTCTTTTTTAAACAGCAAAGGATTGAACCTTGGCTCACCACCCAGCATACAAAAGGCTGAGGCAGGAGGATTGCTACAAGTTCAGAGCCAGTCTGTGCAACAGAATGGTTTCAGATGGGCCTGGGCTGCAGTCTGAGACCCTGTCTAAAACATAACAACAAAACACAAGTTCTCTCAATTTTGTTTTCTTTGGCAAGGTTAGAAATTCTTACTTGGGTACAAACACTCACAGCCTGTGAAGTAAAAACCTGGTCTCTAGAATCAGAGGCGAGAGTTCAATCTGAGTGCTGTTACTTGCCAGCCTATTTCTTAACCCCCTGTGTCTTAGTTTCCTCATCTACACAATGAAGACAGTAACACCTGTGTCTAGGTACAGCCCTCAGGACTAAGGGGGAGAAGGTGTGTGAACTGCTGCATGGCACTGAGTGTTCAAGTCCCGCCCCACAATAGTGGCCATCCCTATCCACAGGTCGCTCCTGAGTGCCAGGGGCGGGCTTCTGTGCATCCCTCTGGACTGGACCGTGTGCTTGGGTAATGCCACCAGGCCACGCTGGGAAAGTCCTTCAATGACTGGCCGGGGCTTCTAGATGTTCCCTCCCTCCACAGGAAGCTACTTCCAGCTGAACAAGGACACCTGCCATCCCTGGCTGACCATTTCTGAAGATGGGTTCACAGTGGTTCGAAGTGAGAAGAAAACTTTCAGAAGGGAGCCGCCACCCAGCAAGGCCCAGTTTTCCAGGTACCTGACTGGCCACTGGATGGAGCACTCGGGGGAACTTACCTTTGTTATTTAGAGGAAGTTGGATTGTGACAAAAAAGATGCAGCTGTTGGGGAGGGACCCAGAAAAGGGAAAGACTGTGGTGGCCTCTGCAGAGGGAGGTCCCAGGCTGTGGGGACTCTGGGATATGGCCAGGCTATCAGGTCACATAGCACAGGGGTAGAAACCAGACTGTGAGCACTTCCCTTTGCTGTGAAGGGCTCCCCTTAGGTCAGTGGTTCTCAGCTCCTTTGGGGGAGTCTAACAACCCTTTCACAGGGGTCACGTAAGACTATCCTGAATATTGGAACATTGTGATTCATAACAGCAGCAAAATTACAGTTAGGAAGTAGCAACAAAAATAATTGTATGGTTGGGGTCCCCACGGGAGGACCAGTCTTAAAGGGTCGCAGCACTGGGAAGGCTGAGAAGCACTGCCTTAGGTCTTGTCCTCCCAGTACTGGCAGTTCATTTGACAAAGCAGTTCACACACCGCAGAGCTGAAGGGAAGGGACCGCAGCACAGTGGGATCCTCTGCAGCTTCTTAATGAGTTTTCTTTGTTTGGTTTTGTTTTTTCAAAATATACTAGATTGTCTTACTGAGTTTTATGAATTTTTTTTCCCTTGGTTTTTGAGACAGGGTTTCTCTGTGTAACAGCCCTGGCTGTCCTGGAACTCATTTTGTAGATCAGGCTGGCCTTGAACTCACTGAGATCTGCCTGCCTCTGCCTCCCAAGTGCTGGTATTAAAGAAAATTGTGCACCACTACCGCCTGGCTAGTTTTGTGAATACTTATAAAGCAGTCGGCAGGTGTCCCTTTTCCCTCCCAAATCAAGGTAGACCAGATCTCCTTTTTTTTTTTTTGGTTTTTCGAGACAGGGTTTCTCTGTGTAGCTTTGCGCCTTTCCTGGAACTCACTTGGTAGTCCAGGCTGGCCTCGAACTCACAGAGATCCGCCTGCCTCTGCCTCCCGAGTGCTGGGATTAAAGGCGTGCGCCACCACCGCCCGGCCCCAGATCTCCTTTTTAGAGTATTTCTTCTGAACCTCTAGGAAAGCCAAGAGGAGTCAAAACCATGATGTAAGTGATACGTGATGTCAGGGTTTCTAAGGATGAAATGAGTGCATGTGTGTGGCAGTTGGGGAAGCATCCTGGATCCTTAGTTTCTGGCTTGGCCTGAAGAACTGCAGACAAAGATGTTTACCATTCTGCCCCCTAGGAGACAGGAGAGAAGCCCTGGTCCTCACCTCTGCTTACCTGCCCCATCACCCTCACACAGTGGTGCTTTAGACCAACATGGTGGAGTGGGCGAGTCCGAAAGTGGGTGTAGAAAACTGTCTTTGCCCTTACACAAGACCTGAGGGCAGATGTTACCTGGGAGCTGTCTGTCTGTTTGTCTGTCCAGCTTGCTCGTTCCTTCTAGAGCTCCGTACATTATGTTGAACTATTTACCTATGCCATTCTTTCTCCAAGGAGATACAAAAGGCTTAAAATCAGGGCTGCTATACAATAGGGGGAAAAATAAAAAGCAACAGAAGGAAATGGGCAGATTAACTCTCAAGGCTGAACCAATAGCCAGGCTTTAAACAGTAAACATGGCCTCTCCTTCCAGGTAGTCAAAAGTTAGAGCTCAGAGGACCTGCTGAGGAAGACAGGGGCTCAACCACTGTCAGCAGCAGCTGGAGACGCAGCTCCTGGCTGCCAGCCAAGGAGAAGCCCAGACCACAGACAGTTTCAGGATGCGGCGGTATTAAGTAAAGGTGGAGTTTACTAAGAGAAGCCTTTCCTGTAGAGCAAGCATGGACAGAGGGGCAGATGGAGAGAGTTTAAGAACAGCTGTCCGTACTCAGGGAGGTGCAGGTGCTCCCAATTGAGTCTCACTTAGGTGGGTTTTCAACTTATTTTGAGAAAGAATCTCCTGTGGCTGTGGAATGCCTCGAATGCCTTATCTTTGTCCCTGCTTCCCAAGCACTGGGAGGACAGGTGGTATGCCAACATACCTGGCTCTGGAAAGATGCTTTTTTACCATCCTTTACAGGTTTTGCTTAGGCCACCTAGCACTTCATCTTGAGATATGGCAGCATTTAAGACCCATTGTCTTGGCTCTTTAGGGGTCCAGCTGAGTTAGAGAGCCCCATTTTAATCCACAATTCCATTGTATCTGTTGTCCTGTGGAATGGCTGTGCTGTGTGTAAGGATGGAGAGGAAGATACTGTCTATGCTGTCTGCTGGGACTCTTCAAGCAGGTACAAGTCAGACATGTCTATGAAAGACAAGTCATTGCTGGAGCCTGTCCTGTGTGCTTTCCATTGCTGTCCCCATGGCCAAAGGCTGTCCCCATGGCCAAAGGCTGTCCCCATGGCCAAAGGCTGTCACCATGGCCAAAGGAAGAAAGGGCTTATTTTATCTTACACCAACCTCAGGTGTTCTCAGGAGCCATCCACCTTGTTTTTGAGACATGGTCTCTTACTGGGCTGGGGCTCAGCTAGTAGGCTAGACAAGCTGACCCAGGAATATGTCACACCACCATACCAGCTCTGTGTGTGTGTGTGTGTGTGTGTGTGTTTCTTTCTAAGACAGGGTTTCTCTATGTAGCCCTGGCTGTCCTGGAACTCACTTTGTAGACCAGACTGGCCTCAAACTTACAGAGATCCGCCTGCCTCTGCCTCCCAAGTGCTGTGACTAAAGGCAGGCACTGTCACTGCCTCGCTACTTTCTGTATTTTTAATTGTATTATTTTGTGTGTGTAAGTATTTGCCTGCATGTATGTCTGAGCACATGTGCCTGGTACACACAGAGTCCAAAACAGGGTGTCAGATCCCTGGAACTGAGTTATAGACTTCTGGGCTGCCATGGGGGTGCTGGGGAACAAACCCAGAGGTTAAGTACACAAACACGGAGCCATCTCTGCAGCCTCCACGTTTTTCAGATAGAGTCTGGGCCTTGAACTCAGGTCTTCACAAACACAGAGCCATCTCTGCAGCCCCCACGTTTTTCAGTAGGGTCTGGGCCTTGAACTCAGGTCTTCATAGTTACAAGGCAAGGACTGTACCAACTGAGCTAGCTCCCCAGCCCCTGAACAGTGAGTCTGTTAGCCAAAAGGAAGATCTGAGAGGTACATACCCCTCTCTGTTATACTTTAAACAGGGGCCCTGGCAGGTGAGAGGGGCAGGAACATGATGGTTTCCATTTGAGTCGCTGAATTTGCAACAGGGAGAGATGTGGGCTGCCTTCCCAAAGCTTTGCTCGGGCAATCAAACAGGCTTAAAGAGTGGAAGAAGATGTTTGATGTCAGTTGGACAAATCTTCCCAGCTGGAGGCTGCATTAGGTTTGGCTAGAACAGGAATCTTGACACAGATCAAACATAGATACTTTGGAGGTTCTGATGTGACCCCACTTGCAATGGAAATCTTCCCTCTGTTGAGTACTTTGTACACCAAAATGTCCCTCTGAACTCTCAGTGATGGTTCCCAGTGGAGGCAGGGGGTCAGCTTTGATGACTGGTGAGGAATGTGCTATCCTGCTTTTAGGTCACTCTATGAATTTCTTTCAAAAGTTTTATCATTCTCATCCAGGCACCTTTAATCCCACACTCAGGAGGCAGAGGCAGGAGGATCTCTGTGAGTTCGAGGCCACCCTGGGCTACAGAGCAAGATCCAGCAAAGGCTCCAAAGCTACACAGAGAAACCCTGTCTCAAAAAAAAGAAAAAAGTTTTATCATTCTCATTATTAGTGTGTGTGGTGTGCACGTGTGAGTGCAGACAGACACACGCCATGGGGAGGGGGTTGGAGGACATCACTGTGGAGTTGACTCTTTCCCTCCACCTCCTGTGGGATCTGGGGGTGGATCTCAGGTTGTCAGGCTTGCACAGGCCCCGTCTATACCAGCCCAACCTCTGGAGTCTGTCACCCCGAGCATAAAGGTTACCTCAGAGATCTTTATTCTGTATGCAGAACAAGGGCTGGCGCTACTTCGGTCCCTCCCACCTTACAATGAATCTACCTTCCTGACTAGAAATGCCATAGCCATTTCTAAGAGGCAACAGAACCTGTTCTGTGGGTTTCAGTGTTAACCTCCTCCACTGCCAGATGGTGTAATATTCCAACCTTCAGCGTTAGTGTGGCATCCCAAATGAAACATGTTCCCACCTTTTTTTTTTTTTTTTTTTTTTTTTTTTTTTTTTTTTTTGGTTTTTCAAGGCAGGGTTTCTCTGTGTAGCTTTGCACCTTTCCTGGAACTCGCTTTGGAGACCAGGCTGGCCTCGAACTCACAGAGATCCGCCTGGCTCTGCCTCCCAAGTGCTGGGATTAAAGGTGTGCGCCACCACCGCCCGGCTGTTCCCACCTTTTGATGGACCCCAGGGCCTTGTGCATACTACACAAGCACCCTCACACCCTGCTCCCCCGCCCCGTCCCCCTCCACTCCCACCGCATGCTTCTATTTTCTAAAACCAGGTGTGTTGCTGTCATTGGAAACCTGATTCCAGTCCGAGGACGCCATTACTGGGAGGTGGAGGTAGATGAGCGTTTGGACTACACTGTTGGTGTGGCCTGTGAAGATGTACCTAAACATGAAGACCTGGGAGCAAACTGCTTGTCCTGGTGCATGAGGCACACATTTGCCTCCACAAGGTAAAGTCAATCTGCACACCCAAAGTGAAGGTTGGAAAGATGCAAGTAAGAGGTTTACTAATAGTAATCAAGGCACACACGTTTGCTTAGAAAAGTCACAGGTGTTCCAAGAGTTGTTACCACCCACTTCTGAAAGAGAAACAGCAGCCAAAGCTCATGCTGTGCTCTTCAGGTACCAACAGTGTCCTATACAGTTGTTTTTTTTTCTGTTGAGTCAGAGTCTCACTGTGTAGCCCTAACTAGCCTGGAACCCACTCTGTAGACCAGGCTGGCCTTGAACTCAGAGATCCACTTGCTTCTGCCTCCCAAGGGTGGAATTAAAGGCGTGCTCCACCATGCCTGGCCTGTACTGTCCTGTATTTCTACAGTGTGATCAAAGGCCACCCTCACAGCGGCTGGATATTCCATCCAGTACGGGTGATCAGAGCTTTGCTTCCAACCCAGGCACTTTGGCTCCACAAGTGCAGTTCTTAACCACTGGCTCTTTCTTCATTTATGTTCAGCTCCTGTATTCCAACAGCTGCTGTAGAAGCCTAATTCCATCTTGAGTCAGTGTGGCTAATAGTTCCACTGTGTAGAATAGCTGCATGGAATGGTTCCATGTGGACGGAGGAAAAAAGTCCCAGAGCCCTGGCCAACGCACAAAATGTTTGGACTTACAAGGCCATGGCAACCACCTTCCTTCACTTGGAAACTTGCAAAACAAAGCACACATGCATGCCCCCCAAGTCCCAACTACTTTTTAAGTACCTCTCATAAGATGCAGCCTCTGGCCGGACAGTGGTGGTGCTATGCTTTTAATCCTAGCACTCAGGAGGCAGAGGTAGGTGGATCTCTGAGTTCAAGGGCAGCCTGGTCTACAGAGCGAGTTCCAGGACAGCCAGGAACCCAAAGAGGGTGGAGGGAGATGCAGCCTCTGGCACTTTTTGGCTTGATGAAGCCTGGCCATGACCATGTATCATGGTCTTAGAATGTTATTGCTCATGTCCAAGCATAGAGAGAACAGAGCTTTCCCTGGAGAGAGTTGGACTAGACTGGACTCTGCTAACCCTCAGAACCACTTTAGGGATGAAAGAATTTCTCTGCATATACTTAACCTGAACCAAGAATAAAGCTGAAAGGCTTCTTTAGTTTGGAAAGAACAAGGGTTAGAGCCAGAGAGAGAAGATAGAGGAAGCATGGGAGTTGGTTGGGGGAGGGCAGGGAGAAGGGGGCCAGTGGAGGATGGGAACAAGACCTCCACTAGACCCATAGTTTTGGTTATGCTCTTGAGTCCATTGGTAGAGAGAAGGAAGGGACTCATTTGCTTTCTAGTAGCTGCTTAGTTTAAAGGAGTGCGAAGGTGAACAGAGATGGAGACTAGCTGGCTCGCTGCCTCAAGTGTGGATCTAAGGAGTCTGAACCGACGTTCTGGACAACAGTTCTTCAGATGTCTATGTCCTGTGGCTCGTTTTGATTTGGGCCACTTTCCAAAGCACACAGGTTATATAATAAAAAGGGTACAGGTAGTGCTCAGCCCTCACCTGTGACAGCCAGGTGCCTGCAGGCTCCTGCTCAGCTGCAAGTTTAAGAACTGGATGTCATGGAGTCCTGGTTCAGTTCATAGAGAGAGCCTGTTTCTCATGAAGGCCCACGCAGCTCCCTGTTTCAAATGTCTTTACTCCAAATGAGCCACACACTGGCTTCAAATTTCCTCTTTCTGTACAATTCTGATGCAGTGGGAGTCCATGGTTCTGTAGAAAAGCTTTTTTTAGGTGCAGAATTCATTCAAGAAATTCTGAAACGGCTTTGGGACGAATGTTAGATAAAGTAGTTTGGAAATGTCATGTTACTTGGTAGTCAGGGCTTACAAGAAAGGGGCAAAATCGCAGGAGTATAACTCAAGTCAGTACTAAACACTGCAAACAGCTCACTGCAGTTTCCAAAGCTCTGCTGTATCGACATTGCACTTTCAGGCACCGGTATGAATTTCTGCACAACAGGACAACTCCAGACATAAGAATCACAGTTGCTCCAAAGAAGATCGGCATCCTGCTAGACTATGAAAACTCCAAGCTGTCATTTTTCAACGTGGACATTGCTCAGCACCTATACACATTCAGCTGTCAGCTCCACCAATTCGTGCATCCCTGTTTTTCTTTGGAGAAGGCTGGACGCCTAAAGATCTGCAATGGCATTTCAATGCCAAAGCATGTCGCTTTTTTTTAGGCCTTCTGATGGTGTTTCAGGTCTTCCTGTCCTCTCCCTCGGTCACCTTGCTGGCTGCCCTTGGTATTCAAGTTTGCTGCGGCCAGCACAAGCTCAAGTTCACGGTAGTGCCTGGTAGATGGTGCACTGAGCCCATTTCACCTGATGTGGACTCATCCTGTGTGCTGCTCCCCGTGCGATGCCAGGGGAGCCATTATCAGACCAGGCTGTCAGATGCGGGGTCAGACTCTGAACTCAAAGGGCTCTTGTGGGGTCAAACTGCACTTGTCTGTTTGTGGACATGTAAAGTATTTTCAGTCTCCCAACCTATAGATCTAGGGATTGGGTCAGGAAGTCATGATGGCTTCAGTAGCCCCCGCACATTGTGACATTACACTATTTACTAAGAACAGACCCAAGAAGGCAAAAAACTCTGCAGAAATACCATTTTGTATTTTTCCTTGTACCAGGAAGTCAGGTACTCGTCTCCAGACCATTGTGGTAGATTGAGTAAGAATGGCCCCCACAGGCTCATCTATTTGAATGCTTGGTCATCAGAAGTGGCACTGTTTGAGAAGGATTAGAAGGATTAGGAGGTGAGGCCTTGTTGGTAACGTGTGTCACTGGGGGTAGGCCTTGAGGTTTCAAAAGCCCATGCCAGGCCTAGTCTGCTTGCCTGCCTGTCGATCAGGATGTACCTCTCAGCTCCAGTGCCATGAGTGCTACCATGCTTCCCGTCATGATGATAATGGACTATGCCTCTGAAACTGTAAGCCAGCCCCCATTACATTTTATAAGAGTTGCCTTGGTCATGGTGTCTCTTCACAGCAATAGAATAGTGACTAAGACAGAAGTTGGTACCAGCGACTGGAGTACTGCCATGACAGGCCTGACCATGCTGTCTGTTGGAGGGATATGGAAGAATCTGGGACTTTGAACTAAAAAAGTGGTTGGACGTTTAGGTGGGGCTTAATGGGAGCATGGAAGACAGTGCTGAGGGTGATTTGAATGGTGGGGGCCCAGATCAAGAAGTTTGAGAGGGGATGAATATTAGTAAGTGACCTACAGACCACTCTTACACCGTTTTGGCAAAGACTCTGGCTGCTTCTTGCCCTTGCCTAAAATTCTACCTGAAGCTAAATTGAACTTCTGGATTAAGAATTTATCAGAGATTTCAAGACAGCCTGGCATTGAGCCTGTCATGTGGCTATTAATGATTGCTCTTATGCAAATTTACAATGAAAAGGAATAAGAGCAAAGAAAATTACAAAATGCAGTTTGAGGAGAAAAGGAGCACTGGGAAAGGTTTGTTAGAGCCATGCCCTGTGTTCAAGGAGACGAACCGTTTAGAGAAAAGCCTGATGCTAGTTGAATAGAGTGGGACCTCAGGGCAAGAGCACACCTAGCTAAGCTTCCAACTTGTGAAAGGGATTAAAGGAAAGCTTCAACAGTGAAGGAAATCATCCACAACAGGAAGCTGATGCAAATGTAACTGAGTGAGGGGGCCATGTTCCAGCCCCATCAAGCAGTAGAACTTGGCAGCTTCGGCCACGTAGTTTAGCTTTTGTGTTTTTTTTTTTGTTGGTGGTGGTGGTGTTTTTTGAGACAGGGTTTCACTGTGTAGCTTTGGTACCTTCCTGGAACTCACTCTGTAGACCAGGCTGGCCTCGAATTCAGAGATCTGCCTGCCTCTGCCTCCCAAGTTCTGGGATTAAAGGCATGCGCCACCACCATCCAGCTGTGGTTTGGCTTTTGAGTCAAGAATACAAGGGTTTGTGGAATCTTCCTCCACAGCTAAGGATATCCACTGAAGCCAGATGTGTGTCCCTGCATGGAGGCCCAGAGAGAGTGTGAAGCTGTAAAGGTTGACACCTGATTACCTTGAAAACCAAAACATGTTGGGGATGCCAGAGCTGTGGGATACCTGCCAAGGAAAGCTGCTAACAGGGAGTAGAACCAGCCCGAGAGAGACATGTGCTGCAGTCAACATGACTGAAAGGAGTTGGGGTTCTGAAGAGTGCTTTGATATAGACATGGAGATACAGAATTTAGTTAGCTCTGCTGGGCTTAGGTCTCACTTTGGTCCAGTATTTCCTCACTACACTCTCCTTCCTTTGAAAAGGTAATGTATATTCTGTGCCACAATATGTTGGAAGGAAGTATGTGATCTGCATTTTGATTTTGATTTTACAGGGGTTACAGTTAAGAGATTGTCTTGAGTCTCAGAAGAACTCTGAACTTGTAAATAGTGTTAGGACAGCAGTAGAGGAGTGACTAAGGCAGCCATCCACCCCCATGTTCCTAACAAGTTGGCAGCACCGTGGCAAGTTCCTCCCAGTGTACATGTTCTGTAACACCTGGTCTTCTCCTTCACGGTGGTCCTAACACCACTCTAATTTTGAGATTACCTCTATGATGCCTAAGGGCAGGACAGTTGTGCCTTGTTTATAAGTCGACCTTGGGGGCTAACACATCCACAGGTGCACACCCATACATGCTGCGTAAACAAGGGCCTTCTTCCTCCAACCACTGCTCTTTGGCTTCATGTTGCTCTTGGTGGGAATGATGGCAGGGCTCTTTCAAAACTATAGCAAAGCACCTATGGTGGGAGGAAGAAAACCTTAAGGCAGCGTGAAGGAACAGAAGGCACCTGCGGCTCAGAGGAGCATTACTTACACACTTACACTTACACACACACACACACACACACACACACACACACACACACACACACGATCTACTTGTGAATGGGGCCAGAGATAGATGGAGATATAAGAAAGAACATTAGTGATGATTCATTCTAGGTATTGTTACAAAATGTAAGCAGCCAGATTTGAAACCAAGAACTAGGTCTGATTGCTATTTTGTACCTACTTTGCCTAAAACCTTATGGACCTGTTTCCCTTCAGGCATCATGACAAACCTAAGTGCCAAGTAATAAATGACACATGGTATATTTATGATGTTTCAAAGTAATCATCAGCCCACCAAAGTCAAAGCTGGGTCCTAATGAGAAGAACACACTCTAGCCAGCAGCTCTCAGGTGCCATTTAGTGACCACGGTACCTGGCTCCATCAGCTGCATTCCTGGCTCCCCTGTTCACATTTCCAATATCCTGTGCATGTCACTGTCAGAGCTCAGGACTCCAGCTACAGAGCAAGAAGTCCACTTGTAAAACAGCAGGAGACTGTTGAGTCCCATGTCCCACGATACCACCCAACACAGGAAAGTCCTACTCTGACTACCCAGGGTTTTGTTGAAGGGAACATCCTTCTCTTTAGAACTAACTTTCTTTCTTTTTTTTTGGTTTTTCGAGACAGGGTTTTTCTGTGTAGCTTTGCGCCTTTCCTGGAACTCACTTGGTAGCCCAGGCTGGCCTCGAAATCATAGAGATCTGCTTGGCTCTGCCTCCCGAGTGCTGGGATTAAAGGCGTGCGCCACCGCTGCCCGGCCCCTAGAACTTTCTTTTCTAGACTGTCAAATTCTGACACAATAACTCTCATCTCCTGCCAGGCTATACTTGTGTGAGCACCAGTTCAGGCTACGATTATCACTTGAGAGTTTAACAGCTTCTCTCTGTGTGTCTGTCTGTCTCTCCCTCTCTGCCCTGTCCCCCACTCCCCCCCACACACCTGCCCTGCCAAGTTGGGCCTCTAACCTTGCACAGAACTGGCTGAAACTGTTAATGAAATATACATGTGTATACAGTGAAAGGTATTCTCAGCTACTGAAATAGAAACCACCAAATGGGAAAAATGGATCACAGACATGGCCAGTTTGATTTCAGAGTTCTAGTGGGAATTCCTGGAATGTATCACACAGAACACAAACATGGGTAAATGGCAAAAACATGACACCTGTTAAGATTTTAATACTTTTTTTAATTTAACAAGATATCTAGATCTTTGACATTTAAAATTTACCTAAACTAGGGGTTGACCAACTTTAAGAATCACAGTTATGAACCATAAGGAACCTTTGTTTAAGCATGTTATCTTCTTCAAGAAGAAAGGATAAATCTAAAAAACAGGGGGAAACCTGCTGGATTTTGTGATATATTCCATGTCCTTACAATCCCATGCAGAAGCTGATGAAACTAAATTTCAACCAGGGGCAGTGTTTACCTCACGGTCATGCTCAGCTGCAACCTGCTGATAAACCTGTTAAAAAAAAAACAAAAACAGAATAGCATTAAAAAAATTTTTTTTGTGTGTATGAGTGTCTGTATGTTTGAGACAGGATCTTACTATGTAACCCTGGGGGGCATCCTGGAACTTGCTATTTAGACCTGGCTGGCTTTGAACTCCTGCCACCACACCCAGGATAGAAAAGTATTTTTAAAAGCAGACCTCTATGACCACGATCCCTGACACTGGGCAGTTAAGCCAAACTACATTAACATCTGCTCTTCTCCCAGCTGTCCCTGTCTCACTGGGTAACTCCGGTGATGACTGGGTCACCACAAGTGCTGGCTCCGCACCCTAGCAAAGGGGAAAGAACCCATAAAGCCTTCACAGGGCATGGTGGGAACTAGCAAGCATTTAGTAGCCAGGCTATCCAGAATGTAACACCTTTAGCAGATAGAATGACAAGTAGTTAGGAATGTGGGATATAAAACAGTACTGACTTCTGGTCAAATTAAAGAGTTTTTATTTACAGATTTTTTTTTTTGTTTTGTTGTGGTTGGTGGTGACGGTTTGGTTTTGGTTGAGACAGTGTCTCACTAGGTAGCCCAGAATGACCTTACATGTGTGGCAATCCTCCTGCTCAGCTTCCCAAATGCTGGGATCACAAGCCTGAACCACCGTGAATGGCAAAAAGTGTTATGTTTGATTGGCTCCTGGGTCTGGAGATATGGTTCAGCAGGTAAGGTACCTGATGACCTGAGTTCAATCCCCAGAACCCATGTGATGGAAGGGAAGACCCTGCAAGTTGTCCTTTGAACTTTGTATGTTTATCATGGCACATAAACCCCCTCTGTACTCCCCACACACACACAAAGTAAAAATAATGGGTTCCCTGCTGGTTCAAATGATGATAATCACTTGTACGCATGCAGTGAAATATTTCTGAAGCATGTACTTGGCTATCAGTACAAAACGGAACAAGTTTATCGGCCGTTGGGCATTCTCAACTTCCCAGCCTCAAATCTGGTAAAATCACCACCCTACATGACTCACTCACCAGAAGCTGTACACAGCACAATTTACTCTGTCTGCTGTGGCATTCTGTAAATGCTACGATTCTCAAAACCTGCACTACAGGAAACGTCTTCTCAACTTTCTAAAAGCCCCTGTCTGGCCTCCAGGCACCTTCCTATCACTAGCAGAATGAGACTGTGTCCACTCTGGCTGGCTTTCCCCACTGCTCTCACCTGTCAGTTCACTCCAACTATCTCCTGTGGTAAGACAGCAGAAAGGAGGTAATGGCTGTTGGTAGATGAGTAGGTCTTGAATTTATTTTGCAAACAAGACCTGTTCTATCTACCTTTTCATTTAGGAGGCTAAAAGCAGAGTCAGCTTGACTTCAAGGACTCTTGTTTTCTTAGTCTCCAGAAGAATATGACTAAATCCACCAGTTAAAGCATTATTATTATTTAGCTGGGCATGCCTGTAATCCCAGAACTTGGAAGGTAGAGGCAAGAAGATCAGGAGTTCAAGGTCATCGTCACTACATAGCAAGTTTGAGCCAGCCTGGGCTACATGAGACCCTATCTGAAGAAACTAAACGGTAGGCATGGTAGCTCACCCCTGTAATCTCAGCACTTAGGAAGCTGAAGCAAGAGGATTGCCCCAAGTCTAAGGCTAGTCTAGACTACAAACCTGTTTTTAAACCACTGTTCTTAAAATGCCTAGACAGTAAAGAAAAGAGAATTCAGAACTTTAGGCATTAAGAGATCTCAATATTGCAGACACGGGTCCCTTACTGCCAATGGCTGACAGAGTTAAACGCAAGGCGACAGTTGGCCAGTCAGCACCTGTCATTAGCCAGGAGGGTACCGATGACCCGGCACCACTGCCACTCAAAAGAGCTGTGGCTGCATGGTTCTTGTCAAGTTCACTGTGTCCCATCACGTCACTGTTTTCTGCTGACACCAATCCTGGAAATAAAGGAGCTCAACTCACAGGTGGACTGACTTTTCTTCCTAGTCTCAGACTCTGTCAGAATCCGGTTTCTCTGATGTTTTCACTCACTCAAATTTGGTAGAATTAAACCACCATTTACTTGAGTTTTTTAAATTAAACAGGTGATTCAAACAACATGCAGTTACTAAGCCAAAATACTTCCATAGTATGAACTAGGACCCAAATCTGCCCTTCCCCCGATTCCTGAGCCTACATTTGGATCTTAAGCGATTTAAACAGACGGGTTTGGAGACAGGAATGTAATGCACCCACTAGGAAAGCACCCGGCCAACAAAACTTGAGTTTCCCAGTTGTCTCCTTTAACAAAACAGGAGCATACTTCTTAGAAATGGACCGACTGGATGTGGACATTACTTTCCATAAGCCTGCCCCTCATTCTGCCGTCTACTCTATTTCCTTCCACATCCCAAACACTAATCTGAAGGGGGAAGTAGCAAGAGAGAAGGAAGAAACAAGAAGCAACATCCAAAAGTACAGAGAGCACGTTGGAAAAAGTTAAGATACTCAATACTGTCCTTTTATCATTTACACTTTATAAACCATCAACTGATTCCTAGACACCTAGAGTGGACCTCCTCCCCTCTGTTCTCCTAATGCCTGTATGGCTCAGAATCACTTCTGGGAAGCACTGCCTAATTCCCACCTCTCTCAAGCTGAGTTACATGCCACACACTCACCGTTGACAGAATACTCAAGTAGCGATATTACAACCACTGGCCTGTGTCTGCTCCCCTTGAATTATGCATATCAAAGGCATGGTTATGGCTGCATAATCTCTGAATACTCAGAGCATGGAAACAACTCCCTGCTTTCAGGGAACTCATACCTGTAGAGAAACACAAGACATCAAATTAGCTTACAAATCAAAGGAAAAGCTTTTTCATTAGAAATCAAAGCACTGTCAAGTGTATGCTCTTGGGGGCTGTGGGATGAGGTTAAAAACATGGACAGTACTTCTCTTCTGTTGAAATACACCTAGGGGCCTGACAGTCCCATTAGTAACTGTGGTGACTTCTAATTTGTGCCGAGCGAGTGCAGAAGAACCAAGGGTGGTAGTGAGTGTGATACAGAATGGCCCCCCATTACTACAAGAAAACTCTGGCACTCACATTTAATACTTGGTATAGTTCTGATATCTGCAGGGCCAGGCTACACCTGCCCCCCCAACCCTTATAAACAGGACTGGAGGTGGCTAATAGCCTAGTGACCTTTGCACTATCTATATGACTGAAACCACACCAGATCCTTCCCAAAGCCCTTTAACACATGTAATCTATCTACAGAATTTATCTCTATAGAAGAGGTGACATGTACTTTGAAAAGAGTTTCAATGTAATTATACCTTATTGTGCACACGGGATTGATAGTGTTACACAAGGAAACTTTTTTTCCAAATTGTACTATCTTGGGTTTTTTTTTTTGTTTTTTTTTTTTTTTTCAGGACAGGGTTTCTCTGTGTAGTTTTGGTGCCTGTCCTGGATCTCGCTCTGTAGACCAAGCTGGCCTTGAACTCACAGAGATCCGTCTGCCTCTGCCTCCCGAGTGCTGGGATTAAAGGCATGCGCCACCACCGCCCGGCTCCAAATTGTACTATCTTAAATATGCCTAAAATAAACCACTTTAGGGTCACACTCTAGAAGTTTGAGCCAACGCCAGCTACTGAGTCATGCTGAACCAAACTGCCTTCTTGCCTCACATGGATTGACACTGCTGGCCATGGTGTTTGCAGAGGCCACTCCCACAGTTTATAATCTAAGGTTTTTGTAGAGGAAATTATACCCTGTAAAGGTAATGGCAAACTCGTAAAGACCACAGCTATTTACTGGATTCCTTTTTCAATGTGAAGTGTCTTTAAAAATCATCTTATAGACCCCCTCACAAAGTGACAGAAAGCAACAAGTAACTCAGTACTTAGCAACAGTCCTTTTCTCTAAACAACTTTGCTCAGATTTAAATATTCTGAGAGGAGAAATCCAACAGAAGCACTCATCATTTCATCATTACTGAAATCTCATCCTTTTTTTTTTAATTACTTTATGTGCATTGGTGTGAAGTGTCAGATTCCCTGAACTGTAGTTACGGACAGGTGTAAACTGCCATGTGGGTGCTGGGAATTGAACCTGGGTCCTCAGGAAGAGCAGCCAGTGCTCTTAACCACTGAACCATCTCTCCAGCTCCTCATTCTTTTCTAACAAGGCAGTGAATGGTCAGAATTTTCATAGTGGGATCCTGAAGTCCATTATTTTAGGCCAGAAATGTATTTTCCCAGCTCTTCAAAGTACCCTAAGCCAATTTCTCAAAAATAACATTTAACTGACAAAGATTTCTACATAAGAGTTTATGGGTTCTCCCCTCCTTCCACCTTATATGCTGGGGATCAAACCCAGGGTCTTGCTCACACAAGGTACCCACCTTGCCAGAGCTACATCCCCAGCCCAATGTAAGAAATTTTAAACAACACTTACCTACTTACATAACTACAGTCAACAACAGGCGTGTTTTTGTATACTTACCAATTAAACATTCATGAGCATGCTAAAGAGAGAAGGGAGGTGGAAACGGAACGGAACACAGCTGGTCACCAGCAGAAGGTAAGACACAGCTAACGGGCCAACAGAAGGAGCAGAAATGGAAATGACTTGTCGCTGGTCCACGTCCCAAGCCAATGAACTGGTAAGTCTCTAGAAATAGGTCTGAGTCATTTACTTAAGACAATAACAGCAGTGAAGGCTGGGGCTTCGGCTTGCACACATGTTTGAGGCCCTGGTATCGATCCCTAGCAGGAATGACAGGCAACAGGATTGTTAAAGAAAATACAAAATGTAAGCCCATTTGTATCCTTGTGTCTAGAATTATACAGCTTCTAATACTGTGCATATTACTGCATTTCAGGTGCTACTTCTGCCCATGTCACAATTCAACATATACATTTGCCTATACAACAAAACGTCATTGTGAGCAATATTATATGGGTGCTAGGAACCAAATTCCGATCCTCTGTAAGAGCCACAAATGCTCTTACCTACCGAGCTATTAAACTGGTATCTAAATGTCCCTCACCACCCTCTTCACTCCCTTAAGTCTCCAACCTCCTACCCATACACCCATACCATCTTAAAGCAATTTAAAAGCAGTTTGCATAGACTACTGTGTACAAGGATTCTGAGCTGGAAATGAGATTTTAGTCATGACTCCATCCTTAACAAACCGTGCGCCTTCCCACCGACCGGTCTCCTTGCTGCTCTTCAGTTGAAGCTGAAATAAGATGTATTATCAAGATGTCTTCGTTCCATTTCTAATACCAAATGACGTTGCTGACATATTCAAGAAGCTTAAAAAATCACCAACTCCGTGAGTGTGCGCGTGCGTGGGCGCTTAAAATGACTGCTACAGGTGATTCCTCAAACAAGAGTCATCGACTCGGAATGCCTGGATCTGTAGAGCCGATACTCATCAGCCCTGTGAATGTGAATACGTACGTGTGTATGCATGTATGTACGTACTATGCATGTGTGTGTGCTTAAACTTTAGTCTGTGTGAGTGCGTATGTCTTCTTGCACATTTACCCACTACCGCAGCTCCGTGGGCTTTCAATCCGCTTTTAAAAAGAAATGGAGAAAATAAAGCACAGAGAAGCAGGATCGACGCCTGGGTAGCTTACCCATCTCTTCTACTCCCATTCCTCTGACGCCTGCCACGCCAGCCAGCCTACCGGGACAGCGTCGCCGCCGCCGCCGCCGCCGCCGCAACAGAAGGCCAGATGATGGCCCAACTTCACGCGACAAGAGCTGCCAGCATCAGGTGTCTGGCTCCTGGTCTCAACTTCTCTCTCCTTCCGGTGGAAAATTAGTCCCCTTCCGGTCTCGGGCGTGGGGAGGAAGTCCCGCCTCACGCAGCAGCGCGGCACCAATCACTGGCTTGCTGCTTGGCGACAGGGCCCCGGAGACTTAGGGACAGGCTTTCGGTTCCTGGGTGGGTGTGGAGGGATGCTCCACGGCTTGAGTGTGCTATTCTCAGCTTCCCCCGCAGGAGCCACCTCGGGAACTGCAGCATGCAGCCCCGCCCCGGCGACGCTCCTTGCGGCCTTGCGCCACCCAGCCCTGGCTGTTAAGCTTCTTAGTGTTGTTCAGTCTTGCCACCCTGCTTATAGAGCACTGTCTGCTCTGCACCTCCATGAAGCCTTTACTCGGTAGCCTTTTTCTCCCCCGGGCTGCAAGCTCATGCATCTTCGCAGAGGAAGGGACAGAGAGCGTCCTGGCCTTCCTTGGTCGGGGACGTGGTAATTTTGAGTCTAAGAAAATAAGTAAAATCCCTTTTGGATTCGGTTCGTGGGGGGGGGGGGGCGCGGGGGGGGCAGGCAGCCCCAAGAAGGCCTCAAATGCTGAGAGCTTAAGCCACAGACTTGTTTGACATTTGCATCAGGCTTCCTCTGTCGTTTTGAACAGATTTCTTTGCCTTAGTTTCCGGTGATTGCTAGAATCATGTGTGAGCTATGTCTTGGAGGAGCCTCACCCCGTTCTGTTGTTCTCAAACGGCCTTCTCCCTATTTCTGCTTGTTTCTGTGTCTTAGAAAAACATCAATGCTATTGGATTAAAAAGCCCATCTGGTTCCAGTATAACACATGTGCAGTGTGGCCTTATTTCCAAGTAAGTTCACATTGTGAGGTTACAGGAAAGACATAAACTTCAGGGGCGGCACTAGCCACCCCAGTACGCTGTCAGAGTTCTCCAGAATATGCAAACCAAAAGCTGGCTGTAGGAATGAATTCAAACAGTTTCTTTGGAGCCAGATTTTGAAGCAAAAGGAACAAGATAAGGAAACAAGAATTGGTCCATGAAAGCAGGTTTAAAAAAGAAAGGATCTTACATACAGTCCAAGGTGTTGGATTTTATATACAAAATCAAAAGCAAAAATGTTAATTTGTTACCAGTTTGAGCCAAACCCATTTAATTTTTCTTACTCATTTAAGAAGATGTAACTTTCTGGGCATGGTAGCACACTCCTTTAATACCAGCCCTGCAGGAGACAGAGGCAGATCTCTGTGAATTGAAGGCTAGACTTGTCTCAGTAAAGAGTTCCAGGCTGACCAGAACTACACAGTGAGAAGGAGGAGGAGTAAGAAAGACAGAGAGCCAGGGAGATGCAGTGAGACCCCACTCTAGGCATGGCCTGTGCTTTTCTCACCCTGGAATAGGCACCCTGGCTCCTCTGCCTGGAACACTGCCATCAAGTTGCACACATTTACCTGCCTGATTTGCTGTCATGGATGCTGTATTTTAGCATAAGAAAATACTCATCATTTACTAGCCTTAGTGTCTTAGTTGGGGTTTCTATTGCTGCAACGAAACACCAGGATCAAAAAGCAAGTTGGGGAGGAAAGGGTTTATTTGGCTTACACTTCAGCATTGCTGTTCATCACTGAAGGATGTCAGGACAGGAACTCAAACAGGGCAGGATCTTAGAGGCAGGAGCTGATGCAGAGGCCAAAGAGAGGTGCTATTTACTGGCTTACTTCTCATAGCTTGCTCAGCCTGCTTTCTTATAGAACCAGGACCAGCAGCCCAGTGATGACACCACCCACCATGGGCTGGGCTCTCCCCCATCAATCACTAATTGAGAAAATGCCTTACAGCTGGATCTCAGGAGGCATTTCCTCAATTGAGACTCCTTACTCTCTGTTGACTCTAGCTTGTGTCAAGTTGGCACACAAAACCAGCCAGTGCAGTTAGTGTTTTAATTACTAAACCTGGCAAAGATAGCTCAAGAGAAAACTTGGAACTAAACTCACCTAGAGACAAAGCTCTAGACCGATCAGCAAACCTACCTTGCAGTCTATCTAGATAAGTGGTTCTCAACTTATGGGTCGTGACCCTTTTGGGGGTGTCTTTCACAGGGGTCACATATTCCTGTATATCAGATATTTACATTACAATTTGTAACAGTAGCAAAATTACAGTCATGAAGTAGCAATGAAAATAATTTTATGGTTGGGTGTCACCACAACATGAGGAACTGCATTAAAGGGTCACAACATTAGGAAGGTTGAGAACCACTGATGTAGATAGATAAAGCATTGGTTTCCCCAGAAATAATTAGAAAACCTATCACTGCGAGTTATTGTGTTAATAATTTAGAGATTTAGTACTATACAATTATCTTAATGGCTAACATTTTAAAATCCAGTATCTTCTTAGCAAAATGAGAATAGATAACAATTTGATGAAAGCTTTTTAGCAGAAACCTATTGTACACATGACTTAAAAGACAATTATTGTCACGAGAGAATGTGAATACCTATTTTTACTGCTAATATTCAACATGGTAGTGGATTTTCTATCCAGAGTCCAAAAAAGAAAGGCAAAATCATTAGGAAAGGGCTGGAGAGATGACTCAGAGGTTAAGAGCACCGACTGCTCTTCCAGAGGTCCTGAGTTCAATTCCCAGCAACCACATGGTGGCTCACAACCATCTGTAATGAGATCTGGCACCCTCTTCTGTATATATAATAAATAAATAATTAAATCCAAAACAAAACAAAAAGAGCATGGGATCCTCTTTTTGAGGACCAAGGTTCGGTTCTCAGGACCCACACAGCAGCTCACTACTGTCTGTAACTTCAGCTCTAGGGCGGCCCAAGAAAAAAAAATCATTAGGAAAGAAAGAATGAAAATACCATTTTCAGATGACATGATTTTCTTTCTAAAAAGATGATAGTGGTAAACTATTAGAAGGTTCAGCAAAATGGTTGCATAGGTTAATAGTTAAAATTTGTTATAAACCAGTAACAAAGTGTGAGAAAATGGAACCTATCCAGGTCAGCGAGATGACTCAGCTGGTAAAGACTCTTGCAGCCAATCCTGATGATCTGAGTTCAATCCAAACTCTGTGGTGGAACTGACTCCTGCAAACTGTCCTCTGACAGCCACACATGGGCTGGGGGGTGTTTGCACATGCGTATGCAAGCACACACACACACACACATACACACACACACACACACACACACACACACACACACACACACACACAAATAAATAAATGTAACCTTTTAACTAAAAAGGAATCCATCTAAAGGTGGCAATATAAAATACCTATGAATATACTGAACAAAAGGTATAGAGATTTAAGGCAAATATAAAATATTGTTGAAAAACAGTGATTGAGTAGGTAGGAGATTTTATCTTTTCTGCTGGGAAATTTCAGTGTTTTAAAGATAACATTCTATTGTAAATTAATGAAACATTTTGATTAGAATACTCAGAAAGTCTGCAAATAACTCTTAGGTCAAAGTATGTTATTCTTTTGGGACACCATTAGAGTCCATGTACTGATATTTAGAATCTGTTGTGAGTGAGACTGAGATGCATGCCCATGACTCTACTATATTAATTAAGTGCTAGTATTTAAAGCTATATTAGATTCCTTAAATTGGGGAGTGTGGGAACCGAGTCCAAGAATGGAGTCCTGTGAAAATTCTGAATACTTGTGAGAAAACCCCAAGAAAATAAGACAAGAATCTTGTGATCTCAGTTTCTTCAAAACACAGAGTTGTTTTTGGAATGTGTTTTCATGCTCCTTCAGGTGTAGCAGTTAGGGCTGAGTTTACTTCAGCTGCTGTTAATTCACGTGCCTCTATAGGAAAACACATGTGACTTGTCCTTGTTTGAACCCCTTACTTGTGTGACTCTTCTTAACCCTCAGAGTATAAATTGTCTGTGCTCTGAATAAAGTTGGCTATTGCGTGAGACATTTGTCCACCTCGTTTTTAGGCTCCACTTCCAGGTCCCACTGCCTTTAGAGTGGTAAAAAGGAGCATTTCATATTGTTCTATGATCTGAAAAAACAAAAGTAAGAAACGTTAGGATAATCTTTTCTTTTACATTTGGACAGAAAACTGAGTGTGAAACTGTCTTGAAACTTGATACATTGCAGTGTAGATTTTAAACCACCTATCTGACAATGGGGATATTCAACCTCTACTCTTCTGGGATTCTGATAAATTGTATTTTGCTTGGAAATCATCCATTGATAATATGTTTTCAAACTGTTAGCCAACTACAGCAGAGGGTAAAATGGGAGGATTCCTGGAGTCCATGAGTTCCAGACTAGCGTGTGAAACAGCAAAGATTTTGCCACAAAAACCAAGCAAAATTCTGCATCTGACTGTTTACACTCTCATATGTGATCTTACACACATTTGCTTTCCTTTTTCCTAAATCAAGTTCATAGACATTTATTCTGTTCTCTCTCCATCATACAGGTCCTGGGAACTCAGGTCATCAAGTTTGGTGACAAGTGTCTTAACTAACTAAACCATCTCTCTGGCCCAGCTGAAATTTATGTTGTTGATGTCTTGAAAGAAGCAGCTTGGGGATTTAAACTTTCTGCTATAATTTGAATTTTTCTTTTTTCTTTATTTCTTTCTTTGTCTTTTTGAGACAGGGTCCTTCTACATAGCCCTGGCTGTCCTGGAACTCCCTATGTAGACCAGAATGGCCTCAAACTCACAAAGATCTGCCTGCCTCTGGGATCAAAGGCGTGTGTCACCATGCCTGACTCACCTTACAATTTTAGTTTTTGTAATGATTTTGTTTCCTCTTTTGCTGTTTTTCTAATGTCTTTTTGTTTGCTTATTTAAAATTTCTTTTATTACGTTGATTGATTGATTGGGTTGGGACTCAAGTGTGGAGGTCAGAGGACAACTTACAAATGTCAGTTAGTTCTCTTGTTCCACCATGTGGGTCCTGGAGATGGAATTCAGGTTGTCAGATTTGGCTGTATGTGTCTTTAACCACTAAGTCATCTCACAAGGACCATGTTGGTTAGTTGGTTGGTTGGTTGGTTTTAGCAATGCATTGCATTGTCTAAGTGTTTTATAATTTATCCTTTGGCTTACTGAAGGAAATCTTGGTTACTTCTAAGCTTTCTCATTTATAAATAAAGCTACTATAAACAACTGTGGTGGTTTGGATGAGAACGGCCCCCATAAGCTCATGTATTTGAATGCTTGGTCCCAGTTAGTGGAACTGTTTGGGAAGGATTAGAAGGTGTGGCCTTGAAGGAGGAGGTGTGTCCCAGTTAGCACTCTGTGCCTCTTGCTTGTGAGTCAGATGTAAGTCCTCAGTGCCATGCCTGTTTGCTGCATGCCTGATGCCTCACTCTCTGCCATGATGGCCATGAACTCTACTACCCTCTGGAAACGTGAGCCCCAAATTAAATGCCTTGGTCATGGTGTCTTATCACAGCAATAATAAAAGTAACTAAACTAACATCCATTTTCAAGGTTTTGTGTGGAGAGTTTTCTACTTCTCTAGGTCAATACTAAGGAAGGCAATTGCTGGGTCATGTGATAGGAACATACATTTTTTTTCAGTATTGGATTATTTTGCATTCCTACCAGCAGTGAATGAGACTTCCTATTGATTCAAATGTTCACCAGCATTTGGTGCTGTGGTCCAGGTTTTGGCCAGTCCAGGAGTGTACAGCAGTTTCTTATTGTTTGCATTCCTCTAGTCTGTGATGTGGCCATCTCTTCCTGTGTGTCTTTACCATATAAGCACATCTTCCCAGGTGATGTCTCTGTTAAGGTCTTTGGTCTCATCACTTCCTTTAAGACAACTCATTGGGACATTCAAGAATTCCTCTTCCTAAATGCTAGGCTATGTATAAATATTGTCTCCCACCCTACCCTCCACCCTACCTCCGATCATTTGGCTCACATCCATTGAAAATGTTTTACTAAAAATGTACTTTAAACTTTTTAAAATTAAATTATATTTGTTTACTTATTTGCTTTTTTTTTTTTTTTTTTTTTTTTTTTTTTTTTTTTTTTTAAGGCAGGGTCTCTCTATGTAGTCCTGGCTGTCTTGGAACTCAGACATCCTCCTAACTGCTGGGATTAAAGGTGTATACCACCACACCCTGATACACTTATTTATTTGTTTGTTTTAGAAACAATTTTTTTTATTTTATGTGCATTGGTGTTTTGCCTGCATGAATGTGTGTGAGGGTGTCGGGTCCCCTGGAACTGGAGTCACAGACAGGTGTGAGCTGCCATGTGGTTGCTGGGAACTGAACTCAGGTCCTCTGGTAGAGCAGCCAGTGCTCTTAACCTCGGAGCCATCTTTCCAGCCCTTATTTATTTATGTATTATGTATGCGTGTAGGTAGGGCATACTCGTGTCTTGGTACAAGTATGGCCGTCATAGAAACCTTTGGAATTCCTTTGTCCCTTTGCACCGTGAGGGTTTCAGGGTTCAAACTCAGGCTCTCAGGCTTGGTGGCAAGTGCCTTTACCTGCTGAACCATCTTGCAAGCCTAAAAAATGTGCATTTTATAGGTAGATATGGAGCCTATTATTTTAATCCGCTCACTTTATTCATTCATTTAGCAAACACTCATCAAAACGGCCTGTGCAGATCCCAGTATGTGCAGAGAATGTGCTGCAACCCTCCCCCGCCCCCCCCCACCCCCCCACCCTCCCACCCCTCACCCCTGCCACCCCCCGCCGCCCCAGCACACACCTGTGCACTTGGGGATGGTTGCAATACCTCTCGCGGACTGTTGTAACTGAGGCGCACTCCAAGCCGTGGGGCTGGCAAGGCTGCTGATTACTACACGGTCCTTGCTGAACTTTGGCGGACGAATGACGAGCAGACTAAGCAGAAACAACGAGAGGAACAAAGATTTCAAAAGTCCGGAAAGCCAGTGAGTGAGGGCACTGACGCTGGTGAAGCGTGAGCCAGGGGGAAAGAGCCGGAGCCAGCTACAAACATGGGGATACCACGTGATGTGTGTCGGAGGAGCCCTTCTAGCCTTTAAAGCTGCTGTCAGTGTGAAACCATCCCATTTCTAAACACGGGGTGGGGGTCATGGGAGCAAACGCAGCTTGTAGAAGGAACTCTGGGTGTTGACGCAGGAAGTCCGCTGAGGCTGACTTGATTCTGTTTTGTTTTGTGTTTGTGACAGGCACTCATTGTACAGCCCAGGGAAGCCCAGAACTCATGATCTTCCTTCCTCCGCCTCCCAAGTCCTGGGAGTACAGCTACTAAGCCCAACTGATTTGAGTCTTCCTTTTGCATTGTTTGTTTTATTGAGACCTGGAACTCACTCTGTAGACCAGGCTAGCCTTGAAATCATGGAGATCCGCCTGCCTCTGCTTCCAGAGTGCTGGCATTAAAGGTGTGTACCACCAGGCCTGGCCTTCTTATCCAAGCCCTCCCCACCAGGCCTGGCCTTCTTATCCAAGCCCTCCCCACCAGGCCTGGCCTTCTTATCTAAGTCCTCCCCACCGGGCCTGGCCTTCTTATCCAAGCTCTCCCCACCAGGCCTTGCCTTCTTATCCAAGCTCTCCCCACCAGGGCTTGCCTTCTTATCCAAGCTCTCCCCACCAGGCCTGGCCTTCTTATCCAAGCTCTCCTCACCAGGCCTGGCCTTCTCCTTATCAAGCTCTCCCTAGGGTTTCCACTTGCATCACTTTGAAGGAAGCTGAAGTGTATTTCTACGCAGCTACCAGGTGCCATCCTAGTCAGGATCATCCCCTCAAAGACTCTTGATTATCTTCCAGGCCCTTCTGAAAATATCTCCTCTTTGACACTGAGGTAGGGAAACTAATTTCTCTTTATTAATCTCTATTTGAGCTTGTCACGTAGTGTTGTAATTATTTCCTTAATAGGTGTTTTATTCTCACCATTATATCTGCTGTAACAAAACTACCTTGATCATCACAGTCAATTTTGCATCCAGGCGAGATAGAATATCAGGAACTGTCACACTAAATAGTGATAAAAAGAATGAGCTAGATGAAACAACAGATTGCAGGACACCAGACATCTGGCAAAAAGGATAGTTGTCTCCAGGGGAAGGAAAACCTGAGAGGGCCCTGTGATTGCTCAGGTTTACAGTTTTTACAAAGAGTTGCCAAGCAAGAGCAGAGGGAGGGAGAACTCCAGCAGAGCCCACTAGGCTCACAGAGGGGAAGAGAGAGATCTGAGAATCCAAGGGAAACCAAGGCATATAGAGTCTCTAGAACAGTGTACCCTTGGAGAACTTCTAAGGGGTTGCCGTGAGTATTCAACTGAATATTGATCAGCTTATGTGTGTCAAGAAACTACCTGAGCCTTTTGAGATGGGGTCTTTCTCTGTGGCCCAGGCTGGCCTGGGACTCTTGCTCCGCCTGAATGCTGGTGTCACATACATGCTTGGGTAGTTTCTTCCTTTTTTAAAAACTATTTCTACACTCTCTCATGTTCTTGAAAGATGGTCTCATGTACCTCAGGCTGACTTTGAATTCTCTTTTGTAGCTAAAAATGACCTTGAACTCCCGATTCTTCTTCCCCTACTTCCCAAACACTATTAGAATAACAGATATGCACCACCAGCCTAGGCTCAGGTAACTCCTTGACACACATAAGATGTTCCGAAAAGAACACAGAAAAAGAAAAGAAACTTAGTTCTCACCTGTAATCTCAGCACCTTGGAAGGCTGAAGCAGGAGGATTGCATGAGTTTAAAGCTAGCCTGAGCCACACAGTGAGCTCCAACATGAACTACTGAGTGAAACCTGGTGTTATAAAAGCAAAAGAAAGGGATGGAGATGGGGAGGGAGCATAGGATGGGGGAACAGAGGGATAGAAATTACCTGAGACCTGGAAGAATTCGAGCAAAAGGTACCCGTGTTCTGAGGCTATTGAGGGCACTCATTCCCATGATGAAGACTGGAAAATCTCTTAATTCCTTGAATATCAAAAGTGTGCTGTAAATGCCCTTGCTTTGTGCTAGAGAATAATTACTCCCACTCAAAACCCACAGATCTCTACCTCGCAAGATGTAAAAGCAAGATCTAGAAAGAAGAAACTGTTTCCAAGCTTAACCACATCTGTCAATAAAGCTCCACAAGCTTTGTAGCAATGCAACAATACACAGCAGCTAAAAAGTAACAGGACAACCTCTGATGTCCAAGTGAGGACCACTAGGCAGGCGAAGACCCTTCTTACATGTACGGTGGGGTGATACAGCAGCCAAATCCAGGTAGGAGAATGCAGCACATAGCACTGTCAACAGTGAATCAGTCAAAACGAACCAAGGACACAATTTTTAGAAAAAGATATTACTACAACTGTATACTACACGTTCAAAAATAACTGGATTAATGGATTACTAAAAATATCCCAATGGAAATTCTTGTGAAAAATGCCAGCTCATATTGAGATGAAACTAAGTTTAATTGGATCCACATCAGGTCTGACAGCACAATGGACTGGTGAATTTTAAGTGCTACAAATGAAACTATCCACCATGAAACAGAAGAAATATGGTTTGAAAGTAATGAGCAGTGTCAGTGAACTGTGGAGCAATTCCACAGGGCCTTGTATACTCGTTACTGTCCTTGAAGGACATGTGATAGGGCCTTGTATACTCATTACTGTCCTTGAAGGACATGTGATAGGGCCTTATATACTCGTTATTGTCCTAGAAGGACATGTGATAGGGCCTTATATACTCGTTATTGTCCTAGAAGGACATGCGATAGGGCCTTATATGCTAATTATTTTCCTAGAAGGACATGTGATAGGGCCTTATATACTCATTATTGTCCTTGAAGGACATGTGATAGGGTCTTATATACTCGTTATTGTCCTAGAAGGACATTTGATAAGGCAGGACAGAAAAAAAACATTTGAAAATTTAGTAGTCAGGTATAATGGCATATTCCTGTAATTCCATCACTTTAAGGGCAGAGGCAGGAGGTTTGCCACATGTTGAAGTCTAGCTTCATCTATGTGGCAGGCTCTAGGCCTGCCAGAGCTACAGAGAAACACCCTGTCTCAAAAAGGAGGAGGAAGCAGAGGGAAAAAGAAAAAAAAGGCAAAAAACAGTGACCCAAAAGTTTCTCAAATGGATAAATGCTATCAATCCACAGAAGAAAGATTAATAGACACCAAGGGATATGAAGAAAAATATACTGTATGTCAATTCAGAGCATAGTCAAATTTCTCAGGACCAGCTAAAGGAAAAAAATTGAACAGCAACCAAAAGGCTGTTCATGGCCATGCATGTACTTCCAGGCAGGTAGGCTATGAATTTGGGGGCAACCTGGTCTACATATCGAGGCACAGTATAAAAACAAACAAACATAAAGCCAATCAAACAAAAAGCAGGCCCATCTCTTGGACTATCGTCACAAACTCGCCACCCTTCACACTCCATTGCTTTCCCACCAACAATGAGCTGAATCTTTGCTCACCTTAAGCTGCTCCTGCAAGCATATTGTCAAAACAATGAAAGAGTAACTAATACAGTAAGTTGGTATAAAGGAGTTAGGTCACTGCTGTAGTAAATATGGTCTCGTGGTTTTTAGGCCTCTGGAATAAGGTGGAAGAGTTTGGAGGCCAAATTAAAAATGCCAATGAAAAAAACTTTAAAAAATGCCAATGAAGGGGTTCTCTGCTTTAAAAACAACTTCTTCAAAAGCAAAAACAAAACACAAAGACATGAACATGTGCTGTGGGTTGGTATGTCTATACTCTGTGAATATGCGTTGCTACCATTGGTTAAAAAAGAAGCTGTTATGGCCTTTGGCAAGGCAGAATAAAGCCAGGCAGGGAATCCAAGCAGAGAGACAAGAAGAAGAAAGGCAGAGTGAGAGCAGACACCAGCCTGCCAACCAAGGAGCAAAATGCCAACAGACTGGTAATGCCATGGCCAGGTAACAATACATAGATTAATAGAAATGGGTTAATTTCAGATGAAAGAGCTAGCTAGCCAGGAGCCTGAGCCATAGACCAATGAGTTTGTAATTAATATAAGCCTCTGTGTGTTTACTTGGGACAGAGCAGCTGCGGGACACAGGAAAACTTCTGGCTACAAACATGGGACGAGGAGTTGGTGGCAGGAGGTGGGGGAAGTTTTGGAGGGTGAGAGGCGCATGAGAGAGAGTAGAGTGATGAGAGTGAACTGAATATATTACATATATGCATGAAATTATCAAAGAACCAACATTTAAAATACTGCTTGGAAGAGAGTTTCCCAGGCCAAGCCTCTAAGGTGCACAGAAGCAATGGCAGTTGTGGTAGAAGGGACAGAACACATCTTGAGTTAGGAGCAGAACTTGTCACCTTGAAGGTGCTGGATTAGCAAGATGTGCAACATGCAAGAGTCATGAGGTGGTACAGGCTTCTGCCAAGGTTCCCAACGCTGCTAAGACCAGGCAATGTATGGTAGGGTCAGATTCCCTACAAGGAGGTTGTAAGAGGCCATTGTAAGTGGCAATGGAGACCCCAGGATGTTGGAGATGCTGGGACTGGAACATTCTGCAAAGAAGATACATGTGTAGATGTTTGTGAGGGTGTTTCCAGAGATAGTCAACTGAATAGGGAAGACAAACCATGCATGTGGATGGCATCATTCCTTGTGCAGGGCTGGGGAAAAGGGAACAAGGAGAAGCCAGCTGTATTAGAGGAACGTGTCTTAGGGTTTCTGTTGCTGTGACAAGACACCTTGTCCACGGCAACTCTTATAAAGGAAAACATGCAATTGAGGGGGCTACAGTTTTAGAGGTTTAGTCCATTATCATGGTGGAACACGGTGGCATGCAGGCAGACATGGTGCTGGACAAGGAGCCGAGAGTTCTACATCTTGATCTACAGGCAACAGGAAGCAAACTGTGTCACTGAGTGTAGCTTGAACATAGGAGACCTCAAAGTCCACCCCCCACAGTGACACACTTCCTCCATCAAAGCCATACCCACTCCAACAAAGCTGCACCTCT